CTGCTTCCTGCCCGAGAGCCCAGTTGGCTTCAGTCAGAGCCAAAGTCTGGGTCAACACTTCCTCCTCCTCCTCCTCCTCTCCAGATTGCACCTGGCGGATGTAATTGAATTAAGGAGGAAGCGTTGAGCGTTGGCCGGGTACGATGGACGTGGCGTGTGCACATAAGAGATGAGAAAGATTCTGCATTTAATTTAATGTGTCTAAACACACTCAGGGAAAACAATCAACACGTGTGACCTCCTGTCTGTGACTTCCTGACCACGCCTCTGCTCTCCAACGGCTTTGGGGCTTCTCCTTCTTCTTTTTTCCTCTTGTCATGATTTAATAACAGTCTCACGCAATGAGGAGACGTGTTTATGTTGTTAAAGTTAACTCACCAGTGTGAAGGCCTCATATCTGCAGTGCCTTCCTACCTCATATTGGTGATATACAGGAAGTTATTCATCATTAAATCACTGTTCGCTGGTTAGAAGTGACAGGCGTTGTTTCAATGAGACCAATAACACAACACAACAACAACCAACAACACATCACGCAATAATCCACACGAACCTGCTCGTGTACAAAGACGGGGGGAGGTGTGTTTGAGGTTAACTGTCGCTGAACGTTTCAGCCCTGAAGGTAAACATGACAGACAATCCACCTGCACAGGCCCTAAACTGTGTGTGTGTGTGTGTGTGTGTGTGTGTGTGTGTGTGTGAGTAACAGGGTCTGTGTGTGTGTGTGTGTGTGTGTGTGTGTGTGTGTGTGTTTGCACAAAGCAACTGCAGCAGTATTGAATATCAAAGGTTATCTCGTTTTATTTTGGGAAACTTCCAACGTAGGCAAATTTCTACCGGCTGCAGGATCCGTACACACACACACACACACACACACACACACACACACACACACACACATACACATACACACATGTTATGACAATATATGGATACTTACATTTGTATGTAGTGGAGCTGGTGATGACCTCTGCTCAGGTGAACCCTAACGAACACGGTGATGACCTTCAGTGAGAGGAGGGCGTTTTATTTTGAAAGGGCGGGATTATCAACGGATTAAACCGACTTTGGCGTCACATTTTTATGGTAAAGTTCTAAATCTTTCAGTGGATATTTACAAATACGTTTGATTATGACAATATTCATTTACCCCCCAAACCCTCCCATCCATTGGCAGTTACGCCGTGGTAACAAAGATGGTAGCTGCACAACTGCCCCGGGGTGTGTGTGTGTGTGTGTGTGTGTGTGTGTGTCCTCTCTCTCACCTCGCTGTGAAGTCGGCCACAAACAAACCAATTTGTTTGTTTTGCTGATGTTGTTAGGAAGCGTGTTTGGACAGGCAGGTCGGGCCGTACCAAGTGAGGGGAGAAGGGGGGGGGGTCTAGTAGCTGCTTATTCTGCCTCTAGCTGATCACACACACAGCTGCACCACTTCCTTCCAGAACAAAAGAGTAAAGTAAATAGTGAAGTAATTGCAAACCAATTTTGTGCGTGTGTGTGTGCGTGTTTGTGTGTCTGTCTTTTTGTTTGTGTGTCTTATCAACAAAGGCAGCATCAGTAGCTAAATGTCAGCAGACACCTTCAGCCCCTTTGTCTGCTCAAAGGAGGTTGACCTGCTCCTCTTTGAAATTAATAAGCTGTGTGTGTGTGTGTGTGTGTGTGTGTGTGTGTGTGTGTGTGTGTGTGTGTGTGTGTGTGTGTGTGTGTGTGTGTGTGTGTGTGGAGTGAAGTGAATCAACCTGTGTTTTCACACACTGAGCGGCTCATCTGAGAGCAGCATGAAGCTCCTCGGCGTATTTCAGCACGGCTCTTGGGGTGTACGTTCCTGTGTAGGTGTGTGTGTTTGTGAAGCGTGCGCGTGTGTGTGTGTGTGTGTGTGTGTGTGTGCGCGGTTATCTGGGTCCAACTACCTTGATTGGAGAAATGCTTTGTTTCTCTCCTCGATGGACTGAAGGAGTAAACGTCTGAATATCACAATATTTTAAATGAACGTGAATATTTATGTTGTTGACGCGCATCTTCCTCCTCCTCTTCCTAGCTCCTTCATTTCTTTCCTTCTGCTCTTTTTTCTTCTCGTGGCAGACTAAACAATGTCACAGTGACGTCATAGTGATGTGACGTCATAACTCTCAGCACCTCCTCCTCTCAGGAGTCAAAGACCTGCAAAGACATTTTTCATCTCGAGGCTTTCGACTCGTTGCACAAACCAAAGTTGTCGAGCTTGATGTTTATGTGAGCTTCTTCCTGACTCAGCGTGTTTTCACTGCACACACCTGCTGCCTCCTGTGTGTGTGTGTGTGTGTGTGTGTGTGTGTGTGTGTGTGTGTGTGTGTGTGTGTGTGTGTGTGAGTGACCTTGGGCGTTTCCTCCCTGCTCAGCTGTTTGTTTGTTTGTTATTATAAAGGCCGCAGCTGCAGGAAGTGACTACTGTGGAAAATGAGAATTGAAACATATTTTCAATATAGAATAAAGTTTGTTGATAGTTAGTCTTCTTCCTCCTCCTTCTCCTCTTCGTCCTCCTCCACTTCATTAACTCCTCTTCCACCTCTGCAGCCTCCTCGTCCTCCACCTGTTCTTCATCCTCCTCCCTATCTTATTTGTCCTCCTGGTCGCGGTCCTCCTCTTCCTCCTCACCTCGGAGGTCAGGACCTGTAGCTCCACTGAACATTTGTTGTCACCTCTCACTTTTTTTTTTTTTTTTCAAGCTGTGATGTCATCCGCTTTAAAGCCTTTATGTTGTTGTTTACGCTGTGATGTCATCAGTTAGGTTTTCATATGTAATCAGACTTTGACGAGACAAGTTGCTGCAGATGCACAGCTCACGGTGACATCATCGGCTGGAATGGAGAGGGAGTCTTTGTTTAGTTTGGCTTCCAGTGGTCCAGAGTCACATGACACATCTCCCTCTCTCGTGTTTCAGTGTGGAAACGATACAATCAACTCCTCTCCTTTTTAGGTGGTGAATAGATGCCACCCTCATCGCTCCCTCTACCTTTTCATTCATGTCACTCTCTCCTCTGCTCCGATTTTCCTCGTCGTTCTCACTGTCATTTCTCTCTCCGTCTCCCCCTTCTCTCCCCCTCTCCCCCCCTCTCTCTCTGTCCTTTACTCTATATGGTCACGGAGGCTCTATTGGAGTCGATTCAGTCGCGCTCTGGCGCCGCTGTTCAGTATTCCAAAGTATGTGGACACCTGGACATTTATTATGTACTTAGTGATCGCACACAACACCACAGGGGAGACCTGTCAATCACAGTATGCCCCGCCCCAATGGCTCCGCTGCTTTATGTTTTTATATTTGTCTCTAAATGGACCATAATTTACTAGGACCAGAGGAGTCGCCCCCTGCTGGTCAGGAGAGCTTTAGGAAACTTCTGGTTGAACTATTGAACTCGTATCTCGTGTTTACGTCTCCCAGGAGAAGAAAGAAGTTTTCATCTCCCGTCTGAGTCAATCTGACACCTGACGTGTGAGTTTGACGTCAGAGTTTCATCTCAACCGCGCTGATATAAAACATGTTGTCAGGCGCTGTGTGTGTGTGTGTGTGTGTGTGTGTGTGTGTGTGTGTTCCTCCTCAGTTACACCGTCTCTCTCTGACTAGTTTCTAACGGCTTGTGGCACCAACAGGACGAGAAGGAAGAGACTCATCCTCCTATTGCTCAGCCTCTATTTCTATATCTTCCATCACACCATCGTCATCATAAAATGGTAAAATGCCAAACGATAAAGGTCTATTCATTTAAGTATCTATTCTTGATGAATTATTAATGAAGAGCATCATTCATGACATGCTCGGTGCCGTCATTCTGACCCATCGACCTCCAGTTAAACCGTGACAGTTATCTCGCGGCATCACTACCAGCTTCTCTCCTCGAGACGCGTCGCTGTGAGACGTCGGCTTGCCGCGGGGACAAGGTCAGACCTCCATCCCGTCATCGCTCGCGTCTCCTCTTCCTCTCTGCAGGACCGTTAGCGCCCCTACCAGAGATGCTAATTGTGTCCATGTGCTACACACACACACACACACACGGCGTCGCCGCTGACGTCCGCGCTCGCAGCAGGACGTCTCCATCCCAGCCGGTCAGTCACATGACGGCGTGTTTGAGAAGCATTAGCGTCACTCTGGTTTCCTTCTCGTGTTTGTTAGTCCATTTCGTACTTTGTCATCCTGCAGTTTCAGCCACAGTTTTCAGGACTTTTTCCGTCTGCGTGTGGGAGCCCATCCAGGCGTGTCAGCGTTTCGATATTTGATTATTTTATGAAGGAACGTTTGGCATTTTTAAAAGGTATGCTTTAAAAACAACATACGCCTCCTCATCCCGTTTAGTAGACAAAATAACTAACTGTCTCTGTTCCTGTTACGTGTAAACGGTCTCTCTCTCTTTCTCTCTCTCTCTCCAGCTTTCCTTTTTAGGTTTTATTGCGTCGTGTGTGGTATTTGATTCACTAAAGAATTTCACCTTCATCTCTCAGCTCTCAAACCGTTATTCTCATGATGCTCCGGTCCTCACTCGTAACACAAGTCGGGGCGATTTAAACCCTTTTTTTTTTTTAAAACTCTTTTGAAAAATGTGAATGTGACAAACTCCACCCGCTTGGCGTTCCCCGGGGATCGAAACACAACATCACAGAGACTCTTTTTGTGAGACAGCGAATGGATTCAGATGTGGAAATCTGCTGATCGGGACCTTTTACGTGGGCTTGATTTATCCCCTCACAGCGTGGAGAAAAGGTGGATTTAGTGCATCTGTAGAACTTTGAGGGCCAAATGAACACACACAGAGAGACACACACACACACACACACACACACACATCCAAACCATCTGGTCGCGGTGGAGTGGAGAGAATGACGAAGCATAATGTGATCATCTTTTCCCAGTGCCTGCTCTGTTTTTATATTTTAAAATTGCAGCTTTTCATGGATTGCACATGGATTGTATTCCTTTATCTAAAGGAAAACTCAAACTAAATGTGCTGCTCCCTGTTTTATCTCTGCAGGAGACATCACACAGAAGGGCTATGAGAAGAAGAGATCCAAGCTGATTGGAGCCTTCTTCCCACAAGCACCAGGTACAAGTGACCCTTTTCAGGAAGATACGTCGGCTGGAGCGACCTCGAGGGAATCCAACCAGATCGTCTTCATCTCACATGAATTATCATGTGTAGCCACTAATTTAGACGATCTTTTCTTAAAGTGTTCATTCTAAAAGGAGACCCCCCCATCTTCCCCTTCCTCCATATAAGATATCTGTTGATTCTGGTCTTCGTGTATTTAATAAATCACGAGTCGCGTTTTTTTTGGTAACACGACACAGACGGATGTTATGGAGTCCGACCTCAGAGAGGAACGCTGAGGATGGGAGCGGAGCGCCACTGGAGACCAGCAGACACACTGGCACTGCCACGGCTATTACTGGGAAACACACTCCGTGTGTGTGTGTCACAGGAAGTGCATTATGGGAAGGAATGAAGGGGTGTGGGATGGAGAAAATGTGTGGTATTCACATTCAGGCCCAGTGGGGGGGTCGTCCCTTGTTCACTAAGAGGGGTTTGTAGAGGTGGGGTGAAGGGGAGGGGGCCGGATGGCACACGCTCCTCAGTGCACGCCCACACACACACACACACACACACACCAGTAACTTCCCTGCGGCCTGTTATTCCGCTCCACGCAGTCGAGCTAATATGGTTTTGATAAAAGCGTTTACAGCTTTTCAGAGTCTGGTTTCCTCGGTTACCCCGGTTACCCAGAGCAACGCACTTTCACATCACAGATTAGCTTCAGTTTACTCCGAGGGCACTTCTATTTGGCGAGATTCAGCTGCAGCTGAGCAATGATTCTTAGTCGTTTGTACACGTGGTGCAGTTTTTTAGTCGTGGACTAAAAGAACACGGATGTAGTGCCGGTGCTGAAAACACACAGTGCATCCAGTTAGCATCATTTCAGCCAATTCAGACAAGACCATCATTGCCGGCATTTTCCTGAATATTTGGCCATATGGAGGTAACGAGGCCCCCCTCGTCTCGAGCCTCGGACACCCGACCGGGAAGAGGCCCTGAAACGAGTTTGATGTCCGGCAACTTGACATAAAAATGTCTCGAGGAGGCAGCGCCCCGTGATGCTCAGATAATTGGATCTTTTTTGGAAGCTCAAACCGCCGTTATTGTGAAGTCAGACGACGTCCACGGCCTTCAGCTTCTCCGGGAGAAGCCATCGACCTCGGGCAGTTTTTCTCAACTGCCTCCATGACCTCGGCCGAAGTGACTGCCGCTGCCGAGTTCCTCAGCTCGTCCCCCACTCAGGATGTTTCAATGGTTCCTCCCACCATCCTTTTCTTCGCAGGCTGCGGAGGAGACAATTCTTTCCTGAGACTTTAGGAGGTCACCTGGAAAGATATTTGCTATAAGTCATAAACCTTGGAGATTATTGGCAAAAATGTTCAAAATGAATAGTATTGAAACTTTTCGTTTGCTCTTCACGTGGAAGCTAGTGGCTGACGGAAAGGACTGAAGGAGAGATGCTGGACACAAATCATCTCCAATGCCACAGCTAGTGAGTTTTAAAACGTGCATTAAAGAAGTGTACTTCCAGGCAGAGTCATGTGGACCTGCTGCTCTGGAATCCATCCGCTCAGGCTCCCCAGAGGATACAGCCAAAGTGTTTCCCAGATCTGTCGTTTCCAGCAGCGCTGGCTGGTCAGACGCTCGGCTAATCAACTTTTAGCCCCCCACTGCCCCCCCGCCGAGCAGCAGCGGTGCTCTGAGAGCCGTAATGAAGACGGATGAGGGGGGAGTGTGACGGATGCTCGTAGATCGGTAGCGGCGGAGCGCTCGTAGTGTCTAACGGGGTGGTTATTATCTTCAGGCTTATTGATCGTTGTGGGGGGGTTCTACTCTACGGGGGGGGCGGCTCACTTTCTGTTTCCCACATGGCGTCTAACATCTTTACATTTGTTTGGGGATTATTGGGTTTTTTCTTTACTTTCTATTGACTGTGTGTTTATTTGCGGATTCTGCTGAATTAAATGTGATTTCCTAGTTGTGTGTTTTACACGTCTTGTGGGGACATAAATCTAGTTAAGAACATTGTGCGGACTGGTCCAATGCAAGTTTAAGGTTGAGCTCAATCTCAATTGAATGTAAGTCAATGTGATGACACTGTTTTGCTTTGCAAACACAAAGGCTTTAAATTGAATCCGATCCTCTTGTCCCAGGAATGGACCCGTCCATGGGCCAGGAGAGGAGAGCCCCGGTAACCCCGTCCTCGTCCTCCCGGTACCACCGCCGGCGGTCCTCTGGCTCCAGAGACGAGCGCTACCGATCGGGTAAGAGGGACGCTTGTCTTCCTACCAACTGTGCACTGATTTTATGATACACGATCGATCAATGCAAACATGAGGAGTGCTTAGCTTTGTTAATGGCCTCATTAGCTCAGTGTGTCATGTGTGATACTAGAAGCAAAGGATGGTTCCATCGTTCAATGGATGTGATATAGTGGATCGAGTCATCTGCATAACTTAGCATATCAACAAGGAACACTGGAGTTTTTATGGGTTTTATGTGTAAAGAATGAGGTAGAAACACTGCGTGTTCATTTTGTTAACTTATGCCAAATTTACACATCAAATTTGGAGAAATTGTCTCCAGCGGATTTGGTCGGACTTGGACATTTGCTGGTATGGAGTTGCATTATGGGAATTGTAGGTTTGTGTTTGTGGGGATAGACCCGAGCCACTGAGTCCTCCAAGGGGTCGACCACGGATGTTATGACTCTAATCTAGTTACACCTGGAGATCAGTGTTTTTAAAGTGGATCTAATCCATTTGGCCGATGGTTGATGCTCACCATCAGCTCTGCTCTGGTGTCGCTACGCGGTCCAGTTCATTTCACACTGCATTATTCAGCAGCAATAACGGCGGATTGAATCCGATCCCCACACAATGGATTTTTAATAGCAACTTTGAGCGTCAACATCAGTTTTCTCTCACAGAAATGAGGCGAACAGACAGAGACCCGATAAAAATGGCGATGTGATGTCTGTGTGTCTGCAGACGTGCACACAGAGGCGGTGCAGGCGGCCCTGGCCAAGCACAAGGAGAGGAAGATGGCGGTGCCGATGCCTTCGAAGCGCCGCTCGCTGGTGGTCCAGACCTCGATGGACGCCTACACGCCGCCAGGTACCCGGGCCGCAGAGTCGGGCACTCCAACAATTAGTAATTGTTAATGTACATTGTAGGACTGTGAAGATTGAGCAGAAAAACAACGAGCAGGTCGCTTTATAATCGTACTTAATTAATCCTCAACGCTCCGAGCAGATCCGCTTCCCCCCCGTTTCTACCTTTCACAATAAAAGCAGCAAATACTGTAACGGGTTGCATCTATTTCAACCTTTTGTTGAGTCCCGTAGTTGTCTGTTAAAATAGGAATGAATTTCTTGTGTATTTTTACTCTTCTGTCCTCTTTAGCGTGAGAGTCGGTTCATTTCACACCTGTGTGTGTGTGTGTGTGTGTGTGTGTGTGTGTGTGTGTGTGTGTGTGTGTGTGTGTGTGTGTGTGTGTGTGTGTGTGAGAACTGGGTCAGCTTCTGTTGTTATTCATATCATGACTATTAGTCCCACATGCTGCAGGCTTTATGGAAATCACATGCAAAACAAACACACACACACACACAAACTGAACAGAAGGGAGCTCAAACCTTTCCAGACAATAGTGACGTGGATGATATGTGTCAGATTAAAACGGTATAATTCAGATTAAAATACCAATAGTTTTCCTGTCGTTTGGTTCGATCTGCTCGTCCCATCGCTCACTCTGCTCCTCCTCCTCCTCAGACACCTCCTCGGGGTCAGAGGGCGAGGTTCAGGGCGACGAAGGGGAGGCAGGAGAGGAAGAGGACGGAGGGGGCGGAGGAACCTCGTCCAGCCGGGAGGGGAACATCAGCATGGAGCGCTGGATAAACCGGGCCTATCCACGGCACCTCCTCCACCACCACCACCACCTCCTCCACGGCCTCCTCCTCCTCCTCTTCCACACGCAGCGGCGGCAGCGGGGCGGCCGGGGGCCGGCTGGCCGACGTCCTGTCCCAACACGCCCACCACCACCACCACCACCACCCCCGGCAGCACCACCGCCACCACCGCAAGACAGGTAGCAGAATCCAGACTCCTCCACCTTAATCTGCACACCTCCACCCTAATCCGCACTCCTCCATCCCAATCCAGACTCATCCACCCTAATCCACACTCCTCCATCCCAATCCAGACTCATCCACCCTAATCCACACTCCTCCATCCCAATCCAGACTCCTCCACCCTAATCCACACTCCTCCATCCCAATCCAGACTCATCCACCCTAATCCACACTCCTCCATACCAATCCAGACTCATCCACCCTAATCCACACACCTCCACTTTAATCCACACTCCTCCACCCTAATCCACACACCTCCACCCTAATATTTACACTCCTGTGAAAATATTACACCTCCTATTTACAATCCTGACTCCTCCATATTAGAGGACGTCTCCATCTAGATTTGACTAAACTTTTAGCTTCTCAGGCCAGCGGCTCTGAAGGAAGGCTGGAAACACTTAGCGGCCCTTTATCACTGCATGGTTATTCATTTATATCAGGATTAGTCCAAACTGCCCCGATGCCGCCCGTAATCCCAAGAGGAACGTCTGTTTGGAGCTTAACTGACCAACCATGTACTTAAAAGTTTAAAGGGAATACCTGAGGGACATAAAAGTAACTAAACTAAAGTTTAACGCTGAAATGTCAAAGCATCAAATAATAGTGATTATTTGAAAAGATAACTTGACTTCTCTTTGAGGAGGGGGGGGGGGGGGAGAAGCCGCCATCCCTCGGCTCATGGCGGGGCTGTGGAGATAACACCCTCATATTTGTTTGCCCCCCCCCCCCCCCCCCCCCCTCCCTAATTGCGTCTGTGCCTTCAAAGTCTGTTGTGAAAGTGCAGAGGGAAATGCATCACTGCTAGCCTCGCTAGCGCTGAGCGCTGGGACGTGTTGCTTTGCGTCCCTTGTAAGACGCAAAGCTCTTAAGAGGAGAAATCGGCTTCCCCTCGTTTCAAGGCTGCTCCGTTTGCTGCTTGGTTGATTCCACCAGTCGCGGCGCTTTTATTTAAGGCCTTCAGTCAGCCAGCGGCGATCTGCTTTCACAGCGGCGTCTCGTCTGAGCCACTAAGCAGATGGTCTCGGTTTTTTTATGCTTAGTGATGTTAAACGTTCATATAAAAAAGCCGCTAATCACTGGATCACTAATTCTGCCGTCCAGGAATGTTGAGCCAACGAAGTTCCTCGTTAACAGACTTTTAGGACGTGGACGCTAACGTGCACGAGGGGGAAAACCCCAAAGTCTCCACCAGCTCGGCACCCTCTCATTAGCTGAAGTGGAGACTCGCTCGCCATCCTACAGTCAGCTGCAGGGAAGAGAACCTCGAAGCTTTCCATCGGCCATCCATCACTCACCCTGAAAAACAACCCGCTTAAAGCAGGAGTTCCTGTGCTCAGCGCAACTGAGGCTGCACCGCTGGTTCTGTGGATCTGCGGGAGGAGGGTTCTTGCTCGTGAGGGAGGCTTCAGATGCAGAAGAGATCTTAGGAGCTTTTATAAATTCTTCTTCCTTTTGATGAAAACTTTGAGGGAGCAGATGTGACTTGAAACTAGAGATTGAGACCAAAAACTCATGTTTACAATGTTTACTGAGGAAAAAAATCAAGTGAGAAGTAGTCATTTCCTCATGGACTTCTATGGGACCAGAGGAGTCGCCCCCTGCTGGTCACTACAGAGAATGCCGTTGAAACTTTATTGGGAATAGTTTCTCCTTCTTAAATCACCGTAAGTCTCGTGGCAATAGGTAATAATGTAATTTAAAGTGGTGGATTTGGCTCATGTTTTAGGGTTGGGGCACGTGCACCCTTGAATACAAACAGTTCTTTCATGCACTGCTTCCTTCACAGATTTATTGACTCAATAAATCTCCACTCTAGAAGACAAACTTTAAAGTTTCATTCCTGTCTATATTCTGAAGGTTTCTTCTGAGGTGTTTGCTCATACATCATTCATAGCCTCATTTATACAACATTTCATTACCAGGAACACGGACAGAATTGATTTATATTAAGGCCGTTGACACTATTCTCTGATTTATGTTCTGATATAAAGAGACATCTTTAATTTATGCCTCTTTTTCAGATTTAAACTAAAACTGGGGAACTTTTAATGTGATATCTATATTCACTTGAGTTTTCTCCCCTGCTGGATTCACACTAATATTTAGCACAAATAAATCATTGTGTACGTGTATGCGTTTCAACAGAGATGATGAAATATTAAGTAAGAAGAAAACATCGTCTTTGTTGGAAGTTTGCCGCTTTTATTTCTCTGAATCCTGAACATGTTTCATTCACTTCGGTCGTGTTTGTACAAGTGGAGATCAAAATAAAGTCGATATATTAAAGAGTGATCCCGGGAGAGACTCCGAGAGGAACGTAGTGCTCTCCTTTAGAACAAACTACACGACTTCTTCATTCCTTTTCTACACTCTTGTTTTTTCACGCTCTGAAACGAAGAACGAACCCAGACGAGTGGCGTCTGTCAGAGCGGCACGCCGATGCCTTTTGTTCAGGACTTATTTGTTCCACCATCACACGCGTCTGTGAGCGCTTCATGTGCTGCACCTGAACAAACGCCAGGCGCTCCGGGGGCCGTAAAGTGGACTTTAACGACGCCTGTTGGTGTCGTATCGCCTCAGTGATACGTTTTAGCATCGGGGTCATAGGTGGTTACATTCCACATTCTGCTAAGAGGTGTTTCTTATTTTCTGCCCCCTTTATGTTCGTAATTAGGGAAGTCAAAGACTCTAAAATACGTCTGAGAATCTGCATTGGGGAAAAACGCTAAATGGATAAAGAGACAGTAGGAATAAAAATGACTCTTATTTTAATCACCTTTGATCGTTTGGAAATGTTTTCCTCAAATACATTAACGATGAAGTGATCTCTTGGAGTGATTTAATTGAGTCTTTATACCACGTTTCCCTTACAATTATGTTTAAATTAACACATTATTAGAATCGCAGCCCTTCAAAATAAAAGCATTTTACAGCGGTTCGCACTGCTGCGTCTTCACTGCGGGAACCGTAGTGCTGAAGTAGTTCCCCTCTCCTGGTGCTCCTTGAGGGGGGGGGCAAAGAGTTCCTCATTTAAATCATCCAACATCGGGACATCGCTCAGCGTCCTTTGCTTGTGTGATGACGCTCATCCTGTGTTTGACTCATTTCTTCATCCCGCCAATGCAAAGTTATGGTTGATTGTCTTGCAGCATAAGCAGCAGGTCGTGCAATCCAGGAACATGCGAATGCTCGATGAGTCTTTCCGTGCTCGTGGTTTGAATCCGTTGATGACTCAACAGCCTGGATGTAACGAGACAGCAGGTCTCACCAACACGCATCCCTCTTTATATTCAGCACGCATCTCCTCTGTCAGCCTGCACGGTTTGGTGTTTGTCCGCCGGCTGCCGAGTCGCCTTGAACGAGGTTGAAACATCAGCAGAAGACAATCTGCACGAGGCACAAAACACGGGCCGGTGTCGCTGGGGGAGGGGCAGCATGTGGTGGTGGGCGGAGTCACAGTTCCAGTGAAATGTCATCCCATCGCCACGGCCCACATTTATTTTCTAGTAGCCTCGCCTTTGTGATTCATTTCATCACTTTGTGAATGAAGTTACATTTTGAAGTTACGGTGGTTAGTTTTTCGCCCGTTCAGCTGAGGCGAATGATCGTATTGTTTTAAACGATTAGAACAGTGTTCAGCGTGCACACTTCCACCGACACGTCACACAAACCTCTTTGAGCTGTAGCTCGTCTACTGACACTGATTCCACTTCAACTGCTTTCAGCTCTTTCATCCAACGTAAAAGCTTAAGCCTCAATTAAATTAAATAATATTTATTTAATTCATTATTCTTATTTTGTATTATGTCAGTGGGACGCCTGTTTTAAATGACTAAATAATTAAACCATATTAATTATCTAGAGTGAAAGGATCTAACTAACTAGTCTAACCTCCCTCGCTCACGTCCACGCAGAGAACCACTCCGCCCCTCCAGACGTCACCGGCTACACCAACAGCGCCCCCGAGGGGATCCAGGTGGAGCGGGCGCCGGCCGCTGGCACCGCGGCCCAGAGGCCGACGCCCAAGTACGGCAACGCCGAGCTGATGGAGACCGGAGACGGTGAGCTTCTTCTCTACAGTGATGACGGAGAGAAGAGCGACATTCGTGCCGACGTTTCCATATGTTTAGCTCAGCCGGCAGCTTTTTCCCGTGTGTTCATCAATGTTTATTGCATTTACACTAGATGGGATTTCTTCCTTTTCTTTGGGGCGTGTGTGTGGGGAAACAGGAAAGCTTAATGGTCTTACTGGGAGAGAGACTCTCTGAGGTGCTTTAAACAGACGGACCTCCAGCTGCTTTTTTCTCTTTTTTAAACATTTTGTAGGCAAAGAAAAGGTTTGAACCAACTTGTTTTTGTGGCAGTTTTATTGTGACAGTTTAGTGTTTGTTTGATTTTTGTAGTTTTATTATTTTGATTTCATATTTTTGATGTACAAAGAACATTTGTACATCAGCTGATTTCGGCCTTTGTGATCTGGCGTGTTTGTGGGTAAAGACGCGGGGCCACAGTGGGTGGTTGTTTACTTTTTGGGGGGGGGGAGTCTTCGTTGTGTCTTTAGCTCATCTGCCCCCCCCCCCAAACCGTGTCGGCCAGAACATCTGCCTCCAGATCTCTGCCGTCCCGCCTCCTGAAGCTCACAGTCGGGATTTATTATCCGCTGTAATGAAAGAGCAATTTGCACCTCGTCTGGCACGCCGCTTTTTTGTTTCTGATTGCCCACCGGAGCGGAAAAAAAACTGACTCTCCACTTTAATTTAGATTTAAAGCTTCCATGAACGTTTAATGAGGGACGACCGCTTCAACACAAAGCACCTGTGAGAGCAGGAGTTTGATCCAGGATGTGCGTTAATGTGTGTGTGCAGGTGTTCCAGTCAGCAGCAGAGTCTCCGCTAAGATTCAGCAACTCGTCAACACGCTGAAGAGACCCAAGCGGCCCCCGCTCAGGGAGTTCTTTGTCGACGACTTCGAGGAGCTTCTCGAAGGTAAAAAACATCACACCTTTTATTTTGAAAATATCTTCCAAACTTCCCTTCTGGTGCTGTTTGGCCTTTTTTTGTTGGTGATGAATCGTTGGGCCGAAGGTAAAACTATGTTACCCGTAAAAGTCTCATGTTGAGAATATACTTAAAGTTCCAGAGATGGAGATAGAGATGGAGATATCTCCACCAGATTTCAACAAAGTGTCAACAAATGGAAACCAATGGCAGCGAAATACAATTTCTAGACACATACGTTTGTTGACTCAGATGAAATTCGTGACATTCTTGTGTATTTGAGTTCTACATTTTGCCTAATAAGCGTTTTAAACTTTGTCCCTGCTCCACCAGTCCAGCAGCCGGACCCCAACCAGCCCAAGGCGGAGGGCGCCCAGATGGCGGCCTCGCGGGGCGAGCAGCTGGGCGTGGTGACCAACTGGCCCCCCTCCCTGGAGGCGGCCCTGCAGAGGTGGGGCACCATCTCCCCGAAGGCCCCCTGCCTCACCACCATGGACACCAACGGCAAGCCGCTCCACGTGCTCACCTACGGTAATCTGAGCCCCGCGCCTCACCTGTGTCACATGATTACGATGTCACATGTTTACGATGTCACATGACGGGTTGGCTGAAGGAAAGCAGCGCGTCCGTATTCCAGGACGGTTGGTTCAGAGATAAATGTGAATGAATGTGTTTTCATTGCTGAAGAAATGAGCTTCAAACTGATAAATCAGACCTCGGTATCTAAAGCTGTCAACCAAGTACAAGTCCGTAGAGACGACCCGCAGCCAGTGCTAAAAGTACCTCTGTTAGTACCACACACACACACACAAACCCCCCGTACACACATTTGTGTGGGATTTGAGGAGCGAGCTCGCAGCTGATGACGAGGCGATATGTGCTCAGCAGACTGTGAAATGTCTTCAGCTGGCACCCTGGGGTCCTCCGCCCGAGACACGGTGAGACAGCGTGTGTGTGTGTGTGTGTGTGTGTGTGTGTGTGTGTGTGTGTGTGTGTGTGTGTGTGTGTGCAGTGCTGAATCTAAAATCTCAATCTTCCCTCATCTTTTTATTCCTGTGGTCTCTCTTCCCTTTGATGTCGACAAGGACAAACTTGTTTTGTTTTTCGCCTGTCGAGCCCCCCCACCCCCACCCGCCCCCACCTCCTGGAGAACAGAGAGAATTCCTGATATTCTCTCTCTGTCCTTAAACTCAACCCTCGTAATGTGCAGGAGGCAGAGCTGAGAGAGGTCGCCTCGGGAGCTTTGATCCTCGTGGGAACCGATCGCGTAACCGATAGCAACGAGTGATTTCATCTCTTTCTTTGAATTTCCCTCGTGTGCTTTCTGTTTGAACTGCAAATCCTGTTTTAAACTTCGGCAGCCTCTATAGACTTTCCAGGATCAACTTTACTATTGTCGATGTACAGGATATTTCACATCATATTTTATGCCAAAGCTTCTTGTGTTAAAGCTGCATTCTCTGTAGCGACCAGCGGGGGGCGACTCCTCTGGTCCCATAGACGTCTATGAGAAAACGACTCTACTTCTCTCTTGATTTATTCCCTCAGTAAACATTGTAAAAACCTGATTTGTTCTTGGACTCATTTTCAGAGAGAAGCTGCAAACATCTGCAAACCTTTCAGAACAAAAGCCCCCCTTTTCGCTTAAATCCAGCCGGTTGTCGCTCCTCCCGTTGGCCCCCCTGGACGAAGCTTTCACGGCTCGTTTCACTAATGTCGTCCTAAGAGAGAAACCTTCTGATTGCATCTGCAGCTCTAACTTGGGACTCTTCAGCAGGAGGGATCCTCTCCTCTGATTGTTATCTCCTGCTGGAGGACAGCGGACCCCCCAGGGGGCCCCCCCATTACTGGTCAAGGCCCAGTATGCTGTATATATAACTTCCTTCCTTTAGAGAAACAGGCTCTACCTTGGTTAAGGTGAGCGCTCCACTTTTATCAACGCCTTCTCGCTGCCTTTCCTCCAGGGATGCAGAAGCTCTCCTCGTCTTCTATTCATTAGCTCACAAGAGGAATTCACGGCGGGTCGCTCGAGCATAATATCTGCGTCTGCCAGTCTGAATTAGAAAATAATCAGGAGGAGAAGATTGATTCTATTGTTGTGAGTTACTGCATCAGTGAACAAAGCCAGCTGCGCCCGGCAGGGAGAATGAAACCGATCGGGGACATTATATATATTAAATATATATATTTAAATTCAGGGTTTCTTGGAAAACAACAGTCGCCGTGGTTACGGGCCTGCGTATGACCCCCTCCGGGTCACGGTACATGGATCAGTTACACCAGTAAAGAGGGTCATCGTCTCACCAGAAGAGCAATGGGGGACTCGTGATGTCACCCCCCCATGTTACTTCCTGTAATGATTCCCACAATCTGCCTCTTCAGGGAAGCTGTGGTCCAGAAGTGTGAAGGTGGCCTTCAACCTGCTGCACAAACTGGGAACCAAACAGGAGCCGCTGGTCAGACCTGGAGACCGGGTAAGTGGAGAGAACGGACACAAAGAGGATGTGATGTGCTGATAGTATTCAGGTTCTTAGGAGCATTGTGTGCGTGGACGTGTGCACGGATCAGTTCTCGTTCTCAAACCACAACCTTTGAGATGTGGACGTGGTCACTCGCGAGTTTCTGAAGAGGAACAAGCTAAAAAAATGGGAAAAGCTTGAACATTTTATGAACCTTCTTCGAATCTCTAGATTAAAGAAAGAGACGGAACCACGATGTCAAAACAACCAGATCTCCGTCTCCGACCTCTGACCTTTCATAATAAAATCTCTGGGCAGGCCAGTATGTTGTTGTATGTAGCTTACGTCAGAATAGATGTCTTCGGCAGAAAGGGGTTTAGGATACATCGATTATTCAAATGTGTTTCTTCCAGTTTCCGTTTCTCGTCATCATGGAAGTTTCAGTAATAAAACACCAACAGAGCAGCTCTGGAACTAAAAGCTAACTAAAAAAACATTTATTGCCTAAAAAAGTGTGTGTTCCTTCTCTGCTTCCTGTGAAAGTTATCGTCACATCACACTGAGGGGGGGGGGGGGGGTATTTATATGCGTCTCAGGCGGGAGGCCGTTTGTTTAATCACAAACTGGGCTACTTTGTGGTTTTAACGTGGTTTTGTAATAAATCGCATGAGAAATTACTGCGTTGTTTTATTTTGAAGGGGGCTGTCACGTCCTGCAGGATGGTTTAGTGTTTAGAGGAGTTTTATGACACACAGTCATTTTATGTGGAAACATCTGCTTTGGAAATGAGCCCCGGGGGGTTTTGTGTAATCGCGGGTTTGTTTAAAGTTCTACCGTGTCGACATCAGTCCACTTCCAGCGCCGTAACAGCGCTCGCTCAGCTGCACTGCAACCCCCCCAAACACACACACACGAGCTATTAAACAGCACTTAAGCCGAGGGGGGGGGGGTTAAAATATGGCAGACAGGAAACCCGCTGCACAGGAATGAGTTTAGATTGACAGAAGGATATTAATGTTACATTTAGGTTGTCAGTGGGCAGAATGCATCAGCCCGTCAGGGGCCAGATGTGTGAGCATAGATTCATACGAAACACCCCGAGTCTCCATGGCGACAGGAGGCGGAGACTCACCCACGGTTCTCACGTGCGACCCGCAGGTGGCGCTGGTCTTCCCGAACAACGACCCCGCCGCCTTCATGGCGTCGTTCTACGGCTGCCTGCTGGCCGAGGTCGTCCCCGTGCCGATCGAAGTGCCGCTGTCCAGGAAGGTAAGACCTCGACCCCCCAGGTGGGCGGGACCTAATCAGCATTTCGACCTGAGAGCTGAAACGGTGTTCTTCATGCACAAAGGGGTACGAGTCTGTGTTTATTTATACCGGGAGGGGATTTGTGACGTTGAATCAAATAGAAACTAAACCACCGTCGCTATTTAGTGAGAAAGCGATGATGTTATAGGACCACAGTCTTCAGTTGGACTTCGGTGGAGGGTTTTGTTTCCATTTTGTCGTTTAGAGCACAATTAAAAAACATGAGTCACAGTGGTGAGTCATTGTGTGTGCGTTTTGTTGACGTGTAAGAGTTAATAAAACATATTTCGATAACGAGTTGGAACCCGATTGTGTTTGAGCTGATAAAATGTCCTTGAGACTTGAGATTATAATTCACGTTGTCAAAGCAAAGTTTTTATTTGTGCTGCTCAAACTTTCATGCATAGATATTCACTTTCTCTATGAAGTCATTTTACTTCTCATGTGTTTCACATTAACGCAACGTGCTTTCATTATAAGATTAAATACGAGGTCTGTCGAGAGCAGAAGAAATAAACCAGATTCTACAGAACAAACCCCATCCAGTCCTCCGAGGAAGACCTTTTAGTGATGAGGAAGATGACTTCCTGTTTGCCTCTCGGTGCACCCCCCCCCCCGGTCCTGTTGAGGGGATCGATCTCACGTCTCCGTCTCCGTGCAGGACGCCGGCAGCCAGCAGATCGGCTTCCTGTTGGGCAGCTGTGGAGTGACGGTGGCTCTGACCAGCGACGCCTGCCACAAAGGGCTTCCCAAGAGCCCCACCGGAGAGATCCCCCAGTTCAAAGGTCGCTCTCTCTCACGCACACACACACACACACACACACGCACACACGTGTGCACGTACCGGTATGAGCCGCAGCAGAGAGAGAGACAGAGAGAGAGAGAGATTGCTTTTCAGTAATGGATGTATAAATAGAAACTTGATGCCGCCAGATTTACTGCTCCCCACTTGGCCGTGTGTGTGTGTGTGTGTGTGTGTGTGTGTGTGTGTGTGTGTGTGTGTGTGTGTGTGTGTGTGTGTGTGTGTGTCATTAAGCTGGAGTGCTCCTGTTATTGATCAGCAGGCGATAAGCTCACATGGATGATTCTTCTGGGCAGCTTTTAAAGTAATAATAAAAATCATAATACTGACAATAATAATAGTCACAAAATAGAAACACAATGATATAATACAAGTAGTAATAATAATAATAATAATACACAGGTACTGATAAACACAATTTAACTATAAATGAAAATGCAACAACTAAAATACTGTTAATGCTAAATGCTTAGATTTAAAGTGTGTTTTTAGGGGACCAGAGTCTGTAAATAACGACCTGGTAGCTGCTCGTGTAACCTCTGACCTCTGGGAGCCCACTTCAGGTCTCACCGCGGTCGTAAACCAGGAGGGAACAGAAGCACCTCCTAGATGTTGAGATACCTGCATCTGTTCTCCTCCACCTCAGAGACGTGTTGAGGGTGTTTGTTTTGTGACCCTGTGCGTCCAGGCTGGCCCAAGCTGCTGTGGTTCGTCACGGAGTCCAAACACCTCTCAAAGCCGCCCCGAGACTGGTTCCCCCACATCAAGGACGCCAACCAGGACACCGCCTACATCGAGGTGAGGCTGCGTATATATAAAGATATATATATGTATATAGATATGTATATAAACAAGTTGTGTTCATCCCCCCCCCCCCCCCTCTCTGGGCGTCAGTATAAGACCTGTAAGGACGGCAGCGTGCTGGGTGTGACGGTGATGAGGATCGCCATGCTCACACACTGCCAGGCGCTCACACAGTCGTGCTCTTACACAGAAGGTAACGCACACACACACACACACACAGTCACACACACTGTATGGGTGATGTTTGTCCCCTAACATCTGTCTCTCGTCCCCCAGCTGAGACCATAGTGAATGTATTAGACTTCAAGAAGGACGTGGGACTGTGGCACGCCGTCCTGACTGTAAGAAAAACGCTACACTTGTTTTAATGCCACTTTGGATCTTATTTATTACTTAAATTGGTGTGCGTTTTTTTGAACTGTGCATATAACTGCATATAATCTCCCTCCTCTGTGCCCCCCCCCCCTCCCTCCCAGAGCGTCATGAACATGATGCATGTCCTCAGTATTCCTTACGCCCTCATGAAGGTCAACCCTCTGTCCTGGATCCAAAAGGTCTGCCAGCACAAAGGTGAGCGAATCGACTGCCACTCTGTTGTGGACGTCAAATTGCACATCAGCCTCTTATTTCTTTGTTTGACATTGTTGATCAGTCAGATCCTGTTTGGTTCAAACGTCACTGAGTGTGTGTGTGTGTGTGTGTGTGTGTGTTGTGGTCTTTTGCGTGCAGCCAAGGTGGCGTGCGTGAAGTCCCGGGACATGCACTGGTCCCTGGTGGCCCACCGCGAGCAGCGGGACGTCAGCCTGAGCTCGCTGCGCATGCTGGTGGTGGCCGACGGGTCCAATCCCTGTAAGGAGAACACTCGGCGGAGAGGGAGGGGGGGCGTTAGGTCGTCCTCTGGGGGCCGTTGAATAACCTGAAAATGCCCAGACACATAATATTATGATGGAACTACGTGATGATTTACAACAGATGAAAAATCTTTACTAAATAAGGTTTTATGGCCGGTTTTATTTGAAATGTACTTTTTTAAATGGTTTGTCTCTCAGGGTCGATCTCGTCATGTGACGCCTTCCTCAACGTCTTCCAGACTAAAGGTTTGAAGCCGGAGGTCATTTGTCCCTGTGCCAGCTCCCCCGAGGCCCTGACTGTAGCTTTAAGGAGGTACTCACACACACACACACACACACACACGTCTATTTCTTAACCTGTCCACATGTTTACAACAATAATCGAACAAACAAGACTTTCTTTGAATAACAACCAAAGATATATACACATATATATATATATATTTTCATATATAATACTTTTTTGTCATTACGTCATTCACTTATGTATATACAGACATAACTGTTGACCCTCCTATATGAGTAGCTTTTGTTTTGCTTTTTCTTAATTTAACACCAAAAAAGTTCCTGACTTCACAGTTCTGTGTCCTTTTGAATCACTAAACTAAAAACCTTTCCACGTCTTTCATCATCCACGCTGCAGCTCGAACCGCATCACCGCCGCCTGCAGTCTGTGCTTCGTGCTCTTCATTACGACACTGTAAAAGCTGTGTGTGTGTGTGTGTGTGTGTGTGTGTGTGTGTGTGTGTGTGTGTGTGTGTGTGTGTGTGTGTGTGTGTGTGTGTGTGTGTGTGTGTGTGTGTGTGTGTGTGTGGCACACATGCTCGTAAATGGCACTTTGCCTCAGCGGGTGTTAAAGTAATGAACTCACTTTATTTTCAGACGAGCTGCTTCAAACCTCATAAAAAAACATCAGGACACACACACACACACACACACACACACACACACTAAACTAGACTCCCGCATGACTTACAGTCCCCAGCTCTTACTCTTTTACTTGGGACGTCCCAGTGACAAAAGTCCTTTTGACTTTTTAATGTTCCATTAAAAGAAGTCCTCCCTGAACCACCATCTTCTCCTCCAAAAGTTTCCTACTTCCCAAAAGATTGTTTTGAAAAAAAAAAAAATCCCACCCGTAAATGTCCTCGCTCTCATCCTCTAAAATGCTGTGATCACAAAGATATCAAAAAAGCCTCCCCGCCCTCTGATTGGTCCTGTAGGCCCGTGGAGGAGGGCACCACCCCCCCCGGCCGCGGCGTGCTGTCCATGCAGGGTCTGAGTCACGGCGTGATCCGGGTCGACTCGGAGGAGAAGCTGTCCGTCCTCACGCTGCAGGACGTCGGCGCCGTCATGCCTGGAGGTGAGACCGCAGGCTTTAGGGGTAGACGGGTGAGACAGGAAGTGGGTGAGACATTCTGTCTCCCTCTAAACTTAAGTACATGTCCAGGATCCGCTGCTTGACTTCAGTGTTTATGAAAGACTTCACATGGAGATGTTGTACTTTTCACTCTTTATCCGATTGGATGAGTTACTGAGTTTTTATATTTGTATTTAACATTTTAAATAAGATACATCTTCAGAAATATGTCAATTATTGTTGATAAATGAAAGAAAACTGTCGTTTTAACTTTAAGCGCCCGTGATCTTAAAAGTACACAACTCGCTGTTACCGTGACAACTCGCCGTCTCTCCAGGGCTGATGTGCGTGGTGAAGCCGGAGGGCGTCCCTCAGCTCTGCAGGACCGACGAGATCGGGGAGTTGTGCGTCTGTACCGTTGCCACGGGAACCTCCTACTACGGCCTGGCCGGCATGACCAAGAACACGTTTGAGGTGTGTGTGCGCGCGTGGAGGAGTTTAATTCCTTTGTCCCCCTTTTTCGTTCTCTCAACTTCTTTTCTCTTGAAGGTTTTCCCGTTGACCAGCGGTGGGGCCCCCGTCGGGGAGTTTCCCTTCACCAGGACGGGCCTGCTGGGCTTCATCGGCCCCGCCGGGCTGATCTTCGTGGCGGGAAAGATGGACGGCCTGATGGTGGTCGGCGGGCGGCAGCACAACGCCGACGACATCGTGGCCACGGCGCTCGCCGTGGAGCCCATGAAGTTCGTCTACAGGGGCCGGTCAGTCAGAGGGATCCTTATTATCACTTCTGATTCATCATAAGTAATAATAATAATAATAACTTATTTAAGGGTAATCATTTCATTCAGTACAGTAACAGAAATAATTGGCTTCTCAATATACAGGGACCTGTATTTGTACATATACGTATTTCACAAAACGTATTTTTTAAATTGTTATTTTTTTCACAACAATATTTCTAAAAAATATTTCAAAAAAGATATAAAAAAACAAAAAATGAAAAGAATATAAAAGAAAATGAAAACATAATTACATTTTTGAATAAGGGATGGCAGACGTTTGCCACATATCTTAAATTCTCTTATTACCGCAGGCAAAAACAAACGGTGTTCTAAGGGAACCAGTGGGAAAATAGTTGATAGCAGTAATATATATAGTATAGTATATTTAGGATTGTCTGCCTCACATACTTTTTGAAGGAAAATTTTAAGTTTTACAAAAAATATTTATCTTGCTCAAAAAAGAAAATGTTTTCTTCTAAAATATATTTTTTAGAATATCCTTGAGGAAAAATACTCCACGAAAAACAAAAACATTATGTTTTGACTGAACTAGTTGCATAATAGGTTTGCACAAAAAAACACAGGAATAATATTCAAAAAATGAAAAAGAAATGAATATATATGAAGATATTGGAAAAATATATATATTTTTAATTTACCTGGTGTAAAAAAAGAAAGATATTATGATAAGAAATATTCATGTTCTTTTTCTTTTTTTTAACTTTCCTGCGCAAGTTAGCCGCGCTAGCCTCTCTGACGTGTCAGAGGTCTTCTACCTTTCAGGATAGCGGTGTTCTCCATCACGGTGCTCCACGACGAGAGGATCGTGGTGGTGGCGGAGCAGCGGCCCGACTCCACCGAGGAAGACAGCTTCCAGTGGATGAGCCGAGTCCTGCAGGTACGAAGGAGCAGGTTATCGAGATAAAAGAAAACAAATCAGTAGTGGGTGATTAGTTCTGGTAAAAAAGGTCTGGAACACAACCTCTAAACGTCTTCATTCTTTTTGTTATTGTGCCATCAAATCTACATCCTCTCTGCTTTTCTGCGCTTCCGCTTATTGACACACTGCGTTTCATACTTCTTATATACTGTAATCAACTGTATAACATTAAATAAATCATACAATAGTAAACAGATAGAGATTGATACCATAAACTCATTTTTACAATGTTTATTGGGGGAATAAATCAAGAGAGAAGTAGAGTAATTTTCTCATAGACCTCTATAGGAACAGAAGAGTCGCCCCCTGCTGGTCACCACAGAGAATGCAGGTTTTTAGTGAATCAGGTTGAAGAATAAAAGGTGCCGTTTTCATTCTGTCCTTAAAATTAAACCCCTTTTCCCTTTCCAGGCGATAGACGGTATCCACCAGGTGGGGGTGTACTGCCTGGCTCTGGTGCCCTCCAACACCCTGCCCAAGACTCCCCTGGGTGGCATCCACCTGTCGGAGACCAAGCAGCTCTTCTTGGAGGGGGCGCTGCACCCCTGCAACGTGCTCATGTGTCCGCACACCTGCGTCACCAACCTGCCCAAACCCCGGCAGAAACAACCAGGTACAGATGTGCACGGGATGATTACCATGATGATAATAATACTACTAATCGTAATCCTTCATTTAGCCCAGTGGACAACAAAACAACAGATAATCAAACAGTAATTATCCCTTGCTAAGTATACAGCTCATATGTGACTTCACGCTGTGTACAAGCAGATGTTAAATCTGGAGATTCGTTCTCTTGTAACCACATGTGCTCTTTTTCCTGTGCTCTTCCTCAGAGATCGGTCCTGCGTCCGTCATGGTGGGGAATCTGGTGTCGGGGAAGAGGATCGCTCAGGCCAGCGGCCGGGATCTGGGCCAGATAGAAGACAATGACCAGGCAAGGAAGGTGTGTGTGAAAGGGGGGGGGGCTGCTGGTTTTCATCACCACCACCACCACCACCATCATCATCATCATCACCATCACCCTCATCATCAGACCCAGAGCGGTTCATTTAGTTTTATTTGTTTGGATTATTTTGACTGCAGTTTTTGCTGTTTTCATTTATTTCTGCTACTCGGCTGTCGCCTTGCTGGGAGCTGAAATACGCAAATACCCCCAAATCACTGGTTAAAAAAGCAGTTAATACAGCAAATAGGAAAAGATGGAGGTGAAGGCAGTGAAAGGTCGATTCTTCACTCTGTTCATGCCCGTTGACTGACGAGGAGTAACGAGTAAGACGAGCGAGAGGGAGACAGGAAGTGTGTGTTACCCACTGAGTCTCCTCTCTCCTCCCGGACTCAGAATGTCCTCAGCGGCATGCGCCATGTCCACTCTAATGACAAGAGACAGCCTCCAGATAATAAGGACCAGCGGCCCACTGGGAAGCTGAAGCACAGCGGAGATAGATGTCACCAAACAGACGTTTGGGGAACTTCAGCTCAACTCCGCTGGTTTCCTCTTCTCTCCCCCCGGAGGACGGCGTTGGACAAAGCTAACGCCGTCCGACCCCGTGCGTCACTTTAAGAAAGTGTCAAAGGAATTAGCTTAGCTTAGCGCAAAGACTAGATTCATTGCTTCATTGATCTGGTCATTCATCTCTTCATGTCTGACATCTCCATGGAAACCGAGCCCTCCGTGTGAATGAGCTGCTGTCTTTTTAATTCTGTGTTTGTCGAAAGGTTTTGGGCATTGCTGTGATCTTACAGAGAAACTGGAAGAAAGAGGAATGAATGGAGTGGAGTGAGTGGTCACATGAACTAGTCAATTCCTTCTGATGTAAGAATTCTCCTAAATCAACAAAATCACGTCCGTGATGAAGGTGACATGAAAAAAAAGAAAACTGTCGGCTTGTGAAGTTTGCAGCACAAATCAAGCGCTCCCAGACGTGCCGGGGGTCCGATGGCTCCGGGTTAAGACTTCTGACAGCTGAATCCTCGTCGCACACACACATACAGCTGTCTCTCCGTGCAGAACAGACATGTAACTGGATGTTTCGCTCGGTTTGAGGCCAGAGAACTAGAAATCGTTCTCTCCTCTCGTCTCCTCGCTGCAGAGCGTCGTTCCCTCACTCCGCTCTCCTACTTCCATTTATATTCATGCCCCCCCCCCAGCAGAGCTCCTCTTTCATCGGTCCCTACAAAATAAAGGTCTCTTCTCTGCTTCACGGGGTCCTAAACGAGGGGACGTGAAGCTGCATTTCCAGGAGATGACGCTCGAGTCAGCTGTTCTACAATAACAGCCTCATCGTTTCAGATGGGAGGGGGGGTACTTCAGATTAAACCCATTTAGACAAAATAAAACTCTTCCTTTCCTCACTGCAGTACTTGTAGCTTTTTCCAGCTTTGGTATCACTATTTTTCTCTTTTTAGGAAACATTTATTGCCAAAATATGTCAAACGTACAAGGAATTTGACTTGGCGGTTGGTGCGTGACAGTAGACAGTGTAACAATAGACAACAAGACAGCAGTGCACGAGTAATAAATACATTTTTAGGATTTATGGCTTTATGACTGTTATTAAGTAAAAAACTGGACTTAAGGGAAAATAAACTGGTTAAAAAGGTTTCTCTCTCCCTGTCTGCTGCTGTGTTTTCTTTCCCGCATGTTCGGGATGTGTGCGTATGTGTTTGCGTGTATGTTTGCGTGTGTGTTTGCGTGTGCTGTCACTCGGCCTCACTGTTCCTGTGTGTGTTTCTTTTAGTTCCTCTTCCTGTCCGAGGTGTTACAGTGGAGAGCTCAGACCACTCCGGACCACGTCCTGTACACACTGCTCAACTCTAGGGTGAGTGTACACACACACACACACACACACACACACACACACACATCTGGAACCAATATAAAAGTCACACAACACCTTCGATGAAAGGTTGAGGAAGTTCAGATACGCATTTCCAAGCATTGTGTGGGACAAAGACAACAGTTGTTGTTCTTGTTGTGATGCAGTTTGTAAATGATGTGCGTGAACGTGACAGATGGGTTTATTTGCATAATGTCAATATGATGCGCCGTATTTGTTTCATCCGCGAAGCAGCGGAAAATGTGACGTGACATCTGATGATGCACCCTGCTGATGGAATGTGTCAATCATCTGTGTGTGTGTGTGTGTGTGTGCGTCCAGGGTACGATAGCCAGCTCTCTGACTTGTGTTCAGCTGCATAAGAGGGCGGAGAAGATCGCCGGCATTCTGGCTGAACGGGGCCACCTACAGGACGGAGACCACGTCGCTCTGGTCTACCCCCCAGGTAACCACACACACACACACACACACACACACACACAGCCTAAGCTGCACTGGTGTCATGTCTACGCTGCAGCAAAGCCTATGTGAACTTGCCTCTCTCTCGTCCCCGTACCCCCCCTCTAAGGCATCGACCTCATCGTGGCGTTCTACGGCTGCCTTTACGCCGGCTGTGTTCCCATCACGGTGCGACCGCCTCACCCGCAGAACATCGCCACCACGCTGCCCACCGTGAAGATGATCGTGGAGGTGAAAGCTTGATTCTTCTTAACGCCGTTTCATCTGCACCAGCAATTCACTATTCTAATAATAACAATAATGATACAGGAGATTTATTTTCAGAAACTAAACTGACAAAATCTCCAAGAAATTCTCCCAGAATGCGGAGTGAGAAATGAGTTAATAAAACGAATCTTTTTGACTTACAAAGATCAATAGATAAAGAACAAAGACGCTGCGCGTGTGACGTACGTCGTCACATTTAAGAGGCTTTTGAGTCCCAAATGATGCACATCTGGCGCGAGGATAATGTGGATGCTCTCGCTGCAGGTGAGCCGGTCGGTGTGCGTGATGACCACGCAGCTCATCTTCAAGCTGCTGAGGTCCAAGGAGGCCTCGGCCGCCGTGGACGTCCGCTCCTGGCCCCCCGTCCTGGACACAGGTACGCACACACACACACACATGCGTGTGGCAAACATTAAGAAAACACCAAGCGGAAGAACATCTGTTTACTAGAAAAGTCATTACTAATAATGTAAACGTGTATAAACTGTATATTAAATAAACATTGATGGTTTTTAGATGATTTGCCAAAGAAGAAACCTCCTCTGCTGTATAAACCGTCCAACCCCGACACCCTGGCCTACCTGGACTTCAGCGTCTCCACCACCGGCATGCTAGCTGGAGTCCAGGTAAACACCGCTAGCTTATTAGCACACCGCCACAATACCGGACGGCCTCCCTCCATCAGCGTTTAATCGCCGCTCTCAATGAGGCGCTGACCCCTCTGCGTCGGGGTCGCTGGACCCAGAGCTTCATGGACGTCTTGCTGTGTAATTGATGGGAGTTTGGCTCCAGCAGGGCGGGGGGGCTCCTCGGGGTGACGTTTCGTTTCTCGTTTACTCATTCCGAAGAAAAGGAAAGAGAAAAGAAAGTGCGGTTCTACTCGGTGTGTGAGAGCCCGTCTTCTGAGTGTCTCGTGTCCGTCTCTCCCGCTCAGATGTCCCACACAGCCACCAGTGCCTTCTGCCGCTCCATCAAGCTGCAGTGCGAGCTTTACCCGTCCAGAGAGGTCGCCATCTGCCTGGACCCCTACTGCGGCCTGGGCTTCGTCCTCTGGTGCCTCTGCAGGTCAGAACATCTTCCATTTGAACCAGTCTCAGTCCCGCGATACAGTGCCACGTTGTGACCCCGCCTCCTGGCTCCGCCTCCTGGTGTCCTCTCTCTCTCTCTCTCTCTCCCCCTGCAGTGTGCACTCGGGTCACCAGTCCGTCCTCATCCCCCCGTCCGAGCTGGAGGCGAACCCGGCTCTCTGGCTCTCGGCCGTCAGTCAGTACAAAGTCCGGGACACCTTCTGCTCGTACAGCGTGATGGAGCTCTGCACCAAGGGGCTCGGCCTGCAGACCGACTCCCTGAAGGTGAGAGCACGCCGGCTCGGGACATGTGATGCGTTTACACACTCCTCATTCTGCCCCCCCCCCCCTTTAGTCCCGAGGGTTGGACTTGTCTCGCGTGAGGACCTGCGTGGTGGTGGCGGAGGAGCGTCCCAGGACGGCCCTGACGCAGTCCTTCTCCAAGCTCTTCAAGGACCTGGGGCTCCACCCGCGGGCCGTCAGCACCTCCTTCGGCTGCCGGGTGAACCTGGCCATCTGTCTGCAGGTCAGTCGACCTTTGGCCCCTCCGCTCGACTCCCTGTGACCTCGCAGCTGGCATCGCTTTCAGATTCGTGCCTCTGGTTCTTTGAGACGGCAGATGTTGAGAGAGTTGTAAATGTCCCTCAGCGACGTTTCCGTGAAAGACGTACTCAATAATTCTGCCCTGAAACACATGAAACGCCTTTATTGATTTGGTCGGCGGTGCAGTTTGTAGATCTGGAAGCTGATTATTGGGTGGAGAATGAAGATGGAGGTAGTTTGTGACTCTTCTCTTTCAACTGATGAGTTTGTTCTCTGCGAAAGAAGAACTAGATCATTCGGATCTTTGTTCTATCAAATGAAACATGGCCTCTGACAGATGTTACTAGTGAGGTTTTGTGCGTGAACGCCTGCTGTGATGTAAATGATTCATAACTAACATCTGGCTGATTGTTTCACTGCTTCTTTTGTTTCTTTTGACTTTTCCATTTTGACTTTTTTCTTCCTTCCGTCCTCCTTCCTTGTTTTAATCTTAACCCCGCCCACATATCGCATACGTGGTTATGTCTCCGCCCCCTTCCTCCTCCTCCTCCACCCCTCGCTGCTGCTGCAGCCTCACAGGCTGGGAAAGCTTGCCGACCAGGTAGGGAACCACCACACACCCGCTCCCCACCACCACCACCTCCTCCACCCTGTGTGGATGGAGCCAGTTCGGATTAAACTTCTGTGTGTGTGTGGTGAACGTTGGTGATGGGGATGGGGGGATGGTGGAGGACCACAGGGTCTTTGTCTCTTCCTCAGTTTGCCCCCACCTTCAGGAGACGTCGTCTGTTACTCGTCACCTCTTTCCTCCCTCCTTCTCCTCCGCCCCGCTTGGTGTCACTTCCTCTTTTGCTCCCTGTTTTCTTTGCAAGTCTTGTTTTAAAACCCTTTTTTAAACTGATGTTTCTGATCCGTTTGTTTGCTGCTGAATTCCTTTAAAAATCATCTCACTGCCGTAGAAACCAAAGCTTTGTTCGTCACTGTGAGCACAGGTGCACCGTAGTAGTAGTAGTAGTGGTAGTGGTAGTGGTGGTGGTGGTAGTAGAGGTGGTGTTTTTTGGTCATGTACTTGTACAATGGTAGCCTGTGTACTAAAGGACCCTGTGTGACCTTGTTGTTGTTGTTGTTTAGGGGACCTCTGGACCCGACCCCACCACCGTGTTTGTGGACATGAGGGCGCTGCGACACGACAGGTGAGTCCAACTGACCCGTGAAAGGTTCCACGTCTTCCAACTGAAATGAGGGGACTTGAGCTGAGGACCAAAGTCTAAGAATTGCTCTGTATTTACCAGGCAAGGAAAATGTGCAGAAATAGAGATTTAAGTTCCTGGTTTTGTGAATCTTTTGCTCTGAAGGAATAAAGAAAGAAGTGACGATTAATTGGTCGATCATCAGATATCACGAGCTGTGAAACCTTATTCATATAAAATGTATTATTTTAGGCCATAACGTGTCATCATGAGTCATGTGGTCTTGTTTTCCTCGGCAGGGTCCGGCTGGTGGAGCGGGGGTCCCCCCACAGCCTGCCGCTCATGGAGTCCGGGAAGGTGGGGGCTCTTTTCTCCTTTTTCCTCCTGGTTCAAACGCTTTGGGAATCTTAACCGCTGACATTCGCTCTCCGCTCTCAGATCCTGCCGGGGGTTCGGATCATCATCGCCAACCCGGAGACCAAGGGGCCAATGGGGGAGTCTCATCTGGGCGAGGTTCGTCCCGCTTGTTATCGTCCTCACCCATGTGACGCGTTCATGGAGGCGGCGTCGCCGCCCCCTTAATCGATCACAACAGCGGTTGTTGTTGTTTTTTGCAGATCTGGGTGCAGAGCGGCCACAACGCCAGTGGCTACTTCACCGTCTACGGGGACGAGGCGCTGCAGTCGGACCACTTCACCTCGCGGCTCAGCTTCGGGGACACGCAGACGGTGTGGGCGCGGACCGGCTACCTGGGCTTCCTGCGCCGCACCGAGCTGACCGACGCCAGCGGAGGTGGGTCGAGGGCGGGGCCTCGGAGGGAGCCATCGGTGTGGTTTGGTCTGTCTGTCTCCGAGGTGACGAGCACGAGTGTCTGTGTTGTAACAATTGTAACTTGTTGGTTGTTAATGTAAGAAGAAGCTGCAGAGTGTATTAACACTTTTCATTCTTAACTTCTCCTCCTAACTGCGGAGGCTCGACCATCCTTTAATCTCCAGAGACCTGCTATCAGGAGAAATACGATTTCAGGAGAGAAAGTGAAGGGCGGGGTGCTTTAGGGCGGGGCTACACGCTGATTGACAGGTCTCGTACATGGCCATATATTCAGAAGTGCGTGTGTGTGTGTGCAGAGCGTCATGACGCCCTCTACGTGGTCGGCGCTCTGGAGGAGGCCATGGAGCTCAGAGGGATGCGTTACCACCCCATCGACATCGAGACCTCCGTCATCAGGACGCACAAGAGCATCACCGAGTGGTGAGCATCCGCCTTTATGCCCCCACCCACCAACCCAAGTGCTACCAAACAAGCTCAGAGAGCAGTATTCCCACCACAAAAATAATACCCTATATAATAATAATGATAATATCCCCCCCCCCCCCCCTCAGCGCGGTGGTCACCTGGACCAACCTGCTGGTGGTGGTGGTGGAGCTGGAGGGCTCTGAGCACGAGGCCCTGGACCTGGTGCCGCTGGTCACCAACGTGGTGCTGGAGGAGCACTACCTCATCGTGGGCGTGGTGGTGGTGGTCGACATCGGCGTGATCCCAATCAACTCCCGCGGCGAGAAGCAGCGCATGCACCTGCGCGACGGCTTCCTGGCCGACCAGCTGGACCCCATCTACGTGGCCTACAACATGTAGGCCCCCTCCCCCCCTCCCGGTGGGCATCGTGCAACGGTTGTTTAAGGAAGTCATGGAAACCTTTTTATCGGCAAAATTGAGAGGCCCCCGTTCCTCCGGCCGTGGAGCAGCAGAGAAGTTCTCCCAGAGGAAGAGGAAGACCTTCAGTGAAGATCTGATGAAGCCACTTGTTTTATTTTGTTTTTTAACACGTCCTCAGAATAGTTTAAGCTATTTTTACATAAAAAACAAACTGCGGCAAAAAAACTTAATATTTGACAATATCAACGGATCTGTGTTTTGATACGGGAGGGCGGCGGCGCTTTGGCTTTTTTGATGAGGTACTTCACGTTGGTTTCATGCTAGCTGTGTTTTTCCGTTTTGTAAGCGCTGCGTTTGTTTTATTTTGTATTATCTGAACCGATCCGTGTGCTAGCAGCTAACAGCTCTAGCAGCTGCTGCCTTTTACTCGAAGTTCCCATCATGTAAGTATGTACAAAAAGAAACCGATTTAATTTATTTTGCCTCTTTTAGAAGTTTATGACGAGACGTTGTCTCTTGAATATTTGCTAATATAAAAAGAAACTGAAAAGCTTTGTATTTTGAGTGCAACACACTCACGTCAAAACAGAAGTATATGATTATAGTTTATTTTAAAACGTAAAAGATTCACAATATGCTTTTCCCTTTTTTACCTGCATGTTGGTCAGAAGCGTTTAAATGAGTCAAATTAGAAGTGAAAGTTTGATTTTATCACACACGAAGAGTTCTGCACCCAAACATCCACGTTTAATAGATTTTCCCCCAAAAGAAACACCTTTAAATTTCACATCATTCTCACATTTCTAGTTTTTTTTTATTTTTTAAGTGAGTAATCCACGTAATAAAAAAACTAAAATGTCTCTGAGGATTTATATCATATGGTACATACTGTATATCAATAATGATATTGATCACATTGTATCATATAACTTTTAACAATCTTTTATCCTGTTTTAAGTTGAAGGGTCGGCTTCCTGTCGTGCCGTTCAACGCATCTTTTACAACTCAGGCATTAAACATTTGTTTATACTTTAAATTCAAAGATACTAGGGCGCTTCACATTTGGGTCAGAACTCTTCACAAGCTTCTAATCTCCAAATAGAAAACGAGTTTACATTTCTCAGTTTTACCAACTCTTACTGGAAAAATACCTCTTCAATTGAAGCAGACCGACGAGCAGCAGCGGACTCTTTTAGGGGGGAATCCTCGTCAACGTTGCGTAACCGTGACAACAGGTGTTGTAAATATCAGTCAGAAGTCATTCATATTTTTACATGGACAGATCGATCAGTGATGTCACAGCAGGAACAAAAGGCCGACGACGGGAAGCAGAATGTGAAGCCGCTTGGACTGTGGAGAGGTCAAGGGTCGCAGGAGAATGCGAGAATGATCTGGTTTCAACACTCAAACTGAAGAAGAAAAAAAAACAAGCACTTTTTCGTTCTTGTTTCAGATCCCTCCCCAGTATGTTTTTTAAAGGTTTTAAAAATGTCTTATTTGAGTTAACAGGAATCTTTCAATTGAATAAATATTTCAGCAATTTTGACAAGTTTGTCATTTTTGGAAACTTTTAAAAAGTGCCTTAACAATTAAATGTCATGTAATAAGTCATATTATAGTAAGGAAACCTCATGAAAAATTACATGAAGATTGTACAGTATAAAAGTTACGAATTTAACTTTCCCCAATTAAAAGGTCAAGGTAATTTTGTATAGAATTTAATAGAATATTTAAAAGGTTTTATTTAAAAAAAAATCAAACCGCTATGGTATGTGTGATGTCACACATACCATAGCGACACACGAGAGGCGCCGCCGCTCTCTCCGGGGTAGGTAATAGTGCGAGGACACCGGGTTCAAAATGTAAACAAAGGTTTTAATTTACGTCCTTCCGATTAAACAAAGTCAAAACAGGGGGTAACTCAGGCTTCGGTCGATATTCGCCGGTAAAACTTAACTAATGTCTTGACCTTGGAGGGGAAACGGAAATCCACTTCTTTAAGGAGAAAACACGGTCCTCGCCGTCTCTCCTGCCTCCGGGAATCCTTCTGTCTGGGCCTGCTGCACAAGAGCAGCCCAAATCTGCAGCTCGTCTCTTCCCCCTCAACGGTGTGTCTTCCGCCTTTATGAAGGCCTCCCGGTCGTCATACCCTGATGGGTTTCAGGTGTGAGGGGAATGCTCGGAGTTTCGGGGTGGAGTTCCTAACTCCACCAGCAGATGGAGCCATAGTAGTTACAGCCATCGCCGGTGAACGTATCTCCCTTCCAAGACCCAGCCTCTGCGACATCACATATGTTAAAGTCATCCAATCGGTCAGTGTTTTTTAGAATGTAAAAATGTCAATGTACAAAAGTCATGGAATGAACAAGACAAAGAATTTTGAAAAAGTAAAAGGTATAGTACGTAAAAACTCATTAAGGATTTTGAAATGAGTCAATATTTAAATAAAGTTGAAAGCTTATAAGTCAGAATAAGTTCAAAATAAGATGGCATGTGGAAAAAGTGTAGGAAATCCTAAATGAAATCAAGGGTTTTGTATGTTGATTATAAAACGAGTCAAAATGATTTTTATATTAAACCATCGGTGTTTTGAGCAATACTTATTTATATGTGGACAATCTACAAAATTAGCATGAGGAAGGAAATAGTGTTTTGTCATTTGGACGGAGACACTTTACTTTTTCGTAGATTTCAGAATTTACATTTTCAGGAACAAGTGGAAACAAAATAACTTGTTGATACATTTATTTCCTCCATGTTAGCACATATATATATTTATATACATATCGCTAGCTAAAGCGTTAAAAAAAGAGAATGTTAAGCCACAATGAATAGTTTACATATGGACAGAAGACCCACGAGAGGAAAGTCGAATCCTTACTTAGAGAACTTTGTACTACAATACTCTGGAGTAAGAAGAGCGGGAGGGCCGCGTATGATGTCATATTGCTTTACTCTGAGGGAGCACAACCAGGTCTTTTTCTATTTCACATGAGGAGAAACAAAAGAAAAGGGAATAATACGCCGTTACTCATGCAGATTAGAAACAAAACAAGATACAGACTGGAATGACATCAAAAACTCTTCACTCTGAAATCGTTTTTTTACATCTGGATGGACGAATATAAAAACAGTGAAAACAAACGTCCCCTCGCAGAGAACAAGGTTAGTTGATGCTTTGCATCCGACGCCTTGAAATGTTCGGATCAATCTGCTTCTAAAATAAGGGATTAAAAGCCTCGGAGTAACGGTTGTACATTGTACAAAACTAGAACAACAGTCGTCCAGATCAGGTCGAGTATTCGTGAATACATTTAAAGTGTGAGGAGGGAGGAGCTTATTTACACGTAGTGCATCGGCCACGACTACAGAACTTTTGAAGGATGAGAACAGGTCAAACTGTACAGCAACATGTTACATCTTAAAGTGATACACTTAAATGAGTTGCTATGGCGACGAGTAGGTGACAAGCTTTGAAGGCCCTAAATTCTCTCAAAGTGGAACGCTTTAGGATATTAATATCAGATTTTTCAGCTTCTCAAAACTTGCACTTTGCCATTTTATATCAATGTAAAACTGAATATTATTTGCTGTTGAGTGGACAAAGCGAGCACCCAGCAGTGAACACACGAATAAAAACAAACCAGATGCAGCGATCAATAATGAAAGTGATCAGCTCCAACGTGAAACAAAGAACATCTCGGACCGACTTAAGTTTTGAAGAAAGAGTTTCACATTGAGGTTAATGGCCAGTCGGGTTAGAAAGTCACACTTTGAATGTTATTTGTTTGCACGGACGGCATAAAACGTTCAGATTTCCTCTCTGCAAAACAAAAACATCAGCATGAAGTGATCACAAGGTACGTCCAACATAAATACACGAGTACATTGAAAAACACTGAGTAACTGTACCTTTTCACCAGGTCAATTAATATGTAGTACACATTGTACAAATACTACGTATTGATGTCCTGTGGTATTTGCACATGAAGCTTTTAAACTTTCATTTACAGCAAAAAGAAGCAAGATGATTAAAAAAATAGGTCTTTGTTTAGTTGAAGTGGATAAAAAAACGTCCCGCCCACTCTGAGAATTTACGGTATTTTATTTGTCACACGTTAAAAAGACGCACAGATTGATTCAACAGCAATGTGCGTGGGAGGGGTCTGAGGGGAGGGTGGGGGGGCGTCTGCACACGGAGCTGAAACCGTCATCACCGACGAAGCAGTGGACAAACTTTAAAAGTGTCTCACTTCTCCAAAAGGAAAATGAAAAGCCGGCGATTTTATCGCCACTTTAAAAAATAAAAAGCAATTCCAAGCACCGTATTTTTTCACACCATCGAGACTCAACAGCGAGTGCAGGCAAAGCCGTAGAAAAGTTCCACTTGATCGTTCACATCTTGCATATTGTTTTATATTGGTCCATCCGCCGTCGCCCGTTAAAACACCAGCGAGCTCCGCCTCTTTTTTTTTTACCCCTTTTTATCTTTTTTTGTAATGGAAGAAAAAGAAAACCTTTTTTTCAAAAAGAGGACAAAACTATGAAACCATCAACATGCACGTCGCCTTAGTGGGGAGCAAGAGAGCGAAAAAAGAAAAAGCACGGAGCACAGACCAGGTTTTATAAAAGGAAAACACGTCACTTGAGAAACCGTGTCGGTTTGGACCACGGTGGTGGTGCACGTCTGCCTCCAGTGGCCAAAAGGTGCATCGCAACAACAACAACAAACAAGCCTGTCAGAGGGGATCTTTAGTCTCAATAATCAATAAGTGACTCGAGCGAGAGCTCTTTCCCTTCTCAGACTGCAATCACCGTCCAAAAGTCCAACTCGGATGGATCCCAACAATGATTACTTTCCTCCTGACGCTTGTAAAGATATCTGTGTCAGTTTGAGGTGGGAGCAGGACGCGGGGGAGGGACGACCGCCCCCCCCAGGTGTTTTCAGGAAGCTTCAAACGGAAAAAAAAGGGGACCTTCATTTTTTTGGCGATATCACAGGCATCGGTGTGCAAAGAACCAACGGAAAACGTTTTCCTTTTAATATCTAATTCATAAAAATGAGTCTTTAAAGAGAAAGGCGTTGTAATATAATTATAATAAAGGAAAGCGTATTCTGGCGGCTTTGTTCTTGGCGCCGGCGCTCTGACCCTGTTCCCAATAAGTGACTTTTTAGGTAGAAACGATTAAAAAGGTGAGACACGACGCCGCCCCCCCAAAAATATACTAACACGTGGGCCACGTCGCCCACAACGTTTTGACAGGTTTCCTAGTTTGATGACGGGTTAGTACTTCGAGTTGTTTGTGTATTTGTTGCTTTTAGAGAAACATTTGTTTATAAATTCGGGTAATAAAATGTCTTCAGTCGACGCTCTTAAATAACAGTTAGCACTTCAGAAAAAAGAAAACGATACAAAAATCATACCAGAACTCTTGAGCTGTTATCTGTTCAGGAGGAAAACAACAACAACAATAATAATATAGAAATCAGTACAGTGGGTATATTAAATAATAAGAAAGCAAAATACAAAGGTAACAAATCGCTCTTTTTACGCTGAAAACGCCGGGTCAACAAAGTTCTCGAGTTGTGTGTGTGTGTGTGTGTGTGTGTTTGTTTTGTACACTGACTGACAGGAGGAGGAGAGGGCGAGAGCCAATGGCGTGCCGTGTAAGGTCAAAAAGAGAGGGGGTGGGTGGGGGGGGAGGGGCTTGTTCATCTCTTCCGGCGGCAGGTCCGTTTGTGGTCGGCGTGCCAGTGCTCCTGCTGACACTTGATGGAGCAGTACGAGGTGTTCCAGCAGCAGTGATACATGGCCTCCTCCTCACAGTTATAGCACTGCAAACATCAACAACAACAACGTCGTCGTCGTCTGTCATTTCATCACCAAACTATCCAGCCATGAAACTGAAACCGATCGAAGCTGCAGAACTCACCCACTGCTTCTTCTTGGTCTGGGACATCAGCTGTTTGTTTTGGGCCACCACCTTCTTCACCTCCTCCACCAGCTCCTCTTTGCACTTCTCCTTCACCTGCTTACACTTCCGCTCCATCTCCGCCTGAGCTCCGGCCACCGCCTTGCTCACCGCCTGCCGCTTCTCCTCCTCCATCTCGGCCCGCAGCTGGAGGGGGGCGGGAGGAGGGGGAGGGTGGGGGTTAATAAGAGCGGATATACGGACCTCCCCCCTCCATCTTTAAAAGCCCAAACGCACCTTCTCCAGGGCCTCCCGGACCACCCTCTCCGTCTCACGCTTGTTGTCGGCCTTCATCATCTCCTTGACGTCGTTGAAGACCTTGGTGTACTTCTCGTGGCACATGTTCTGGCAGGTGCCGTCGCTGCTGGTCTGCGTGCCGCGGTGCAGCGTGCGCGGCGACCCCCCGCCGGCCTTCTTGGTCTGCGTGGACACCGACAGCCTCTCGGGCTGCGGCGGCGCCGAGGACACCGGGATCTCCTGGCTGGAGCTCACCGCCTCCACCTCGGGCTCCGGGTCCTGGTGGAGGGACGAGCACGGCAGCACGCGCTGGAGAAGGCGGAGAAGGTTTACGTGTATTAGGATGAAGGAGGCGCGTTTTAGGCGTTTAGGAGACTCACAGTGACATTTGAGAGAAGTATTTGTTCTGTGAAACTCACACTGGCTTCTTCTTTGGGCTGCACCATTTCATTTTGAGAGCGACGGCTTTTCTTGGCTTTGGGCTCTGTGCTGCCTTTGAGCTGAAAGAGAAGATGTGTGAGAAAATGAGTCCAAACTTTGGGCTGCTACTGTATTTATTTATAATATATAAAGTAGAAAATAAGCTATTATTTGTTTAAAAGCAACTAAACTGTACATTTTTTTATTTTATAAATGTTGTTAAAATGTTAAAAGTATCCCTAAACGTTTCTTAAAAGGGAACCTGGAAATATCTATTTTTTTTTCAAAACAACGATAAAAGGTTTTAGCAGTGAGAGGTTTGGCCACCGGGAGGCGCAGTTTGCTGTATTCTTGTCGTTGGCTTTTCTCCAATAATATATGTAGAACTTTGCTATCAATTCGGAGAGTCGTGTCCCCGGGGTCACTAAAGGTCAGCATCGTCCGAGTCGTAAAGAAGGCTCTGACCCCACGGACCTGTCGGACCTGCTCGTTGCTGGTGGAGGAGATGCTGGACTCTGCTTCGTCCGTCCTCTCCAGCCTGTCCGTCCTGCCGCTGCCCTCCTGCAGCGGACTCTGGTTCTGGTTCTGGTTCTGGTGCGAGGTCATGGTGGTTTCCTCCATCTTGGTCTTCCAGAAGCGGCCCTCTCGCAGGAAGCGCTGGTACACCTCCAGCTCCTCGCAGGCCTTCTTCCAGCCGCTGCTGCGCTTCACCTGCAGCTGCTGGACGCTCACCTTGATGTCCTGGATGTTGTCGGCTGGGATCCACGCTCTGCGAGGGGGGGGGGAGAGTATAAATGATAATACGGGTGGATGAAATCAGGCTTTCTGATTGGTGAGAGTGAGTCACAAAATGTTCTTTATTGAGCCATATTGTATCTGTTTACATTGAGCCGAGTAAGTAACCGAAAAATCATTGAAAAAAGGCCGCAAACGCCACAAATGATCAGTTTTGGGAGCTTTCGCAAACCAATTTAGGGCACCTTTTAGCCCGGGGGGGCTTTCTAATGTTGTATTATAAAAGCAATGAAGTACGAGAATGTCAATGTCACAGTTTAACAACCACCCTGAACTGTAACCTTATTCACAGTAAAGTACCTCGTTGATTGAATAAAGTGACAACGACATCATCACGGGTGACTTCCTACCTCTGGTGCTGGTGGCCGAAGAAGCGCACGTCCACCTGGCTTTCATCCCTCTGAAGGACTTTGGCCGGCCAGTAACCGAATCCTTTCATCTTGGCCCAAACCAAGTCGTGGTTGGGGGTCTGCAGGGCCCACACACACACACACACACACACACACACACACACACACACACACACACACACACACACACACACACACACACACACACACACAAAGTAGGTCATGTATTGTGTGACAAATACGAGCAGAAACAAACTGAGGCGGATTTTGTGTTTTCAGTTGTTTGGTAATAAGCAGCTGCCCTCGTGGGGGCCCGGCGGGTCCTACTCACACAGGGGTAACAGAACCAGTTGTCCGGCCGGGCGTTGGACAGGTAGAAGCAGTTCTTACACAACAGCAGCTCATTCAGCTGGTAGAGAGAAGAGAAGGAACGAGGGAGGGGTGAAAGGAGAGAGAGAGAGAGAGAAAAAGCAATGAGGACAGGGCGCGATGTCACTGCCGAGGGAGGGGCGGAGGGGGGGTAAACTGGATGTTACCTCGTGGCACGTGTCGCTGAAGAGCAGCCGAGCGATCTCCGCCTGGTCGCTGTGAACTGAGACACAAAGCCAGACTTTAGGAAGTGGTCCGCGAGGGGCCGAACACACGGCGAGTTATTGAAGGGAAACGCAAAGAGAGAAAGAACCACAGGAAGAAACCGGTCGGACCTCCGTACAGGATGGCTGTGTTGTGAACGATCAGCTGAGCATCGGCTTTGAACTCCTCAAAGGTTTTATACTTTCCTTCAGACAGATTCTGAGAAAGAGAGAGAGATTTAGTTTGGTCATTTGTATCTTCTACCACAAAAAGGTCCATAAATGTGCATAGAAATAATAAATAAACAAATGAGGTTTTCTTCAGTAATAATGAAAGTGTTTTTTAAACTGGAAAGAAGCTGCCGTGTTATTTTAATCAAACAGGTGACTTGTGTCAGGGTTTAAGGCTTACCAATAACCAGGACAAGACAACAATATCCATATGATCCATCCATCCATTCCATCCAATAAACATAAATAGAGTAGAAAAGGGGGCGGAGCGATGGCTACCTCCTGGATGTTTGACACTTCCAGCGCCGTGTGGATCAGGCGTTTGTACATGGGGTGTTTGGTGTCTTTGCCTTTCTTGTTCAGGTCCACCGCCTGCAGATGCAGAGGAAGGGGGGTTGGGGGGTGGGGGGCTTTTAGTATAATGGAACTGTAGCAATGAAAGCCAGGTGAAGTGAAACAGCAACTTGTGGATTAAAGGCATTAAAACCTTGTGCAGGAGAACAACCAACCCTCTGCAGCTCAAACCAACCAACAATAGCCAAAGAAAAAGGAAAGACGCGGAGACGCCGTATACGTCTCTGGTAGAGACCTGTCAATCAGTGTGTAGCCCCGGTCTGTTTGACCCTAAATGGACCATAATGTACTAAATGAACATCATGCTGCATTGAAGAAGGCTTGAAACTAGAGATTGAGACCATAAACGCATGTTTACAATGTTTACTGAGGGAATAAATCAAGAGAGAAGTTGTTTTCCCATAGACTTGAATGGGACCAGATCAGTCACCCCCTGGTGGTCACTACAGAGAATGCAGGTTTTCAGACACTTAAACATCCAGCAAACTGTTTCGCAGAACTGTAGGTTCCCGTCTGGGTAGAAATAAATGTTTGCTCTCACCCTCTCCTTCATTCGCTGCACGATGAAACGCAGGTATTTACTCATCTCCTGTTTGTTCAGGTTCTTCTTTTTACTGCCCTGCAGGACAGAAACGGAAGCGGAGAGTTGAGCTTGGGTCTGACCTGGAAGCCAAACGCTCTGATTCAGTTTAAATGCAAAATGCCGTGTCCTCGAAACACACCACAAACACACAAGGCGATCAGGAAGAAGAGACAGGAAGTGAAAAGAGGAACCAGCAGGGAATGAAGACAAGGAGAGGGCGGCAAATGATCAAGAATAATATTCACAATATTCACATTTCTTTGTGTCTGGAAAACAAAGCTCTTCCTTGTGCTGGGGGAGAAAAGAGAAACTCTGCACTCAGCAAGATTTCTGCATGAGAAACTAAACTCGTGACTCATTCGTCCCTTTCTGAATATTAAAGGATTTATTAATGTGGACTTTGGACAAAGTCTGTCTGTAGTGGCCAAGGGCGTAACCATGGTTTAGACATTGGGGGGGTCCAAATGAATACCATTCCCCATATTATTCTTTTTCTTAAGTGCATGGCCTACGATTCTATATTTCTATATGAAAATTTGCACATTTAAAACATAGTTTCGAGGTCTACATTGACCATTTAAATTCACATCTAAAGGAATAGTGTCATTTTTCTGTGACGGTGACTGCCCCTCCACCTTGTTTTGGTGAGTTGCTTACTATTTACTGACCTTAAACACACCTACCAATTACAATTATGCTTTTCCAGTAGTACTGTAGCAAATAGGATCGCGCTTCCAATGGAAAAAGAAAGACCTCTTACTTAGCGACATACTTACAATGATTGTCTATGTGCAATTAAATGTCATATTAATTTCTCACCTGATCATCTGCATGTCCAGAGCTTGTCCCTGTCTGGCCACTGCTTTCATCTTGCCTGTCTCTTTCCCTGTCTCTCTGTGATGCCTGCATTGTGACCACATGTCATTTTAATCAGAAAAACAGCGACTCGTGCTTTTATGTGGCTACTCGTTTTATTTGCTTACACATTTAGCTTGGTATCAAGTTACTTACTGGCTGAAAAAAAAACAGTTTTCACCGCTTTTTAGGTAACCTAAAATCCTCCATTACGCTACCCTAAGGTGTCAGTCATTTCAGGTTCACGCCAGATACTGCCCACTTCGACCGAACGCGGGCCAAACCATTAAACGATAGGTAAGGGTGGCGCTGACAATCCGACCGGCGACTGGTACAGCGGACGCTGACGATCAGACCGGCCGGCGGTGCGGTCGATATATGTACATAGATATATTTTACATATTTTCTGCTGTATATTGGGGGGGACAGATTGGTACCATTTCAATATTGGGGAGGGGGACACAACCCCACCAAAGAATGCGTGGTTACGCCTATGGTAGTGGCCGTCTTGGAGGATGGAAATAAATAGATCTTGAAGACATTAAAACCAAAATAACTTACAGGAGAAAGTCAGGCTGAAGCTTCAAATATCAAAAGTTTATACATTTTAAAGCGAGTTTTTAAACTACACACACACACACACACACACACACACACACCTCGTGTCCACCTACCCTGCACACCACGCACTGCCAGTGGGAGCCTGCGTCTCGGGGCTTGAACTCCTCCGACAGACACTTCAGGTGATAAACCCGGAAGCAGTTGTCACATGCCAGCACGTCGCCCGGCAGGTGGCACTCGAAGCAGTACCAGTCGTGGCTCTCCGCCTCCCACTCCTGCGTGGGGGAGACACAGCAGAGCACTAACCAGGATGACCTCCCCCCCCCGACACTCCTCCAGCAGCAGCAGGGTGGGGGTGAGGGACAACCTTCAACATGCTGGATCTGAAGTAGCCCCGATGGGTCCGTCTCACGCTTCTCAACTCGTCCTTGTCTAAATTAGTTTGAGGCTCGTACGACCACCGAAGCTTTTTAACCCCCCAGGAGTCAAAGTGCCGGGTTTCATTAAGCTGAATCAAGGTTGTCAAAACTAGTTAACATTTTAAAAAATGTAATTACATTATACAAATGTATACAAATGTGATTCCATTTAAAGTATAGAAATAAATCAGATCTCAACTGTGGTAATTACAATTAAATTATTTATAATTATAAAGAGCTTTCACTGACCATGGAACAAAATTCTTATATTAAAAATAATAAAAGGTACTGAATGTGGTTAGTTATTACGGAGCATCAAACCAAGTCGGCTGAAGAATTGAATTCAAAATCCAAATGTCAAAGATGAATCATTACTAAATATTTAAGCGACTAAAAGCAGTACAAAGAATAATTGCGATGAATAACGGCGGCTTTAATGATGTTGAAAAATGAAGGTGGGTGATCAGTTAGTGGGTTTGGTGCAGAAGTATTTCTCATAAAGGAGTTCTAGTGACGACCACGGAGACAGGAAGTAAGAATAACCACAAAAAGAATCCACTATAAACCTGTCGAGAGTCCAACTCCTCCCACTCACAGTCTGCTGGGAGGAAACCTTCACACATCATTTATCCTTCAAGCACCCACCTCACAACAGACTGTCATCCAGTCACTGGTTGAGTAATTAAACGAGGAAAAAACGATTTAGTTCCAGCTGCCAAAAAGTAGAAGATGTTACTTTTATGTTTGAAGTAATTGCAAATAGAATAGAACTGAATGTCAAATGTATTTTTGTTTTTCTTTTGCAGCTTTATAGAAGTGACATAAGAAAATATATCGTTTCATCTCTTCGCGCACACAAACACTCGACAACACGCCAACGTCCTGTCGGGTGTGCAGAGGCCCCTCACTGCCGGAGGGCCTGATGGCATATAGAATCACAGCAGCGCTGCGGTGGACTTTCAGGAAGCTTTTTCTTCGACATCAGAGATGAAATAAAGCCGCCACAAGCTACTTGTTGTAATTTAATGATTCCTTCTTTAGCTTTTGTAATCACTTGGTTCACGTAGAGCGAGTAGTTCTCTCCCGGCACAAAAGGCTTTTCCTTTCATTGGGGTGAGGGGGCGGGGGGCAGGGGTAATAAGAATGCAGTCCTTACCTTGTTTCCCTCGGCTCGCGGATCCTGTGGGTGCAAATGATTCATTGTCATGTCGCCATTGGTTTTGATCAATCATTAAAATATTTTGTTTTGTCACCACAAATAAAACTATGTGCGTTTTGATTCTGATCTCTCGAAATGACCTTCTACTGCCAGAAAAAAAAGCAATCAGAACGGAACTGAAGGTGGGCGAATGTGTACCGGACCAACCTTGAGGCATAAAACGTGAACACACAATAAGTCCTTGTTATCCAACGCTGAGAGGAAGAGGACTGCGTACCGACAGTCAGCTGCACGGATCACGATGCCAGCTTATGACGTTGTCATAATAATAGCTGTTGTTACACAACAACTTATGAAAGCGTTGTATTTTATAAGATGTAAAATATCCACGACCCAATTAAACAGTGAGATACGTAGAAGATCTACACAACACACCAAGCGGATGGCCGGCGTTACACACATCATCTAGAGAAAAGGACTCCCCGTTGGCTGTCGGAGGAACTTACCATCTCGTCGCCGGGCAACCAGTATCCCTCCTGCTCGATGCCGGCCTTGGAGCCTTTGCAGCCGACAGTGAGGGTCTCCACCACCAGGCCGTCCTTCACCGCCAAGCTCAGCTGCCTGGCGGTCTCCTTGGGGTGCATGCTGAACACACGGCTCAGGTACCTGCGCAGGAGGGGTGGAGAAGGAATTCAGCCATTTTACACGGAAACAATTGCTCAGGAGTTTAACAGGTTGTAACACAAATGATCAGAAGCACTCAGTTGCTTAATTTAACTTTCAAAATGTAACTTTAAACTCCAACAGAGTTTGTTTAGGAAAACAAAATGCATACATTAAGGTTAAGGCAAACCGTCTGGTATAAGCAACAAAACCTCCAACAGTTCTGTTCACGCTTGTTGCCAAGCAACCCAAAAAACAATCCTCTCCACACAAATCCAACAGATTGGGCTTTTTCCCAGACTGCGTGACACTCGAACGGCCGTACACGTGACGGGCAGCTAGAGAGCCAACCATCATCCACCGTCTGAAGACCAACAACACCACAATGCTCCATAAACTACACCCACACCACCCGAGGCCCGGATGAGAGATGCCTGCAATGTGGGATCAGAGTGGCGTCTCTGTCGCAGAGACGTTCAAACGAGGTGAGACCAGGTAGCTCGGGTCGATGTATCATAGTTTATTAAAAAAAAAAGATTATATTTGCATGAAAAAATAAAAAACTGAAACAAATGTTTTCCATTACAAAAACATTTATGAATATTGATAGTTATTCATTTTGTTTGGTCTCCTTGTGTGTTTTTTTTTATAGATACTATTATTCTTCATCCTGCGTTTACTCATTTCTTATTATCCGAGTGACGATGCTCTCTGCAGGTGTTTGTTCTCCTCCTGGCTCTCTTCAGTCTCTTTCCACCAACCAAAGACGTCGCCCTCGTGGCCACAGCGCTCGTTGTGTGAAATTAAGCTACAGCGTGACTGGATATAGGGAGGAGGTGTGTGTGTGTGTGTGTGTGTGTGTGTGTGTGTGTGTGTGCGTAAGCCATCCGCTTCGTGCCCTTGCTTGCTGTTGCCACGACAACAGCCGCTCGCCGCCAAGGCGTCGAGTTGGCAAGCAGCCGACAGCCACCCAGCGTCTCGTTTGGTCTCCGCCCTCCAACTCGCAAAAAGACGCCTAAAGCCACGCAGGCACGAGCGACGCCTCATTGCGGCGACGTCGGACCCCCAACAACTCACCACCGGTTCCTGAGCGTAAACTCATAACGGAGTAAAAAGAGATCTTCAAACACAGACACAAGACACCAGGTGTGAAGAAAGGTGAAATGAGTCCCCCCCCCCCCGGGGTCACAGAGCGAAGCACTCAAAGCCCTTTGGGGGAAAACCTCGCCTGAGGACACGTAAGCAGGCCAGACCATAAACATTATATAAATAGGTTAAATAAATCCTGTACAGACAAAAGGCCTCTAAAATATCTACATTCGAGTAAATCATTTGCCAGTCAAACTATACTAATACTATTCCTTCTATACTACGTATTGAACACTTGACGTGTTTCTTAGAGGTCCATGGATATGAGATATTTATTTATGGCTTCATGCGCTCAACGTGCTGCAAGGCTCCACCTGCGTCTGGAGGACACGAGGGCCTTGACTTCTTCAAACGACCATTTTCAGCGCTGTGAACTAAACTTCCACCTCATCGGTACTCAGAGGCATGTTTTCAAATCTCCACATTAAATCAGAGCAACCCACATGGTAGATCAGTACCTAAGGAATCTATGTTGTTTTAGTAGTTTAGTTGAACCAACACATACCATGACAGATACACCCTCCTTATCATCATCATCATAGCCGTGATGTAACTTACTTGGAGATCCTGTCCATGTTAGCGATCTGTTTCTGGTTGCGGACGACCTCGATGGCCGCCCACACATACTGGACCACCTTGGGGTCCGCCAGCCTCTTCTTCACCACGCGTGACATGATCTCTTTATTCATCTCAACTGTGGGGGGGGGACAACGGAAAAATAAATGAACCAACTGATCTTATTTTGTCTACCAAAATGAAAACACATCCCCTTCATTCCAGGAGGCGCTGTTAACATAGCAGCGCTACCCGTTAAAGACGACCACGGCACGTTCATGATGATGATGTAGCAGCTGAGCTTGTGGCATGAACATGGCAGCAGGGTCACTGCTGCTGGTGATATTGGTCGCAGTAGCAGTTTTGTTTCTTTCTGCCTCTCTTCTCACACCCGCATATTGCGGTCTTTGTAATATCTACACATCTACTTTCTGAAGCTTTTCCTGCCTGTTTGTCGTTACTCTTCCTACGCCGATTGAATTACAGCAGATTACTTGTTCAACGAATCCCTCGGCTTTATAATTGTATACCAGAGTACTACAAAATCTGTTTTTTACGGCCGACGTGTAAAACAAAGCTGCTCAAAAGGCATGTTAGCGGTGTGTGAAATGTTTGGGATAAAAGTTCTCGGGGAGCAGGAGGGAGCGACTTCACGCGCTGGCTGTCTAGTGTCACTCGAGCTAAAGCCACAAAACGCTTTCTGCTGCAGACATGAATTTAGAATGGTGCCAAAGTGTCCCATATAAGCCCAATTTATTTTAAAACATGCAGACATGTAGGCCATATTCCTCCTGAAGAGCACTGATTAGTTATCAGACACAAGCATGTCTGGTTGTCATTGAGAGGACGTTAACAGCCCATTCCCCTCAGGGACCGCCGCGTGGTGCTGGACGCGCACAACATATCAGAGAAACCGTCAAAAACCTTTCCACTCACACCGGCTTCCTCTTAACTGCACTGCACAGCCCGGGCTTTCCCCGAATAGCTTCCAATCCCATTTTCTGCGCTGCTCCTGTTAACCATCCGTGAAACTTAAGATGTCACTTTCATACATCGCAGCCAAAAGCTAAAAACAATAACGACTGGAGGGGGCCCGACCGGTGTGCCCTTTGTATGAGGAAAGGACCGGACGTCAGCGGCAGGATGTTTTACCGCCACACATTTCTGCTATTAGTACAAAGTTTGGTTTACGGGTAAAGAAAATCATCGTAGCAACATATTTGGTGTTGGGAGCAAATAAGTAAATCACATAAAGGCGACTATCAATACAGAGCAGGTGTCTACTGGCAGCAAACACATCTGGACCGGAGTAGAGGTACTAGCTCATATTTCCGTTTTAGAGGAGAGATTATTAGGGTGGATTGTTATGGGATAATCATCTCTTTGAACGCAGTAGCTTTTCTTCTTCTCGTTTTCAGACTGGAAAAGATATCTGAGCCTGTGTTTAAGTACGCACATGTGAGTCTGATGTATCTGATATTAAAGCCACACACACACACACACACACCTGTGCCGTGATGCTACGGCAGCATGGACACCCCGGCCTGCAGCGTGCATGCAACACAGCCACCTCCGGCCGGCACAGCAGCCGCACCTCCGTCTCCAGAGAGCTCGCAGGGCGACAGCACGGCGCCGCGATCAGGTGTGCGACACCCGAGGCAACCAGGACCACGCGGGCTGTGCTGCTCCCGTGGGTGCAGTCTTAGGGGACTACACATCCCTCCGAACTCCACATTACGGAATCGCCCTCATGGTTGATGTTAGCTGAATGAACAGTGTTGACGGACGCACAGATGTTTAGCGTGAGTCCCGTCTGCCAGCTAACGGCCACCACATTGACACCGACAAGCAGACCAAAATGGGCCTTTTCTACGGGAGATCCTCCGAGTTATGACACCGTAGTTCAACACGCAGCAACACATTTCGTTATTGGGTGTCACGTTTAAAACCACTCGTAGATGTGGCAAACAAAGAGGGCTGGCCGTGACAGGCCACAGGCACAGCCAGCGGAGAAGCCCCATTTAGCTAATGCTGCTAGCATGCTAGCTAACGACCGAACCAAAGCCTGCCAGGGCTAACCGATAGATTTAACTCGCGCTAAATAACCACAACCAGTCAGCGAATATCGCGTATGAATTAACGGGCACATAAACCCCAGAATAAGCACGTAAATGGTTGGTTGGCGGACAGGGTGTCGCGGTGAGTTGTTTTTTTGTTAGCGATGCTAGTGTAAACTGGTACGTTAGCTCACCTTCGCCGGATGCTCGATAAACGTACGCTAGCCCCGTTGTCAGCGAACCTAGGTGAGATTTACCACCACAGCGATGAGCTGCTAGTCTTCCGGGTGTACCCGAGGCTCTGCACCGCCATAACTAAAACAGCGAAGCGCGGTCGGCTAACTAGCTACCTGCTCGTTTGTTTTGGAGGGCGCCATGTTCACGATCCTCCATCACGGGATAGGAAAGCCCGCTGCGGCTAAGCTAACGGCGCTAGTAGCTAGCCGCGGTGTTGTCACTGAGCCTGTGCCGTCAAACTCACCTTCGCTTACAGTGTCACCAACGCGCAGCTGCTGGGGGGGAAATCCGCGAAGGATCGAAGGCGAGGCGGCTCACATTAGTGTTTTTCCGGGCTGGGTGAGAGGCTGCGGATGGTGGTTTTGTGTCCAGCTGGCCACGGGACAGCAGCGCCGGACTGGAAGGTAAACACAGACAGCGCCAACGGAGCCGAGCGGAGCTGGTGAGGGGAGAACCCTAGCGGTGGAATCCGGTACTACGTCACACGCCGCTGGATTGCGAATACCGTTATGGCGGAGGTATGTCCCGCCCTGCTCTGACTCTGATTGGCTTATGGTTGTTACCTGCGTTGGTTGGATTGGTTATGGATGAGGACGACAATCACAGGTAAGAGTATGGCGGGGACAGGCCGAGGCTATATTTGGGAAGGGTGATATTCCTATAGTACTTGACATATCGGGGGTGTTTTTTTGTCATGCAATTAATTCACACAATCTATTTTTATTTTTTTAATGATTGATTTTCATGTATACAAAGAGCACAGCCACGAGTCTGAGGTCCCCAAAGCGGACACACTCTCGGACCACTAAAACAGGACGGGGTTTATAATCTCCCATTTACATTGTGCAGTAACAAGAGAGTGCGACAGACGGACGTTGCTTCGTAACTTCACTGTTTTTCAAATTGTCCAGCCAAATAGACAGAGTTCTAAAGGAGAACAAAAACTCTGCTGCATATTTGGAAATTTCAAGTAAAATCAATAATTGTGTTTTTATCCACCTAAAAGTAACTCAAACAGCACAACTGATTGGGAAGCCACCATGTTTAACTGTGTGTTTGACAGCACAACAACCAGCTCTCGTGGAGACACAATGAGATGGAGAGTTAAAACAAAGAGTTCAACCCTGAGAGGACTTCTGTGCATTTGAGTTTGCAGGATTCAGCCGGGTCTCCACGTGAATAAAACGGCCAAAGTGCAGCATAGAAAGCCTCAGTGAACGTGGTCTGGATGTAGAGGAGCGTCATGCAGCTGCTGCAGAAGGAGAGAACACCTTGAGAGATTGAGAAAAGGGAAACGTAGAACAGTGGTTTCATGTACAGATTCACTTTATCCACACAATTATTATCTTGGATCAGAACATCAGTTATGTAAAAAACAATAATTCAGCATTGACAGTGTGGAACAAAAATACACAAACAAGCAAATGTCTACAAACCTAGAACCAAGAAAACAATATCTTTGTTGTTTTTTTCCTCTTAAGATCGATGCAATGGAAGTTAAAGAAAAGTGTAAATGTATGAATACAAATATTCATCAAACATTTAGAACTCTAAAATGTTCTAATAATCATACGTAGAAAAGTTAGTTCAGGTAAACAACAACAGTGATATTCTCCTTGGCTAAACACACACCAGAAGGAGGTCCACCTGAAGGCACGTCTACAGAAGAACTAATGAGAAGATGTGAGAGCAGTGAAGAAACACTGAGCATCCAACATGGAGATACAAATGATGATCACAGTGAGTCAAAACAGTCAAACCCTGAAATGACTTCTGTCGATTTGAACTCAGCAGTGTCTCCAGAGTAGTGAGATTTCAAGTGATTATTTTAAGAATCCAGCTTTGGTGTTTGGCTCTGATTGTGAGAGTAAAACATCCACTTCAGCCACAGTCAGGAAGACATTTGTCCATTTCTCTCTCAGGACGTCCTCTAGTTTGTCTCTGATTTCTGACAGAGCCGTTGTGAAGTCCTTATAGCAGCTCGGAGGACAGATGCTGATGCTGAATGAGTCTGTAGACTCACTGAGGGGGGACACTGAGGGGTAGTTCTGGAGGAACTGGTTCAGATTTTGTGTGTGTGAGAGCTCCTGCAGCTCAGCGTCGCTCCTCTTCAGCTCAGAGATCTCCTGCTGCAGGTTCATCTCAAGACCTCTGACTCGACTCAATTCAGCTCTCTCCTGGGATTTGACCCGCTTCTTCACATCAGAGCTTCTTTTCATCATGAAAGAGATCAGCTCGTGGAAGATCTTGTCACTGTCCTCCGTTGCTTCATTGATTTTCTCCACCTGCTGTTGAAGCAGCTTCACACCTTTCTCTCTGTCCTGTATTCTCTGCTGGATGTTGAGTAGACTCACCTCCAGCTCTTTCTGCCTCTCAGTCCTTTCTGCTGCAGCTGAGACCGTGTCGTGGTCTTTATGTTCATCCATAAAGCAGAGATAACAGATGCTCTGCTGATCAGTACGACAGAAGATCTTCATTACCTCATTGTGAAGAGAGCAGATGTTCTCCTGAAGCTCTTTGGAGGGGTCCACCAGCTTGTGATTCCTTAAAGCAGCCACATCGTAATGAGGCTGAAGGTGTTTCTCACAGTAAGAAGCCAAACACATCCGACAGGACTTGAAGGCTTTCAGCTTCCTCCCAGTGCAGAAATCACAGGCCACATCTTCAGGAGCAGCATAGCAGTGATCAGCAGGAATAGCTTGGACTGCATTCAGTTGCTCCACTAAATTTGCTAACATGGCGTTCTTCACCAGGGCAGGCCTCACTGTGAAGATCGTTCCACACTGAGGGCAGCGATTGATTCCCCTCCGATTCTCTATATCCCAGTTGGTTTTAATACAGCTCATGCAGTAGCTGTGACCACAGGGAATCGTCACCGGGTCCTTCAGGACGTTCAGACAGACAGAACAGGAGAAGGTCTCCAACAGCTGAGGTGTTACTTCAGCCATTTCACCTCTTATCAGAGACGGAGTGAGAGGTTCTCTGAAATGACTTGGATCCTGTTCCTCTTGTTAATGTCCATCAGGATTCGCCATTTTCCCGCCCAATCAGGTGTTACTAACACCCTTCTTCACACATGCATATCAGGGGAGGGTTGATAGCCCCTCCCGCTGCCGTCCCTCAAGAAGAACAGTGGTCTCGTTTGACCGGAAAGTGAACGAGATCGGGCAGCAGTAGGGGCCTTTGAACAGAAACTGCTTTTCAGCCGGATAATTCCCCACAGCTTTCAAACATTGTACAGGATGTCACAGAAATAGTTACCTGCGTTTAGATCTTTGGCTACTTGTAGCTTGCTGACAGTGTTCCAAATTTTTTAAATCTAATTACCTTTTGAAACTTGTCTTTGTCTGTCACTACAACCCATTTCTCGTTCTGTGTCCGCCTTGTGAAACACTTGCTGCTTGTTCTGATAAGTGCATTTTAAATCGCCTTCATTATTATCAACCACATAAATGATTTAGTTAAACCTTGACTGCACAACATGAAACTAGTACCCAACAATCCAGTATGCCCCTTATCACAATCCGATCGACAGGGATCCATTTGGGGCAGACGGGGCTCGTCTCAAACAAACCTCATCGTGGATTCTAGTAGGAAGAGTTTTCGCTCAAACGGGGCGGTACAAGTTTAAATGCTCATTTAAACACAAAGTGAAGATTGGAGTAGAAATGTAGTTAAACAACTGTACTTGAAACTCCAACAGCAGTTCTCAGTGAACGACTCTCGTTCTCTCTGAAAAGGTTTCTGATTGAAAGCTGCAAACCTGAAACTCTTCACCTCACCGACGACTTCCTGACAACAAGGAGGACTCTCTCCTGGAGAGGAACGTTCACCGGCTGATGGAGAGAAGCCGCCCTGGACTACCTGCTCAGCAGCAAACCGCCGGCTGGAAGGAACCAGATCGACTCGTTCTGCTCGGATTAGTTGATTAATATGAAAACATGAGTCTGTATCATCTAAAATATTTATTCTCTCACAAAATAAAAAAAAATCATCCTTTTACCTTTTCACAAATAATCCAAATACATCTGACTACAATGTAATATTTTCATCAACCACTGAAAAGGATTCAGGTCACACTGATGGAAAGAATTGAAAGAAGTGCAAGCGTCTTAAACGTCACTGCTTGCTTTTGTTGCCAAAATCTGATGTTCATTTAGTTGCATAATTTATTATTGAATGACTTACAAACCAGCAGCACAAGTATGAAATATTCTTATGATTTAAAAACGTGATTTCAAATAAAGGTTGTGCTGAGCGACTAGAGACAAAGGTTAAGAGATTCACTGATATTTTATTTTCTTCGGATGTTTCATGTGACGATCAAGTAAGTAAGCAAATTGTGGGACATAGTGTTAAAGAATCTGCTGGAAAGAATTTGTTTTTTCATCGTGATCAGTGGAAATCGTATGGTAAGATGAACTAACTCAGATAACAAGAGTGAGAAAATACATTAAATGCAAGTATTTAAACCCTTAACTTACAAAGCTGTGGTTGAACACGGAAAAATCATTCAGGTGAGAACAAGGACGGGTTTGAATAATAAAGTAAAGGTTTTTTGAGACAGAGAAACCAAACGACTGCACTCTGAGAGACTCCAACTGTTTGGCTTTGAATAAAAACTCTTCTCTTCTCGCTAATTATCTTCTGCTGTAACCAAAACTCTGTTGTTTATGGTGTTTCAGGAGGAAAACAAGCTCAGTTATATTTACTCCATCAGCTTTGTTTTAAACCCTGGAATAAAGAGAAGATACTTTGTTCATGTTTGTTTATTCATGTAAACCTTCAGTTTATTCTCACATCCATCAGTGAAATCTTTCATATTTCTCTTGATCAGTGGTTTTATGTACAGATTCACTTTATCCACAAAATGATTATCTTGGATCAGAACATCAGTTATGTAAAAAACAATAATTCAGCATTGACAGTGTGGAACAAAAATACACAAACAAGGAAATGTCAACAAACCTAGAACCAAGACCAATATCTTTGTTTTTTCCCTCTTAAGATCGATGCAGTGGAAGATAAAGAACAGCGTAAATGTATGAATACAAATATTCATCAAACATTTAGAACTCTAAAATGTTCTAATAAAAGCATACGTAGAAAAGTTAGTTCAGGTAAACAACAACAGTGATATTCTCCTTGGCTAAACACACACCAGAAGGAGGTCCACCTGAAGGCACATCTACAGAAGAACTAATGAGAAGATGTGAGAGCAGTGAAGAAACACTGAGCATCCAACATGGAGATACAAATGATGATCACAGTGAGTCAAAACAGTCAAACCCTGAAATGACTTCTGTCGATTTGAACTCAGCAGTGTCTCCAGAGTAGTGAGATTTCAAGTGATTATTTTAAGAATCCAGCTTTGGTGTTTGGCTCTGATTGTGAGAATAATACATCCACTCCAGCCACAGTCAGGAAGACATTTGTCCATTTCCCTCTCAGGACGTCCTCTAGTTTGTCTCTGACTTCTGACAGAGCCGTTGTGAAGTCCTTATAGCAGCTCGGAGGACAGATGCTGATGCTGAATGAGTCTGTAGACTCACCGAGGGGGGACACTGAGGGGTAGTTCTGGAGGAACTGGTTCAGATCTTCTGTCTTTGAAAGCTCCTGCAGCTCAGCGTCGCTTCTCTTCAGCTCAGAGATCTCCTGCTGCAGCTTCTCCTGAAGATCTTTGACTCGACTCACTTCAGCTCTCTGCTGGGATCTGACCTGCTGCTTCGCATCAAAGCTTAAGTTCATCATGAAAGGGATCAGCTGGTTGAAGATCTTCTCACTGTCTCTCACTCCGTTATAGATTTTCCACACCTGCTGTAGAAGCAGCTTCACACCTTTCTCTCTGTCCTGGATTCTCTGCTGGATGTTGAGTCGACTCACCTCCAGCTCTTTCTGCCTCTCAGTCCTTTCTGCTGCAGCTGAGACCGTGTCGTGGTCTTTATGTTCATCCATAAAGCAGAGATAACAGATGCTCTGCTGATCAGTACGACAGAAGATCTTCATTACCTCATTGTGAAGAGAGCAGATGTTCTCCTGAAGCTCTTTGGAGGGGTCCACCAGCTTGTGATTCCTTAAAGCAGCCACATCGTAATGAGGCTGTAGGTGTTTCTCACAATAAGAAGCCAAACACATCCGACAGGACTTGAAGGCTTTCAGCTTCCTCCCAGTGCAGAAATCACAGGCCACATCTTCAGGAGCAGCATAGCAGTGATCAGCAGGAATAGCTTGGACTGCATTCAGTTGCTCCACTAGATTTGCTAACATGGCGTTCTTCACCAGGACAGGCCTCACTGTGAAGATCGTTCCACACTGAGGGCAGCGATTGATTCCCCTCCGATTCTCTATATCCCAGTTGGTTTTAATACAGCTCATGCAGTAGCTGTGACCACAGGGAATCGTCACCGGGTCCTTCAGGACGTTCAGACAGACAGAACAGGAGAAGGTCTCCAACAGCTGAGGTGTTACTTCAGCCATTTCACCTCTTATCAGAGACGGAGTGAGAGGTTCTCTGAAATGACTTGAATCTTGTTCCTCTTGTTAATGTCCATCAGGATTCACCATTTTCCCGCCCAATCAGGTGTTACTAACACCCTTCGTCACACTTGCGTATCAGGGGAGGGTTGATAGCCCCTCGCGCTGCCGTCCCTCAAGAAGAACAGTGGTCTCGTTTGACCGGAAAGTGAACGAGATCGGGCAGCAGTAGGGGCCTTTGAACAGAAACTGCTTTTCAGCCGGATAATTCCCCACAGCTTTCAAACATTGTACAGGATGTCACAGAAATAGTTACCTGCGTTCAGATCTTTGGCTACTTGTAGCTTGCTGACCGTGTTCCACATTTTTAAAATCTAATTACCTTTTGAAAATTGTCTTTGTCCGACACTACAACCCATTTCTCGTTCTGTGTCCGCCTTGTGAAACACTTGCTGCTTGTTCTGTTAAGTGCATTTTAAATCGCCTTCATTATTATCAACCACATAAATGATTTAGTTAAACCTTCGCTGCACAACATGACACTAGTACCCAACAATCCAGTATGCCCCTTATCACGATCCGATCGACAGGGATCCACTTTGGGCAGACGGGGCTCGTCTCAAACAAACCTCATCGTGGATTCTAGTAGGAAGAGTTTTCGCTCAAACGGGGCGGTACAAGTTTGAAGGCTCATTTAAACACAAAGTGAAGATTGGAGTAGAAATGTAGTTAAACAACTGTACTTGAAACTCCAACAGCAGTTCTCAGTGAACGACTCTCGTTCTGTCTGAAAAGGTTTCTGATTGAAAGCTGCAAACCTGAAACTCTTCACCTCACCGACGACTTCCTGACAACAAGGAGGACTCTCTCCTGGAGAGGAACGTTCACCGGCTGATGGAGAGAAGCCGCCCTGGACTACCTGCTCAGCAGCAAACCGCCGGCAGGAAGGAACCAGATCAATGTTTGGCCCTCCACCCAGTAACCCAATACGACCCCCTAGCCGCTCCCAACATCAACTCCTTCTGCTCGGAGTAGTGGATTAATATGAAAACATGAATCTGTACCATCTAAAATCTTCATTCAGCTCAGAGATCTCCTGCTGGGGTCTGACCTGCTGCTTCACATCAGAGCTTCTTTCCTCCATGAGACGGATCAGCTGGGTGAAGATCTTCTCACTGTCCTTCACTGCTTCATCAGCAGAGAGATGGATTTTCTCCTCCTCCTGTTGAAGCAGCTTCACACCTTTCTATCTGTCCTCCTAACAAACGCCTCTGGGGGGCGATGGAGTTCCACTGGAGGTTCTCGCACCTTGTTTCTGTCCCTGTGATGGCATGTTGGATGGAAACCGTGATGTTGCATTGATTGATTGTGTGGGATTTATTTAACGATCTACAGGGTTTTGATTTGTGGAAGAAGTATTCAGATGTTTTGATAAAAAGCAGTAAAAGTCTCCTTCCAACATCCTTAAAGTAAAAGCTACTGTGATTGACTTTAACTGGTTATGAAACCAATCGGATGAACAGAATAACTCATATTAAAACAAATTGCACTTAACCTGCCTTATATCTCTGCCTTAAGGAACAAGCCGAGTTAAGACACGACGCCAGGATTTCCAAAGATTTTAATTATAAATGCATTATATTAGAGTTTAGACAGTAACTTTACTTTGTACACATATTTAACTCCAGCATGAAAATACACAAACACACACAGACACACATCAATAGAGATGTATTTGACTTTTGGGTTGCCCTAATTTTAAATATTTGGATGGATTAAAAGCTGAAAGCCGAGAGGATAAATGGACGAGCTAAATGCAGCAAAGCCTCGGGTCAGTTTGCCGCGTGCTTCCATCCAGAAAGCATTTCGTCTAAATGTAGATTGGATTTGGACAAAATTCGATCTGCAGACTAGAAACCGGCGTTGTTCTTTTTTTTCATTAAACTTCACTCAAACAGGATAAAACAACCGAGTGCCTTAAAGCGTCGCATAAACTCGCCGACCTGGAATAATCAGGGAACTTCAACTACGGGAGATTTCTTAAATTCCACAGAGCTGAAGATGAGAACAGAAGGTCCCCAGCGTCCTGCTACAACACTCAGACTCTATGAATAATTTAAATGATTCATCTTGTTACAGATCCATTTCATATAGAACACAGCCTGAGGGCTGAGAAATGTCCAAATCCAAACTAGTATCTTATCAGGAGGACTAAGCTCATAATTCCCAACTCCAGGAGAGGGTTGTAATTTGAGGATGAATTTGATGACCAAAAGCTATTTTTTCTCTGACCATAGTCTCACAGAGCAGGTAGTCTTCAGCTTGAAAATTACAGCCCTTCTACCTACGACGTTTGTGCGATTTCTTTAAAAAAGGGGTTTCAATCAACACTTAAATAGAGTCTTTTCCCTCCCTTTGTTGTAACCCTTTATTTCTTATTATTTCATCATTAAATACTGAAATGTTATGTTCCCTGCTGTCAATCAGATCGAAATGTCCCATCGAAAAGGGCCCATTTCCACTAGTGTGGAGCCACGCAGAGTCACGGCACCGATCAGGAAGCACAGAGGCAACGGCGTGAACTTTAAAGGTCGCGTCTTTCAGCTGAACTTCTTGAGAGCTTTCTCTCTGTGGATTGTAATTTGCTACCAGGCGGCTCCGAGGTCCGAAATGAAAGGAAAAAAAAAAAGAGAGTGGCGACGGTACCCGAAGGACGTCAGCCGGGCGCGCGTGTCATCCGAAGACATCTTGACTCTAACGCGGGCCGACGCAGGAAGCGCCGGCCGACCTCGCTGCTCTGACAACGTGCACGAATCCACAGAGTGGATTTTCTGTTGAGTGCCACTGCGTACACGACCCCAGTGAATGTAGTGTCACAGCTCGAGGAACATCTGAGCAGGTAGTGAACAGTTGACACAAGAAGTTTCCAGAGGAGAAGTAGACCCAATCGTCGTGGATCGGAGAGAAACTCTTTCTGTAGATTGAAATGTAAGAGGTGCAAAAGTATTGACAAATCCAAAGTCTACGTGTCGTTTTTCAGTGCAGCTGAAGGAACAACGTAGTTGTTTTCGGGGCAAGAAGGTCAACAAACGCTGGAGATGAATTTCACTGTCCTTTCAATGAACTCGCTTGATTTCCCTCCGAGGTGGTCGGATGACTGAAGTCGGCTCGATGGATTCACGTTCGGCTGAGGGGGAAGTGACAGCCGCTGACCCCCCTTCCAGCTCCGCCCGTGACCTTTGAACCCCGGCAAGGTCACGCCTCCAATCGACCAGCACTCAGTTGCGCACACACACACTGCGTCGCCTCCTCGGAGCTCCCTCAGGCACATCCTCCCCACATTTGAGTGACAGGTAGAGGACACATTTCGGTTTATTCAGAGCTCTTAGTTAACATGATCACACCGTTTCTTCAGCGAATTAGCAATGATTTCCCCACTGAAACATAATTTGTGTCTAATCTGATTCTCCTTCAGATTCTCTGAAACAAACGAGCCGTCATCTATTTAACTAAATGCACAATGCAAATGTTTTGTGTATAAAAAAACCCCAAAACAAAACATGTCTATGTGTATCTTTTGCATATGCATGTGCTGCCTGGAGGCCCCGCCCACCAGGGACGAGGTGTTCCCCCGCATGTGAATGCAGTAGATGGAAAAGTGATGATCCCTGAGGTGCTGCTGACTGCAGGAGACGTCCTCAGCGATGCAGCCTCCCGGCATCACGCACATGACGATACTCGACGCAGAATTAACTACTCGCCGTTTCGATCATTACAAGCTTTCATCAAGTAACTGTTGTCTTATGTTTCATAATAGAAACGGGTCTTTCTATTCCTCCTCGATCCAGGTCCAATGTCTGCAGAGACAAAGGGCACAGAAACACATGGTGCCTGGCTGGAGGGCATTTAGTCATTAGCAGGAGGGGTTTTCTACCACCGTATTTACTCTTCTCCCCGTTTCACACGCATGTATTTGGGTTAACAAGAAGAGAGCAGAATGAGGAAGCATCGCCAGGGATTCAGACTCTCATTCAGCTGGAATAGAATACATTGCCAGATGCCCTGAGAGCTAAAGAGCGGTTCCACCCGTTGGCCTGAAGCTTTGTTTATACCAGCGAGACGCAACAGAACGCCGTGAACTCACATCTCAGGTTCATGGACTGTTTTACAAGCGTTGAATGCGTTGTAATGAAACCATGGATGAGCATCCTGGAAAAGATTTCATGTGACCAGACTGTTTACTCAAAGGCAGATGTTTAAGAACTGCTGCGTTTCAAACAAGTGTGTTGAGCTTTTCTTTTAAAATGTTTTAACTCCATGTGCCAGTTACACTTGAAAAGCTCAAAGCCGCGATTACGTCAGTTGGTCTGCAGCAGAGAGGAATGGAAAGGAGTCTCTACTTGCAAACCGGTCGTACTCCGTCTGTTGAAATAAGAGACGGGACGAGTGTAGCAGCAAAAGATTCAGCTCGCAGTCATTTAGAATAATAAAATGATTCTGAAAGCGTTTCTTGCCTCAGTGACAGTTGTGTGAATGGCTGAAGATTGCAGCTCCTGCTGGTTGGAACTCTTTTTAGATGAGTGAGAGAAGCTTCCTTACCCCCCCTCCTCCTCCCCCGCTCCTTCAGAAGGTCTTTATTAATAAGTAATCATCACGAGCAGGACCCGAGCAGCAGGATGTAAAGAGAAGCATGTGGCTGACCTTTATCGTATTTTCACCAACGCTAGCAAACAGTAGACACACAATGCAAAGAAAGTCTTTGCAAAGATATTCCATGAGAAGAAACGGTCTCCACACCTACACCGGTGTTCTCACATTACGTCTGATTGGACCAAACCTAAATGTGAACAGCTGCAACAGAAGAGTCAGACGGGGAAGTCTTGTCACAACACACAGTTGTAGTTTGGTGCTGTGAGTTATCACCATAAGAACCCGGTTCTGCTGCCAGAGCCTTAAAAGGTCCGATAAGGCAATAACTGACACTGTTGCAGCTTGTAAACAATGATGACGTACGTAAGTGCGGCATGCGCAGATTCAAAATGCAAAGTTTTAAAGAGCGACGTTCACACAGTGCAATGCTTACAAAGACAGCCTTTATCAATCATCTTTTGCATCACATTCATGGTGTCTAACAAGGACGTCACACTCACAGCATAATGGCAGTCAACATTGAATATGAGTTTGCTCGACAAACCAACACGGTTTGTGTTGCACGTCGTCTACAACGTTTGTCACATTGACATCTTATGGTACGCGGAGCAGCATGGTCGCGTCCTGTCTTTATTTGGCGACACTTTTCTTAAGGCATACAGCTGTCTGGGATTATAATGGTAGGTTGATTGTGTGCACCGTAGCTACCAGAAACTCTTTCTATCCATCGCAAATGAATGTATTCCTGTTTGCACCGGGAGGCTTGAAACACCCTTTATATTTGGCTTTGGAACAGAAACTTATATAATAATAATACTAATAAAACGTATTCTTATACATTGCCGTGCTGCACAAATTCTACTGCAGCTTCCCTGTGAGGTGGTGTTCCACCAGGTCCAATCCTAGACACTCTATTATTCTCAATCTGCATGCATGGAAACAACCAACCTGAGACTGTGAACATATATGCAGATGATACTCAAGTGTATCTATGAAAAAAGGAGATTCCAGGACCCATGTGCTATTTATTCACCTAATTGAACAAAAAGCATTAGAATGTGATTCATCAACCCCATGTTTATTGTGTATTCGGTACAGACCTGTGTTAGATAATATGTTTAAGGCACATTGGGCTCTGGCTCTTGAGTAATTCCTACAATTGTACATTGTGTGTTTTAGAAAGATTTGAAAGACATTTATTTCAATTAAGAAGTACAAAATAGGTGGTTTTAGTATTTTGTTCACCAAAGATCAGAGAACTGTGTTACGAATAGTGAATAAGAAGACTTGATCAATTGAAATGAACCCGTACTCTGTATGCCTTAATCCAAGAGTCCCCAGACTGTGTTGTCCTGTGCAAACAGTTAAATACAACATATAAACAACTATAGCACGCTACTCAAAGCAAACGTTTCCCTTTTCTTTCTCAAACATTTTGTGACATTAAGTTTATTAAGAATGTGTCACATTGACAGTTTTGAAACAACGGCAATAAAAAAATAAAAGGCAAACACTGAGAATATCAACTGCTGCGCAACTCTCACTGCACAAATAAAAGCAACAATTGTCCCATTTAAAAGCAAATGATTATTTTCTTTTACGTTCCTTTATCCACCTGGCATTGTGTTGGTGACTGTTGGGAGATGATCAAGTTTGAAGTGGACTGTTGACCACTAGCTTGTTTTAGATCTACTATGTTGAACCTGTGAGCTGCTGAGAATATTTCCTATTAAGAATTTCTGGTTCTGATAACTAAACCGAGCCGAAAATAAATCAGTTCTTAAATCGCTCATGGTCATCGGCATTAACTTGGCAGCTTTAATATATTATAGTGATATTTTTCTCAATAGCAGACAAAGAAACTGAGCTATTTTTAACCTCTTTAGTAATCTAAATAGTTTCAGTTGCCACATATCTACTCTTTCTTTTCAACTGCAATCTGTTGACTTTTTAAGTTTAAATTAAATACATGCCGAGACTCCGGGAGAACTATTATTTGACTAAAACTTGTGGTGGTTGTTTTTAACTTGTGAATCACAAGTTTCCCGGTATCTTCAGTCGGAGAACCAGCATTGCTTCATCACAGCAGGAGGTACAGAATCCAAACCATCGTTGCACAGATAAAGGGTTTGGAGCATGAACAGCATGAACAAAATGTACATAAAAACGATGCAGATGGTCAGAACAGTTTGGCTTCTGACTCATTACATAAAGAACCCTGTTTTTGTATCGATCCCATCAGCGATTCTAACAAGCTTTAAGTATCAGATGGCCGGGGTGGTCAGTACAGACCCCCAATACGTCACTGAATGGACCAGCTGTCGCCTTTTCTTGCAACCTGGTGGGATAAACATCGCTGCTCCCTTTCAGGCTGGAATAAACACTTTGACCTGCATTTCCTCTGAAATCCACAAACTAGCTCGACGGACTTTGACACTTGGTTGAGTTTCTTCTCTCTTACCGTTTTGCCTTCACATTAAACAATAAAATATGGTACTTGTCCGTTAGCATTTTGTGATCCGACAAAACAATTTTATTTGTCATTTTCTTACAAAATTTTCAGAGCTGAATGTTTTAAAAACACAATCAGAATTTCTCAGCTCGGTCAAGGATAGGCACAAAAAGGCGGTCATGGTCAATTAAAAGAAACCACCATTGGCTCGGGGTGAAAAACGTGTCATTTTGTTGGCAGCAACATCCCCGTTTCCTCTCTGGCTCCTGATGGAAAACCACCATTATTTCTTTACACCAGAGAGCTTTGTCCTTTTCCCTCAACGTCCTGTTTTGTCTTATTTGTCGAGACAACCGATGCCGTCATTGTACCCGACTCACGCAAAGATGAGTCTGAAAGCTAGTATATATATTGTGAATTCAATACAGACGGCAACCTCCTGTTCTGAATGTTGGAAGTGAATTCTCTGTAGTGACCAGCAGGGGGCGACTCCTCCGGTCCCATAGACGTCTATGAGAAAATTACTCTACTTCTCTCGTGATTTATTCCCTCAGTAAACATTGTAAACATGGAGTTTATGGTCTCAATCTCTAGTTTCATGTGTTTTAGTCTATTTAGTGAATGGGGTCGTCGTGGTGGATGGGTAGGGAGAGTGCACTGGGAACAAGGCAAGGTTGATGGTTCGAGCCCCGGCTGCCCCATGTTGAAGTGTCCCTGGGCAAGACACCTAACCCCTAATTGCTCCCCAAGCAAAAATGTAAAAAGCCATGGGTTAAAAATGCAATGTCAGTCGCTTTGGATAAACGCGTCAGCAAAATGCCCTGTAATGTAATGGTCCTTTTAGAGTCAAACGGACCACAATGCATTGTGGCAACATAAGTTCTCCTACCTGGCAGGGCAACGTTGAATCCTCAATCTAAAGTCTTCAGCTCTGCTACTGATGACCAGAAGAAGGGAGCGGTTTCCCTTACGCACGATACTTCACCCTTATTTCACTGATGCAATTAACATACACGGATTAAAGTACTTATTTAAGGTAAAACGGACAAAATATGAGGACGCCAAAGATCCGTCCTATCTTGGCTCACACAGTAACTCACATGAATTGAAAATGGTTATTTTTCGGCACAAAACACGCCCTCACATGATGGATCTGCTTCAGGTCCAGGTCGATTTTGAAGGACCTCAGGTTTTAAAGCTAAAACCCAGACCTGCCCTGAGACGACGAGCAGGTCCCGACCTCGTGGTCCTTCGTCTCAACTTTGTGTGAAAATAATTTTGTAAAACATATTCGTCCTGGGGGCTGTTTGCTGTTAACGGACCCCTCCGGTCCTCACAACACGGTGGTCTCGGACTGCAGGATGGACGGGGCCCGGGAGTTGCGGTGAAACTGGGCCGCGTGCTCGGAGCCGTTCCTGGAGGCGAAGGTGCCGTGGAGGTGTTGGTCTCTGCTCAGGCGGCAGTTCAGACAAACACTCCGCCATTTTCTCTTCAGCTCGCCCTGAACCTGCAAAAGTAGATTAAAAAAATGTTAATTTTTTATCTGAATGACTAAGTGTTACTGATAGAAGAGCGATTCAAACTTCCTGGGAAAACAAAGCTTTCCGAGGCACCGAACCACTCGTTTACTCCGTGTGTGCTCTTGATTAATGATATAATTCCGAAGTATTTTTAGCAAAATATAAAACATAAATATTCCAGAGAAGGACATTTTGCCACGCGGAATATATCTCCGACCAAATGAGAAAGTAATTTAATTTAGTTTCTCTCCTTTATGAAAATAAATGCTATAATTAATTTCGTGCAAATTGCTGCTGATTTAAAGGGCCACGCTGCACTGACACATTTCATCCAGTAACGCTTACCTCACTGTTTAGGAAACAGTACAGAATGGCCACCACCAGACCCTGAAGAAAACAACACAGCAAGGTCAGAAGCCGCTTACATCACGAGTGATTTGACATTTAAATAGTGACGGACTCAAACACTTCCATTTAATAGTACATATGAATGAGAATGACATTGAGGTTTGAAGGGACTAATGAAAGAGCACCTGAAAAGATCCGAGGGCCAGGTCAAAGAATATTTTATAAGCTTCTGCGATGGATTCACTGAGAGAAACGAAGACCACGTAGTGGATCCCGAACAGAGGGATGAGCAGCAGAGTGGATTTAGCCAACCGCCTGAGAGAAGAACAGCGGCAGATCAGGACCATGTGTCGTTTCCTGTGAAAGGTCAGTTTGTCCCGACGTTCGGAGGTTGAGATCTGAGACAAAAAAGGGTGACGGACGTCTCGTTGACCACGCCCACTTCTTACTGACAGACTTGGAATCTCACACCCGCACCGACAGGAGATCAGCGCAGCTCACAGTCCCAAAACGCCCCACAATTCAGCATCACTTCTGACTTAAAGGGACACCGAATCTCGCGAGAACACAGAGCAGAGGAAAAGGTTCTGTGTGGCTCACAACATCCCTTATTGTTTTTTTTTGGAGGGGGGGGCATTTTGCTGACTCTCATCTACACAGGCTTACACCGACAAACGAGCAGGTGTATCACCTGTACTGTGATTGGTCGTTGCCGCCCACGTCTGGACACCTCAGCTTCTGGACCAAGATCCTAATGATGCTGATGAAGAGGATGAAATTCACCTGGGAGACGGGAAGGAAAAACAATGGAGCTATCAGATTACCTGAAGGGGGTTAGAAAAACACGCAGGGGGGGTTATTGTTGCAGCGCTGCACAGTTTTCAGCCCACACAAAGCGATAAATGAAAAGTTAAGAAGGAAACTCATCAAAAGAGCGAGTGAAGGCCCCGTGCAGAGAGACGATGGGGCCCTTAAAAGCATTTTCTCATATCTGATGCATTTGCCCGTGACTGTTTTAAAAAGTCTTCCTATGTTGTTGCCTGTAGCTGCTGTTTCTCTGTTGAAAGACGTTGACCATTGACCTAAGGACATGCCGGTTATGTTAAGCCTTTATTGCCAAAGCGTTTTGGAAAAGATACCAATCAGCTTGTTCCATCTTTACGAGTTCACACGTCTACTTAAACTTCTTATCCAGATCGTCCGGATTTCATGAGTTACGCGCTGCAGAAAGTCCCCTTGGATTCCAGGTGGTTTCTCCCCATCAACATTATCCATCCAACACGAGGTCAGTGCATCAATCCTCTCTCATCTATTTCTGTCCTCCTGGAAGAGCTTCTATAACTGAGAACAATGGTGATGAAGCTCAACCTACCATGATGGAGAACCCGATTGGTCCGTTGATCACCCAGTTGGGTATTGGGTTGTCATTTCGCTCCCAGCACCTGAGGGCGACATCGATAAGCATGACAGAGCTTTCATGGCCCATGTAGGCTACATTGAGGTGGTTATTCTGTATCAATGGACCATTCCCTTTTACATCTAATGTGAAAGTAGAGGAATCAGCCTGTGGATGTGATTTGAAGTTCGCTCACAAAGGACTTCTTCTCCAATAAAGCCTACCTAGAAAAGTGTGGAAGGAGAACCAGGCTGCTACATATATGCTACAAATATTGACGGGCAAAATCAATCACACAAAAAAAATCGGACTCTTCAGGTCAAGTCAAACTAAATAATCTCAACTCAAAGTCAACCGTTCTAATGCCAGACCATTTATCGAGTCTCCGAAAGCCGTTTTTAAATGTGTTTTCACACTTAGGAGCTTCATCCTTGCGGCACATTTACAGCAGAAGCCGAGCCGATAATAAGAATAACTCTTGAATAACAAAGCAATCTAATGGACGAAATATAATTCATGTTTAATGAATGTGATTAAATAAAGTATGTGGCGTACATTCATATATCCACAAAAACTAATACTGATTGATGAATTAAACAGACAACAAATGTTTCAATCTGATTTAATCTATGTAACGCAATGGAAGGGTATTATCACAGGGTGACTCACCCCGTGTCCTCCAGATAAATCCTCGTCATCACCCACGCAGAGACGAACACCGTGGGGATCCCTGCGAGACGCACCGGGAGAACTCAGAGACAGCGGCAGGTATCACTGTCTTATATCATGATAACGTGTTTATTCATTGACGATGGGAATACCATATAAAGATTTAACAAGATTTACGTTGTTTCAATACAATCGTACTCGAAATGTTTACAGTCCGTTGCAAATGTGACCAAATTAACACAGGCAACAGAATATAAACAAATACAGAGAAAGGTCATGTGACTTAACCAGTTGATTTCCGTATCAAAATCCTAACCCGTGATAAACGACGTCCTCTTAATGTGAAAATATGCCGAGCCCCTCATCGAATAAAAGCTCACCCCAGCCGATGAACATGTAGACGACAAAGTGTCGGTTCTCCGAGAAGATGACGACCAGCAGCGTGTGGAGGTACAGAGCCTCCACCAGCAGCCAGAAGAAGTTGGCCATGATGAAGTACTGGAAGAACACCAGGCTGGCTTTACATCCCGCCTGAAATACACAAAGGTCAAACACTCCAGGTATCCAGACTCACCCCAGGTCCTTTAAAACCGGGTCCTTAGAAGATATTCACATAATGCATTGTACAAACTGCTTCTCCGGCGCCGGGTGGTGAGGTCACCGGGGGCCTTAACGGGGAACTCACCAGTGACGGCTGGTTGGAGCACTGCGAGGTTCGGTTGAAGAGGATGTCGTCCTTCACCAGCACGGCCACGGCCCTCAGGACGAAGGAGAAGAAGAGGTTGAGGTGGATGTAGTTTCTGGTGCAGTGGAGCTTCCTGCAGAGAAGCACAACGTGCAGATTCAGGGGCGAGGGCACATGACGGTTCAACAACAGTAATCTCATTCATTTAGATATTATTACTGCATGATGCAGTGTTTTAAGGCCACCTAAACAAAGACCGGTTTGAGACCAAGACCGGACCAACACCGAGATAGGACCAAAACTTTGTCTCAGGACTGGGACCATTGTTTCAACCACACACTAATTTGGTAGAATTAGTATCAAAACCAAAAAGTATTGAGTAAAGTGCATCACTGTTGCCGCATTCTAAAACCAACCCAAACAGCAGGGTGAGAAAAACAGCTCCAATTAACATACTCTTAATTAACAAACTGAATAAAACCAAATCCAATTAAGCCGTAACATGGGAGCCGTCTCACACACACAAACTTATACCAACTAAAGATAAATCAGTGAATTTGAAATGTGGCCAATTGGCAGTTTCTGTTCATTTAAAAACAAATGAAACTTCCTGAGGCTCGACTGAAACGTCAAGCAGCGCACGAATAATCAAAACACGGCGAACAAATCACTAAAAATGAGCTTCCAATTAACACCAGCCATTCTCTTCTGTAATTAAACAATTTGTTGTTGTTTCCATGCTGGTTTATTGTTTTTATCTCGTTAAGGCCTTTACACAGAGGGATGTTTTTTTTCCGTGCGATTACATCCCCGCTATTATGTGGCCACAGACGTTTGTTTCAAGAGCAGGGTTGATTATTTTTAACGAGCTTTCTCACCATCCCAACATGGTCTCCAGCCAGCTTCTACACCATTACCAGTGTGAAGTTATTGGTCTTACCGGAACAGACAGAGGATGGCGCTCCCGGTGGTGAGGGCGATCAGAGACAGAATGTGACCCAGCGTGTACAACGTCTTCACCACCACGTAGAAGACCAGCTGGAGAGACGGAGAGAGCAGAGGAACCGGGTCAGACCCTCAGACACACCAGCCGGTGCTGCTGTTGCCCTGGTCGGACATTAAAGACCGCACCTGTAAGCAAACTACACAAAGCAAACACACACGGACGTGGCATGGATGCATAGATGGATAGACAAATGGATGCATAGATGGAAAGATAGACTTAAAAGTCTATCTGTCTATCTAAATGTTCAGTATTACTCGTAATAAGATTAAAATGATGCTGGTTTTGGCAACATTTGCAGAATTCGTTGCCATTGAGGCCTACTAATTTGGGCTGGCCTGAATTGAGAGAGGGCGATTATAACATTGGGGATGAGGGAGGGGGGCACGGGGGGGGGCTTCACAATGCTCGATTCAGCGATGCCATTCGTGACACACAACCAGACAAAGGAACAAAGTGAACCTGCTGACAGGACGCTGGTTTCCACAATGAAGTCTTCCATGTGAAGACAAAGACGCACAAACGGCAACTAATCGGGACGCGGTCAGATTCCTTTTACTCACGTAATAAAAGCTGTAAACAGATGAACCAGAGAGTCAAAGTCTAAAGAAATGTTTTCCAAAATACTCAAGTTGTTGAAGACGGTGATGAACTCAGAGATTCTTTAAGTCATCTAAAAGATTTTAGTCTTTTACTTCTGATCTGATTTCCAATAATAACCAAACTGCGTCTCTTTAGACTGTGACATCGCCAACGTGACTGAGTCGGACCAGAAGAGAAAGTGTCAGAAAGAACAGATCATTTCTGTGTGTGTGTGTGTGTGTGTGTGTGTGTGTGTGTGAATCAATCCTCCTAAACCCAACAAGTTCTCGCCTTTAAATCTTTTCACACGTCTTTTAAAGAACATGAGGAGTTTTGTCATTTGTTGTTGATAATGTTTTGTGAATCAATATAACGTAGTCGCATCTTATTTACATTATATTAACTATGTGTTCTCTACAGTATTGTGAAGTTGTGACATTAAACAAGCTGAGGCTTCAAATAAGCCAAACTGTGAAATAATCTGCATGCGAAATGCATTTCCTTCTTCCGCCGCTGGGCAGATGTGTAACCGCTGGAGTGGGGGGGGGTGAAATGCATGATAAGAGAACAGGCGAAGATGCGACAGAAGGAGTGAGAAAGGAGGAGAGCGAGGTGGGGACGTCAGTTTAACGGGCACAACGGGGGATTCAGGGGAAGAAGGGACGCGACCCGGCGGAAGAGGAGGGGGGCGACAAACGTTCTCCTCAGCCCGAAAAAACTACTTTGGCGTAGGTAGGACCAATCAGAGACGAGGAGAACCGGTGTCAACTGATCATGATTATTATGATTGAGTCATGACTCCTTATTACTCATATTGCAGCGAGCGCTGGAATCAAGAGGTTCTTTCTACAGGTCGACATTTACAAAATATGGAACAGAGAAAGTGTAAATGTCAATAAGACACTGTGATAAAAATTGGTCCATAACTGACATGAATAAATGTGTGACACGAGGCTCGCGGGTCAAACCAAGTGACGACCTCCCCCCCGCTCCCATTTAACGGTGCAGCACACTCCCGTTCGGCGTATTGACCCGTTAAAGATCCCTGTGTTCATTAACGCCCCCCCCACGCTCCCCCTGACGCGCCGCCTTATCAGGTGACGTCCGCGGCGAGCATCCGACCCAGAGGAAGACAGCTGGGAGGGGGGGCCTTCACCTTGTCCTGGCCGGGCTCCGACCCGCACGCGCTGGTGATGTTCGGGAAGACGTCCGACCACCCCGCCGGCGTGCACGTCCTGCTGATGTTACCTGGGGGAGACGGAGAGAGACGGGTCATCGTTCCAAATCTTGGTCGTGCGGCACTCGTGTTGGAGGAATAGAGGAAGAAATGAAAGCCGTAGCATGTAGGAGATCCACGGTGCATCCTGTTACCACCATGCACCATGTGTCATGTGATCTATTTCCAGCTTTGAAACGAGGGGCTTGGAGAAGCCGTATTCATCACTGTCAATCAGCGTTTAGCCCCGCCTCAAAGCATCCCCTGCTTTATGGTCTGCTTGACTCTAAATGGACATCATGCTGTATTGAAGAAGAATTAAAACTAGAGATTGAGACCATAAACTCATGTTTACAATGTTTACTGAGGGAATAAATACAGAGAGAAGTAGAGTCATTTTCTGATAGACGTCTATGGGACCAGAGGGGTCCCAAAAAACAAAGAAAGGTTTGCGCGTGAGACCTCTGTTTTTTCCTTCTCTCCTTTCACCCCTCAGATAAGACAATAAGAATGCGTTCCTGTGCCTCATTACTCATTACTCGTTACTCTAAACGGATTCCAGACAAGGTTCACTTTCCATAAACACTTTTTGCATGTCTGTTTGCAGAGAAGGAATGCGCTTGTGACCCGGAGCCACCGGGCCGCTTACGTAACGCCGAGTCATCAATCAGCAGCTCGGCCTCCGAGCGGCGACCCGAGCCGCCATCTGGTCACTGGCTGGGAATAAAATAGATAAATAGCCGCCCAACTCGCCCCCCCCGCCCGCCCCCACGCTGGTGTTCAAAGAACCGGGAGACGAGGACGGAGAGCCTCGGGTTGAATGAGCGATCGAAGGCTCCGGGGTCACCGACTAAATAAATAAAAGTGACCCACCGTTTCTGCCGAACACAGTGGTGAGGACTCGGGGACACGGGATGGTGACGGTCTGTCCGACTGCCGTCCGCTCCCAGCATGCAATGCTGTCCCACGTTCCCCTGCACGCGGGCTCTGCCGGGAAGAACAGAAAAGCGCTTTAACTTGGACGCGGAGGTTTTTCCTGGTTCACACACGACGGCGGGATGAACTGTGCATGAAACATCTGCTGCGAAGAGGCCTTCACACCGATTATTTCACAAGAACGAGCCGGAGTGCAGAAGTCTCTGTCGCATTTAAATACAAACCGGAGGAGGACTACGGGTTGTGTTATAGAACAAACGCACACAGCTCGTTACAGTATTATAGTGAGTCCATTTAAAGAAGGACGTCCTGCTCTCTGAAACCTGCACACTCCTCATTAAGCATTTTGGACACTTTTCCTTGAATCACACACACGTGTCAAGGATCTAGATGCTGTCAGTGCAGAATACAAGGGGGGAGGAGCCGGAAATGAATAGAACCCCCCCCCACTCCCCCGTCCAGTGACAATAAGCAAACAAAACCAAAAATAGATCTTCCAGCTCTTAATGGGTGCAAAAGGGCTGATGGCAGAATGAGCAGTGGGCCGACTCAGCGATGGATGAGTGGAGACGGCGGGTGAAAGGAGTCCCCGACGTCCACGCCGACCAATCACACGCAGCCCCGGCTCTCCTCTTTTAGCAGAACTCTTCATCCATGCAGGGTCGCATTTGTGTTGTTGTTGTTCAGGAACGAGCCGACAAGTGTCGAGTAGAAATGGACAGAAACAAGCGCCCCGGGATTACGAAGGATGTGAGACTTCGGTCCTCCTTCCTTCGAGGTTCCTCCCTCCTCGCTTCCTTACTTTCCTCCTTTGATTCCTCCTGTTCTTCTGTTCTTTTTTTCTACTTCCGTTCTTATTTTTTCACACACGCATCCTTTATTACTTTGTATCTGTATTACGTCCTTTTCTTTTTTCCCCTCCTTTCTCCTTTTGTACCTCAAAGTCAGGACGTAAGGACACAAAGATCCGACCTCGTTGAAGCTTATTGTCGTCTTGACCTGGCTGTAAATGGGCTGACTAGTCCTTGAAACCACGAACTAAAGAGAGGAAAGAAGTCCGAGAGGACAAGAAAGTAGGGGGGGGGGGGCCGTGCAGAGACCCCTCCTCACTTTCATCTTCACCCTGAGGCGGCTGCAGCCTCTTACAGTGTCTTCTTCCCTTCACTTTAAAAGCTGTTTACAGGTTCTGGTTCGCGCTCGGTCGGCTGTGCACGGAGCATCTCGCCCTCTCTGCAACACTCAAATATCAATTTCAGAACTAAAAAAAACAAATCAGAACTGAGGCCGTCTTTCTAAGGAGGACTTCAGAACAGGCGACACACGATGCGGTGAAACACGCAGATGAACCTGTTTGGCTGCTGGACGCGTCCTCCGCCCTCAGCCTCCTCACACACTCCGCCTGGCTCTCGCTCCACCTCCAACAGGAAGTTACAGGTCGGGTGTCGCCCGTCTACCTGTGGAGGAGGAAGCAAAAAGAAGCAGCACGGTTAGGGGGGAGGGGAGGAGGGGGGGGGGGGGGGGGGGGGGGGGGGGCTCTCCTGGAATACGCGTTGTGGAGCCACCGTTTGATTGACAGGTGCCTTTTAAGTGTGAGTTAAGATGGACTTCCTCCGTCATGCGTCTCTTCCTGCTCACACTCCTTCTGTTTACCAACAAAGCAGAAAGCGCATCGCTTCTTCTCACGGGAACATTTTTCTTTTTCCTCCATGATCTTTCCAGCTTTGACAAACCGGCGTCTTACGGCAGCCAGTGAATCTGACATTTATTTACAAGTGAATGTGCACGACGGGTTATTTGACAGCTGGATGGAAACACACACACACACACACACACACACAAACACACACACGCAGGAGTGCCAGATGCTGCTTTTTATGGCTTTTACCGGCTCAAACTTATTTTCCATTCCAATAATCGTATCTCTTTTTGACTCAAGAGCTTTAGGAGTTTGAAGTAAAAAAAGAATTGGCATGTTTCCCACACCTGTTTGAGGTCCGTGTGTGTGTGTGTGTGTGTGTGTGTGCGCATATTTATCACAGCGCTGGGGGGCTGAAGCAGCTGATTCTGGTGACACGTTCCATGTCAGATAAATGACGCAAAGTCCTTTAAAGAGAAAGTGACTTCTGCAGAGACGTTTACGTGCGCTTGTTCCCTTTAGAATAACCTGTAAAGTTTTAGGAGCATTATGTGCAAATGTGTACAACACATTAAGAAGATGAACTGACGTTTACAATGTTCACCGGGGGAATAAATCAAGTGAGAAGTGAAGTCAGTTTATTTATGAGTCAGAGCCTCCCACAAGCTTCATAAACACCAATGAATCGGCTGCGTTGCCCTCGATGGCCGGGTCGGACCTCGCGGCGGCGGCTAACCAAGGAGCCGACGGGGCCGACGCGGCTCTGCAGGGCCTGCGCGGCCCCCGTCCAGCAGGAGACCCCCCAGCTGTCGGGTCTGCTGTCCAGACAAAAACCCTGAGGCCCGAGCGACAGACGCTCTGCAGACATCTGCTGCGTTCCAGCGGCGTCTGAGGTGCAGATCCAAACCTCCCAACTTCCCCTTGTGAAACTAGAACGCTTTGATCTGCTCATATCGGTTCTAAATCCATTCTATTAGAGCACTTTGTGATGACGTCTTTTACTGTTTTAAGGCCTATTTGAATTATTGTTATTGTTCTTTTATTTATGTGATGTATCTCTCAGATGGTTCTCATCCTATTGGCTTTATGTTTTCGTCTGTTATAATATTTTATTATGAGTTTGCATAAGAAATGGATTCATTATCTCATCGGCGCGTCGACCATCTTTGATTACAGGCGTCGCCATGTTGTTTTTTTCACATTTTTTACACATTTCCATATTTAGAATGTGGAGGACTGACGTAGAGACGGCACGTACGAGCTGTCAATCAAAGTAAAGCATTTATGGGCTTTCTGACTCTAAATGAACCGAAGTTCACTAACTATGAACATCAGACTGTACTGAAGAAGACAGAAGATTAAAACCATCAACTGATGATCCATTGATATCCAATAGACTGACATGTATGGAAGAAACACAATCTATTCGCTCGCTCTGATTGGTTGTTCCTCGTCACATGACGTGCGCAACATTCTAAAAGCTTAACCATTTTAAATGGAACATTTTAAACAATACTCATCTAAAAACATGACGCTTTTAATCTGAAGGAAGTTCAGTCTGTTTAATTTACGCTTTCCAACGTTTCCACATTAAAGCAATAAATCAGAGCTGAAATATAAACATGCAGGCCGACTGACAGCGGGCTCACGGTCCGTTGGTCCTGATGGAGGAGGGGGGGGGGGGGGGGGCCCCGTGAATGATGTTAACCCCACCAAAGGGAAAAAGTTCTGTTATTTTCCTTTGAAAAGCGTTACCGCAAAAAAGTGATCCGTAAATAAACTTAACCTGAAACCAATGGGACACACTGGGACTTTTTTTGTTTTAACTCCCAAATTGGCTTCAAGAGGTTTTGATCCAATGGGAACTTTTTTCATCACCAGGAAGCCGGAATGAGATTCGAAAGAGAACCAAGACCCAGACACATGGAACTCTTAGAAACCTGTTTTTCGGTTGTTTGGGAGTAAAATAAGAAAGCGTCTTGTTTCTGTTCAGTCAGCACTTTCCTGTGATGGCGGGCGGCAGAAGAGGAACATCGGACTGTGAATGGACTTAAAAGTGTCCTTCGCTTCGCCACCGTCAACACGCATATGTAATAATAATCTAATCAACTACAGAAATAGGACATAACAGCGAACGTGCTCGTATGTCGGCCTAAAGATAAATGAATAATCGAATTGAATCAACCGGCCGCTTAATAGAGTGTCTGTGTATCGAACTCCCCCGCTGTGTTTCAGTACCACACACACACACACACACACTTTTAGACTAACTCTTAATAATAATTCATGTTTATTATAATGAATAATATGGGATTACTGTGGGATTTTATCTAGAAAATACAGAAAAACATCACAATCCTTATTTTGATGTGTGTTACCACGGCATTTCCAAATAGAGGGTCAAACGTTTCCCCTCGAGGGGCATTCGTAATTTGTGTCATTGGACGACGGGAGGGAAGTTAAGTTGACTAACACACGCTTAACTGGGTCACCCGGGCGGGAGGGGGGGGGCTCTTTTCCTCTCCGCGGGGGGCAGCTCGTGAATGCTGGTTAAACCGGGACTCTGCATGATGATGTCATACTAACGATAATGTTCAGATGCTTGAGTCTGTGTCTCTATAAAAGGTGTTCCAGTGGACGTCTTTCAGCTAAATGTCCCACGCGGCATCATCACGCAGCGCTGAACACGCGTCTCACCGAGTCTCCACGGGGACTCTAAGACTTCAAAAGCACACATTTGTATTTTGATATTTCTCTCCACACACCCAGTACTCCTTGTTCTGCCAAATTACTTCAGATAAAATCCCTCAGACGCCCCCGTCCCTGGGGACTGACTAAATGTACCGAAATGTCCTGCACCTGAGTCCCCGCTGTCCTCTGGAACATGAACACCTATCCTCGTTCTGTGGTACCATATTTAGGGTGATTAGGATCTCCATTTGCCCGGGCGGGGGTTCGGTTGAGGAAGCGATCGTGGTTGGGGTTTTAAATAAAACTTCAGTACAGAAGTCACGTGACTAATAAGACGACGTCTGGGGTTTAAATGATTACGGGATTAGCGTTACATAAGTACAGGAGTTATGTAACACATGACTCACCGTTTGGGTCAAAATAACTTAAAGTGCACAAGTTATGTGACAGATGAATCAGCGTTTTTACGTTAAAACACTTGTGGAAGAGTATGGGGCGCCGTTTGTAAAATGTAAAACGTTCTAAAATCCTGCGCAGTTTTTCCACATTTAGCATTATCATATGAACAAAAAAACACGACAATATTCACATGTCACTTTTTCAAACATTTAGAGAGAAATTCATGTACATTCATGCAATAACTTGTCCAAGAATAATGTTCGGCAGTAACAAAGTTGTTACATAATATAAATGTTAAATCTAAATCTAAATGTTAAATCTAAATGTAAATGTTAAATCTAAATGTAAATGTTAAATCTAAATGTTAAATCTAAATGTTAAATGTTAAATCTAAATGTAAATGTTAAATGTTATATCTAAATGTAAATGTTAAATGTTAGATCTAAATGATAAATCTAAATTTAAATGTAAATCTAAATGTTATATCTAAATGTTAAATCTAAATGTAAATGTTAAATGTTATATCTAAATGTTAAATCTAAATCTAAATGTTAAATGTTATATCTAAATGTTAAATCTAAATCTCAATGTTAAATGTTATATCTACATTTAGATTTAACATTTATATTATTTAACAACTTTGTTACTGCCAAACATCCTTGGAAAAGTTATTGCATGAATGTACATGAATTTCTCTCTTAATGTTGGAAAAAGTGACATGTGAATATTTTTGTGCTTTTTTGTTCATATGATAAGGCTAAATGTGGAAAAACTGCGCAGATTTTGAAATGTGCCACATTTTACAAACGGCGGCCCATAGAAGAGATGTAACTTAAAAGTTGCATTAAAGTACACAGGTGAGGTGACAATTAAGTGACCGTCTGGATGATAATAACTACAGTAGTGACGTTACTTAATTAAGAAACCTGGTTTAACTGTAATGGGCCAAGCATCTGCAAACTGAGAAGCATAACGAGCTTCTTCTGGTTTGAACAGGGAAGCATCATGTCATGGAGCCTCCTTGTGAGAGAGATTTGCTCTGTAATCAAACATTTACAGCAAAGTCCATTTACTTTTTAAGGAATCCACTGTGTGTGTGTGTGGGGGGGTACACTGCTGCTCTGTGTACTCTCGGCTGCGGCGTTCCTTCCGTTGGATCATTAAACCCTCACATTTGTGTTTGGGGGATGTGAACATGTGGACAGGTCTGCTTTTAGTCAGAGGAGGCTTGTTTATCTGGAGAGGAGGATGTGAGATAACCGCTGCAGGACGAGAGAAACAGTACGTTATCTCCACCGAATGGGCTTCGTTAGAAGAAGAGGAACGCCGGGAGGCCCGACGTTCATCATGTAATAATCTACTTTCACGGTTAACTGATGAATCGGCTGTGAGATGTGTGAAGATCAGGTGGAAGTAGAAGCAGTCAAATAGAACGTTTCTTTGGCTTTCAGTGGCTTAAAAAACAACTCAGCGATTATTGTGGATTAATGTTTCTAAGCTTCAGAAGGATTTACAAGATACAAGATACAAAATCGTCTACTAGAAACAAACCATGAGCTCAATCGTTCCCGTCAGACTCCCGCTGATTAGAGCCGAGTCAATTAGTCCTTGATTGATGAAGCCGCTGACTGATATTCATCGGCTTCACTTCATAATCCATCTATTATTCAAGCCACAGCAAACAAGGCTTTTTGATTCACTGGCAGCAGCTCAAATGTGAATATTTGCATTTAAATGACTGGAAGTTGAAAATCTTCACATGTTCACACTATGAGCAACAAGGGAAGACCACCGGCGCTGACGAGCTCAGCTCGGTCCAAAGTTGATCCCACTGCTTTTCCTGGCGAGACCCAGACCATCTGTTTGAAATGGACCATAATTCACTAAATGAACATCATGCTGCGTTGAAGAAGACTTGAAACTACAGATTGAGGCCATAAACTCATGTTTACAGTGTTTACTGAGGGAATAAATCAAGAGAGAAGTAGAGTCATTTTCTCATAGACGTCTATGGGACCAGATGAGTCGCCCCCTGCTGTTCACTACGGAGAATGCAGCTTTAACGTTTCAACCATAGTTTAAGGTTTAGTGATTTATATTTGTATCCATAAAATGTTGGATGGTAGTAGAAAAAAGCTCAAGATGACAGGGTGAAGATCAATTGATAATGAACATTTTTTATAGTAATAATTTCAAACGTTATTGTTTTCGGCAACACATCATGTGATAAATGTTTTTTTCATGCTGTTCTCTTCTCCGTTTCTTAGAACAGCAAATATTAAAATACAAAGAAGAATTTGTAAATCACTTCCACCTTAACAGTCTGTAATGGGCAGATTAATCCATGATGAAAATAGAAAATTGCAGTACTGTAATTGATTATAAAAATGTCAACATCAGAAGAATTACAAAGCGATATAAATGTTGTATATTAAATAATTTTCTCCGTAACCGTGTTCTCATCAAATGTGAATGTTCTCGTCATCAAGGTGTTCATCTCAACACTTTAATACCCAGCATCGTGTAGGGAAAGCGGGACTCACCGTGCGCGTACACGTAAACAGACACAACGTGAAGAAGAGTAAACTCCTCATCGTCTCTGCTCGGGTACGAGCCGAACCGAGCCGAGTCGAACCAAACCCGGAGACAAAAACTAGAGTCCCGGACTTAATTTAAACTCCACGTTACTTTGGGTCATCCCGTCCGAAGCATCTGCATGTTGTTTCAACTCCATTAATGAAAAAGGAACATTTAAAAAAGCGCAGTGGAAATAAAAAAGCATGGATATTTGGGAGTCGCTGAGAGGAGTGATGCGCGGGATCGGGAACACGCACCTCCATCTGGCACGCGCAGCGACGCGCACGGAGATGGTTCTGGGGTTCAAAATAAAAGCATTATTGAGGATTATTGTAAAATATAGAAATAGAATTACTGTAAGTAATTTATTGAAGTCTTCTCAATCCTCTTTTTGTTGTATTGGATGTGTTTTTTCATGTCAGGCAGCCATTAAGTTAAATTACTTATTAATATCAGGTTGTCTCGTGTCTATATTGTCTCGTGATTTCCTGTTTTATTTTGAAACTAACCTTCAGTTTCAGACAACTTGCTCTTTCCCCCGTGTGCCGGTCCGATTGTCCGCCCGCCCCTGACTGTTCCCACCTGTGCCTTTAACCTGTGTGTGTGTGTGTGTGTGTGTGTGTGTGTGTGTGTGTGTGTGTGTGTGCAGTATATTGTCTGCGTCTCCCTTTGTCCTGTGCCATTTCGTCTTGTCCCATGTCACAGAGAGCCAGCGCGTACCAATGTCGACTGTCAAGTCCAAGGTTTTTTGTACCTTGTTCAGGCGCTTTCTGTCGATTCCTTTTTCAGCCTAGTGGGTTTTTTTCTAGATCATTTTTGTTCTTAGATTTAGTATAGTTTTTATTTTCCTCTACCAAGAGTGATTTTCATTTGCTGCCTATTTTGTTCAAAACTTCATCGCCTCAGGAAAGGTGCATTTGGGTTCAGGGTCGTGACCGGAAACACACAGGTCTATCAGAGGTCAAGTGGTACAGGATGTAGAATAACGCGGTGGTTTTCAAGTGGTTTTATTTTAAACAATAAAAGGTTAAAAACGTATTTAATCATTGAGTTAAATGTGAAAGAAAACATTTTAAAGAAATTATAAATGCGCCCATCAAAAATACACAATCACAACCATCTTGGTTGGTCTTTCCAGAGGATGGGGCTTGGTCATTATTGGGTATTTATTCCTCGAGTTATATGTAAATCAAAATGGCAAATATGTTCTCTGGTCATCATGACGCTGTTGACAGAAACAATCATTTGACCTTAAAAGTGAGCTCTTTTTTTAAGGAATTAGATGTACAGAATGAATAAACAATCGAGATACCCTCATGCACCTGATTATTGTAGTAGTGTTGAGCCCATGAAGCCTGTCATCAATATGCTGTCAGATATTTCCACCACTAGTTTATTTATTGAGTGCAGCAAAAGTCTGTTTTTTTAAGAAACAGATTTGGGAGAACACTTAGAGTAGAGTAGTAAAGTAGAAGTTAATTGTTTTAACAATCTTTCCTCACCTTTCGAATTTACGTTACTATAATGTATTTTTTATCACTCTAAATAAAAACTTTCAGTGTTTCTTCAGATCAATTGTGACTTTACAAAAAACACAAAAAATTGTTAAATTGTTGATTTAAAAAAGCTCCACGTTTAAATTGAACCACTCAAACAAATGTGAGACTTCATAAATAATACCTTATTTTAACGTCAAGCAGGTTATAATCAAATTATTTTTTTGTATTACATTGGACTAGTTGGATTTTTCCTTTATGCAAATTTCCTTCACAAGTTCCCTTCATATTAACTGTCACCCTTTAGTTGTTCTTAAGTCTCAATACACTGACTGTAATGTGGATTTATTCTAACTTTACAAAATACTAGCCTGACATCTAGTGGGAAAACGTTACCTGTGCACTCTTCTCTTCGGGTCTGTATCCACATTACTACACTTCATTGTGCTCTTTTGTTTTCACACACTAAAATATCTTCTTTTGAACATCTTTCTTATGGACTCTAAAAGTGACTCAAGCTCCAACATCACAGGCAACAAAGACAATGAAAATGTCAAAGGATAAATGCTTGTTTTGTATGGAAAAGGCTGAATTGTGGAACTGTGGTGTTGACTAATAACGTTATGTAGGATATAAATAAATTAAGTTCAAAGTTAAATTAATTTAATCTAAAGTTACTTATGCTTAGTCTACAAAAATATGTATTTTCAGACTGTACATATGTACAGTATATGAAAACACATATATTTAAATATAGAATTATTCAGTCATTTTATTTTAGGTAGGGTGACGAGAACATATACAAGCAAGTAAACAAATGTGGAATAAATAACATAAAATAATTAAACAAATAAATAGACACATATGGTGACCTCAATGTAGCTTGAAATTTTTAGTTGCATCGTAAACAATATGTCAAACTTGGTTTTCTTATTGTGGAGACTTTTGCTAATACGCTACGGTTGAAAATTAAATTATGTTTAACATCGTGTAGCTTGTTTAAAGTTAGTAGACAGTAAAAACAGATAAAGGGCATTTAATCCAGGTCACATTGGAACAACGTTACATTTCTGTCAAAACAAATCACTCACGACCTCCATAACCGTTATTATTTTTCACGCCACAAGATGGCGCCCAGGTCCATGTTGTTGTTTTTTCTTCTTCTTCTTCTTCTTCTTCTTCTTCTTCTTTGAAGCTCCGTCCCCGGCGGAGGCTGGCCTGTTTTCCAGCGATGACGGCTTCCTGCCGCTGGGCGTGAGAGGCACTCGGCCGCCCTCACACACACACGCAGCGGGGTGTGCCGAAGGAGAGACGCCTCATCTAGCTCTCGCTGCCCGGCGTGCCGCCGACCCGCCCGCGGGACTCACACTGTTTGGTCCTTTCTTTTTTTGACGTGCGGATGTCGCAGGTGGACTCAGGTGAGTGCGGTTGGCTTAGAGGAAGAAGTAGTTTCTTTTCTTCGCTGGTGTTTGGTTTACGCAGGGCTGGCGGTGAAGTTCTCCCCCCCCCCCCCCCCTCCCTTACGTGTCACTTCGTGGTGAGAACGTAACGTCACCACGTACTCCATATAAGAATTCAGGGAATTACGCGTCGTTGTGGCTAACTGTGTAAATGTGCGCAGCGGTACCAAATGTTTAAGTTCAATTTGGATAAAGTGCTAGATTTCGTTCAATTCGGCACTCGCAGAACCGATCAAAAGAACGTTTATTCCAGCAGAACGCCTGCTTTCAGTACCGCTCCGTGGTTGACATTGCTGTCCGCGGCGGTTCGGTTATGGTGGCAGAAAGAAGCAGACATTCTATAAACAAAATACTGCGTAGGTGTGAATCATGCCGAATTGAAAAGTACTTGTTAAAGCTCCGTCACACAGGTAATTCCACTAATTCAAGTTTGTAATGTTTCCAGGTATTACGCTAAATAAAAGTACCCATTTTGGCAAAGGGGTTTCGTATGACGTCCTCTAGAAGAGGGCTTAAAGGAGCTCGGACACTATTTTGCAAACTAATCGGAAGTATATTTATGAATAAAACGTATTTTTTATTTATGAAGGCATCTTGTGTGTGATGTAGACCATTGTGAGTTGTTATTGACTTGGTACCAACTTTTTACTGCCTACTTGTTGAAGAATTACTGTGACAAGGAGCCTCTGCGTCGGCCTTTTTCTTCATTTTTCCTCTTCTTTTATACCAATATCTACAAACATTTACAATTTTAAGATTCACATTGATAACTTGGCTTTCATCCTCACAAATCGTAATGTTTCCAACCTAGTTATTCTATATTTTAAAGTATTTAATCTAATAACAAAGACAGCCAAGCAGGTCTCGGATTGACATGAAGGGAACTATATTTTTATACGTAATATTTCAGTCAATAGTTATTTATTTGCTTGTTTATTCTTTGTCACGCTTAAGCTTCTTATATTCTTCACAGTATAACTTTTGCATGTATATGGCGCAAAGGTTCTGACCCTCGACCTGTGGAGTTAAAAAAAACAAACAAACATATTTTGTAGTTCGACAAGACACAAAAATGCGCAGTAAATTTCAGTTTTTCACCAAAACATGTCTTCCCAGGTGGGAAATGAAAAACGCCATGGAGGGTTCGGTGGGACCGGATGCGAAGGCGAACGGACCCATCGCGGCGCCCAGCAGCCCCGTGCGCTCCACCGTAGGGCCGCCTCTGGCGCCGCAAGTTGAGCCCCAGTCGTCCATGACCGACGTCACCCAGATGTGGATTAAGTTCGGCAAGACCTTTGCCCTCATCCTGCCGATCTACATCCTGGGGTACTTTGAGTTCAGCTTCAGCTGGGTCCTGGTCGGGCTCGCCGCGCTGTGCTACTGGAAGAGGAACCACGGCGGCAAGGACTACCGGATAAACCGGGCCATGGCGTTCCTGGAGCACGAGGACAAGACGGCGACGCAGAGCCTGGCCACGTCGGAGCTGCCGCCGTGGGTGAGTCCCCTGCATTCCTGCTGTTATCACATTCTTGTCATTATTGGGCTGCTTTCGGACTCCTACTCGCGTTTCTACCCCTCCCTTCTGTTTTTTTGTTTTGTTTTGTTTCTGCGGACAGCAGCAAGCGTACGATCGCGGTATGTTTGGCAGTTTGACTCAAAGGAGCATGAAGCAGCCAATCAAATCAAAGGATCGGCCCATGTTGGAAGCGTCTATCCATGTCACAAGACGCCTTCTAATACCATGACTAACACTCCACTTCTCACAAGATGGGATGTTGGACTTGTTTTATTGGTTGGGGGGATTATTTGTGTGCACTGCAGCTGATAACAATCACAGAAAATTGGCAGCTTGATACTCCGGAACGGCATCGATGTGAGACCATGTTTGGATGTATTTAGAAACGGCCTCTGGAAGACGTCCCTCAGATGGTCCAGAGGTGTTTTTCACTAAATGGGAGGAGTACCGCTTTACTCCACCAGAACCTCCTTCAGCTAGGACCCCAGCAGAGACCAGTTCACTGAAGAGGAGCGCTCCGCTCCCAGCAGTGGCAGCAGCATCTCCTCCTCTCCCTCCTCCAGGAGCAGAGCTTCATCCTCCCTGCTGGAGACCCAGGAACGCAGTGCTGGAGCGTCTGGAGGGGAGGCAGACTGACTCCCGGTCTGCCGGCGTTGCAGCAGCTTGCTGGTGGAAGCAAAACGCCTTCAGCGTAGCTGCCGCTCCCTCTCCCGTCTCGACATGTGGCGAGCTCCTCCTCGTGCCAAAGACGACTGATCGCTAACATGAAAGGAACGGAGGTTACTCACTGGTTGGATTCAAACTGTCAAAACGATTGCCTCCTAACGTCTGTCCCTCACCGCTATTCCGTGATCTCTGTGGGGGAAAACGTCACGGGGTCAAGGAGAGAGGATGAGGAGTTAGGAAAGGAGGCCGCGGTGAGAATCCGACTCTGCTGCCACTAAGATACGTTGTTCGGGTGGACGGAGACGCTTGTTAGCGACGTCCGTCTGCAGCGGCTACAAAATGTGTTGTTACAGCGGGAGTCACGCAGACGACACAAACAACCAGGTTCAAAGGAGAACTTTATTAACAAGGCTGCAACACAAATGAGTGACCCTAACGGTCACTGACGCGATCTGCGTTTGTGCGTCTGCATCATCGTTATTCGTAATGAACGGCTGAATCATACGTCACTATTTAAATTTCGCCGCCGCAAGGAATTGTGGGACGGGATTATCTCCTCTGGTAAAGTTCCAAACATGAAAGGAATGGATATTACTTTGTGATGCTTATTTATTTACGTGTATATAATTAGTCCTCAGGCCATTTCCCCAGCTAAAAGAGAAAAAGAAAGAGTTTGAAGGGATAACCTCCTTAATTACAAATGCACAATCGCCAGTAATTTTGCCCCCCCCCCCCCCCCCCCCCCCCGCCCCCCCCTCAGGGAGACGGCATGTCCTTTGCAGAAAAGGCATTGATCTCTCTCACCTCCGTCCCCCTGACCTCGACCCAATGATTACAGGCTGAAAGAAAGTCCCAGAGTTGTCCCAACGACGAGCCCGGTAGTGGTGAAATTATTACAATTGCCAAATAAAAACTAACAATGACCTTTTTTCCACATTTCTCCCATTTAAAAATGTCTTTAAAGTTCAATGAATTGGAGTCAGAAACATTGTGGGTCTTTTGTGGCAGCAGTGTAGAGCGTCACTATTCCTTATTGACTAATTAATAAGGAAAGTAAACAAGTATTTGTTGTCAGTAGAATGGTAATGATGAAGTCTCACATGATACAATATGTGAGAAGATGGTGATAATAATCAATCTGATCCCGATGAAGACATCTTTGTCCCAGTTTAGTGTCTCAGAGGAGTGAAGAAACCAGAAAATATTCACATTGAAGAAGCTGGAATCAGAATTTTGACTCAAACTGATTGGTTGGTCATTCAAATAGTTGATTAATTTAAATATTTTTATTATATATATTATATATTTTATAATTTTTTTTTTTTGGCACTACAACCAAGAAGTATTTGTATTATTGGTTTCTATAAGTCATAGTTACGGCACCGCTTTCAACAACATTTCACTGCCGCCCTCAACACATAAGAATCACTCGTAAAAGCTTAAAGGAAAACAAGCAAGTGGTCATTATATATGTTTGTACAGATACAATGTGCTCGAGGTTCTCTACAAACGCTTCACAACTAAAAGTATGAGGAAAACAAACAGCGGAGAGCTTTTGCGTTACCCCTCCAACGCAGCGGTTTCTACCTTTTTAACTTTTCGTCTTTGGTCTCGTGAGAGGAGCGCTCCCTTGGCCCCGCCCCCTCTCACCCCACCTGATACGTCTGAAATACTTTTAAGTTACTCACGATGTTTTGAGTGTGAGGATTTTTGATCTGTAATTTTAATAGCCTCTTAAAGTTTTTTTTTGTCAGGTGTCCGGTTACTGCTAAATATTTACCTTCCATTCAAATGTGGTCAAAGTAAATTGTAATTTAGCTTAGTCACCCGGTTTCTTTTGAAAACACAACAAAAGTGTGGAGTGAATGATGCCTACAGATCCTTTGATTTAACTGCAGATAAAGAACCAAAGTCCGCTCCATTAAGCAGTGTTTAAGAGACCGTTTGGTGCGTCTCTTGTTTCATTTTGTTAAAGAGGCGATATTGTGCACGAGGTCCTTTTACCTCAGTGACCTCCTGCAGGAACCGCTGACTTCAGGTAACCACGGAAACCAAAACGAAGCTTACAACAGTCTGGTTCTGTCTCTGACCGAAGAGAACAACACAACCGAGCAACCGAGTACAGACGTCAACACGGACGCCCTCCTCGCTCAAGTCTCTCTGCCTCTTACGATGCTTCTGTAGTTCAGAGAAGTCGCTGATCAGCAGCGCCTATTTCATAACAAGTATTAATAAACTCCAGCTGTACTCGACAGAAACATTCTTCCTCTCCACACCCGGGCAGACACACACACACCACACACACACACACACACACTCACACTCTGTTGTGCACTGTTGTGGGTGTGTGGCTGGAACGTGTTGTGGGTGTGTTGCTGGTACGGGAGGTTTCCAAACAGCTGTGACACATTTGGAGTGTGAGTCCCACCCACTGGACCGGCTTTGACTCTCACACACACACACACATACGTCTTTATCCTGCCACAGAACTCAATTGAGCCTTCACTAAGTGGTATCTTTGATGTTTTTTTCTGTGCGGTACCCCACGTCTCTTCCGGACTTCAGGGCGAAACGTTCCACACCCTGCTCGTAGCTACGGTTGCTAACGATGGATTGGACAGCGTGCCATCCCAGGGAGGGTGAAAAAGTTGTGTAATGTTCGGATTAATGACTAGTAATTTAAGTGAAGTGACTGAGATCATCTCACCCTGGGTTCCTCTGAGCTTCCTCACATGGAAGGAAGCTCTGACCTTTTAGAAACCTTTCGTCATTCTTCCCTCTGGGATGAGCCATTGTTGTAAAAAGAGAGAAATGTTCCTAATTTACTTTGAGGAAATAAATCCTTCCTTCATGGCGTTTTGCTTCGCACACTGAGACAAATAAAAGAACAGCAATGTAGTTTATTGTGGTCGTTCATCTTCCTGTAGCTTTGTTTCCTGCTCTGCTTACTCATTTTGTAGTTTATTGCCATAATAAAACACGTCTGTTGCATGAATATTTGTACATTTAACTTATCAAATATTGTTGCAAATGTTTAGTTTTGCTCCGTCTCGTCTTTACCTCTTGAGCTTATTTGCCTGTTTTTCTCTTGTGGGAAGCACTTTGTTTTTAAAATTGTTTTATGGTTAAAAATGTAATTTTTTATTTTCTGTATTTGAAAGTTTCTGCACTTGTCACGGTGATGATTGAAATGTGGACGATAAACCATGTGACTTCCTCCCTTTTGTTATTGTTGCCGTGGTAACATGAGCCCTTTGCAGGCGGTACTGCCCTCGCTGCCTCCCAACTCTTGAGGCACGTACTATTATTTATAGACGAATATATGGATACATATACAAGTTTATTTGTCATTTTATTAAATGTCGTGCTCAATATAAAACTGTCTGTATGTATTTATATTCATTTTGGTTTAAAATTGGTATGGGAAATATTGTACATTAAAAATAGTGATTGAATAATTCCTTTTGATGCTATTTAAGTGGATGAAGGAAATATATTTTCTTTTTTTTCCCCTTTTTGAACAATTGATAAGAAAAAACACACTTCAGTGTATTTATTTTATCTTATGTAAACCTACAATTTATTTGTAATTATAGTTTGCGATAAATCATGATCCTGCTTCCGATACCTTTGTTTCCTAGTGAAAGGAGAAAGCACTCAAACTATTAAATAATGTTTATTCATGATTATAGAGATGTGTTTATCTCGTTTATGACCCTGTGGCCTCACAGCGCTCTGTAACCGGTCTCGTGCACGCGTTAGCATTTAGCTTAAAGCTGCTAGCACGTCCATCACACCCCCTTTTACACTCGTCAGAATCCAAATGAATCATTAAAAGCTGTGATTCTAACTCGCTCCTTTCTGTCTATTCTCACAGGTCCACTATCCAGATGTGGAGAGAGTGGAGTGGCTGAACAAGGTACGCTAACACACACTAATGAACCCTCTCTCTCCTCTCTCGCCCACTGCTTTGTGCTGTTAGAGGCACTCGGGGGGGTATAAATAGGACCTGAATCTGGAGCTCTAGCGGCCCCCTGCAGAGGAAGAGGAGAGGATGAGGAAGAGCATCGCTCAAAAGTTCAGGTGGACTTCCAGGAGGAAGTTAGTTGACGTAGTCATGGCAACGTCGCATCGGTTTGTGGACTGGTGGAATGTTTTTAATTATACGGTTGTACGATCATTGTTAGGAGTAGTTTCCTCACTTGAGTTAATGCTTTTCCTGTTCTATTGCACAGCTGTATGAAACTAAGGAGAATAGTGAACTAATGCATACAGCTATTTAGCAAAATAATAATAATAATAATAAATCATCAAAACGGACATAAAAAGGTAAAAAACAAACCTCCCCAAGACATTTCACATAAAAGGAACAAACATCGAGTTAATCCAGTGATATAAATTGTTGTTCGATTAGCGAATATTTTCAAGTCAAATCAGAAAATCATTAGAAATATTATAACAAGCCATGATGGCGACAACAACATATCGGCCGATAGTTTCCCTAAAAGAACCACAAAGTGTTCAACAAAGCTCGTCTGTTCACTTCAGATCTTTAGTCCCTTTTTTTCTTTTCTTAAACCGCCACGCCTTCAAAATAAGAGCTGTCAGGTGAGGTCTGATACATTCCTGCGGGTTGAAGGTTCCTCCCAGGTCGCACAGCTCCAGAGTAGAAGAACGCCGCACGCCCGTATCATAGCAACGGATAAACCAGCGCTTCACATTACTCTTTAATCCTTTTTGTTTTACGTTACAGAAGTCTGTTGATGCGGAACACTGGTCTCTCCCTTCAGCCGTATTAATGTGTAGAACATAAACAATAGGAAACCAGATCGCCCGCCGCCCCCTCACCGCCAAATCAGGAGATGGTTGTAATCGTTTTGGTTTTCAGACGGTGAAGCAGATGTGGCCGTTCATCTGCCAGTTCGTGGACAAACTGTTCAGAGAGACCATCGAGCCGGCGGTGAAGGGCGCCAACCCCCACCTGGCCTCCTTCTGCTTCACCAAGATCGACATGGGCGACAAGGTGAGGGGGCGGTTAGCTTAGCGGCTCCATTTGATTTATTGCGCTTGTAGTTTTCAGCTCCCTGCCGAAGCATTTTGTATTCTATCTTTCAGTTTTTAAAGCACTTTTCGCGGGAAATAACAATGTCATTTTACCGTAATAATCCTGCTTCTCGCGCTGTCCAAGTGAAGACACTTCTTCTTCATGTCCTCCCACAGCCACTGCGAGTGGACGGGGTGAAGGTGTACACGGAGAACGTGGACAAGAGGCAGATCATCATGGACCTGCAGATTAGGTGACCCCCCCCCCCAGCTGTTAAATGCTGTTTTGTGAGCCTTACAACAATAAACCTCACATCTGCATCTTGGTTTGTGTTCAGGGTTTCTTAACTAGAACAACAAAATAAAGTACGTTCAATGTATTTGTTTTATTTTTCCTTTCAGTTTTGTCGGGAACACGGAGATCGACGTGCACATCAAGAAATACTACTGCAGAGCTGGAATCCAAAGTATACAGGTGAGTTTTCATGATGCAGGTAATAATAATATCTGTGTAATATTGTCATGTCTTGTTTCTGTTGTTTTTTGTCACTCTGAAACTCACAAGTCCTTTTAATCCAACTCACGATTCATCAGTTCTTTTAATCATAACAGAATAAAAAGCAAATCCTTTTAGATGCTGGAACCAGAGAAATATTCTCTTAAATTTTTTTAATTCGTTGATGAATAATCCTGTTTTTTTCAAGTCGCTGATTTTTTATTAACCTAAAAAAAGAATAATCAAATGATTCAATGACTACAGTAAAACGACCAAACCACATGAAGAAGCTTAATAATGTGAATGTTTTTAGGAAGAGACTTTCTGCCTGATGGTATTCATAGGGGCCCTCGTTCCCTAGACCATAACCTTTGACCTCCACAGAGGCCCTTTTTACATAATGTGTTGACACTGGACTGATAGAGGAGATCTTATCCGCTCCCCATCATCTATGTACTGGTCTCAGATCAGGCCGAGCGGCGGACATTGACACACACACACACACACACACACACAGAGAGAGAGTCTGGGCCTTGGAGGCAGAGTAAATATGTGTGGCTTTGATATCTTTTTTTTGTTCCTTAATGGGCGCTCAGGGAGTGAGACGTGAGCTGGGGCAGCTTATCGTGAGCGCTGAGTCATGTTCTGGGGGGAAGTTTTCATCTCGGCTTCCTCTTAATCCACTGCAGAACGTTTTCGAAAGCATCCCTCCTTCTCCTCTGAGGGCAGGGGGGGGTAAGCTATCTATTTAAAACATCTGCCCACCGCGCCCGGTTTGATGGGAGAATCGCTGGTGTTTGATTACTCAGAGTGGAGCCAGGCTGCATCTCTGAGGTCTGAGTCACTGAGGAGGACGAGGAGGAGGACGGGGAGGAAGAAGAAGGCATTAGCTGATCTTCTCTCCCTGTGACCACACATATGATCCCAAACCGTACGCTCTGTAAACCAAATGACCAAGGGACAGGGTACATCTGATGCTGTTTTGGTGTTTGCAGCTATTCCCTTTTTCAAAAAGTGGCTGTTTTTAGGCTTTTTAAATTTTTCTTTTTCTTAGAGAAGAAAAATAGCTGAAAAGAACTAGGTGCTTTGTCTCAGCCAATGATATAAAATGTTTTTGGCAGTGGAACCGTAATAATTCTGACAATCAGGTGATTATACACACATATGTGTGTCATTAATAACCCCTAAAATGTTAAAGTCTCCCCCTAAACACAGGCAAAGCTAATCGAGGATACAGCATCAAAAGCAAGATGAGACAACATCACCTCTGTTAACGTTAATAGTCGGGGGGAAAAAAAATCTCCCCATAATCAATTTAATAAAACACAAGGCGAATAAGCATGGATGCATGGGTTTGCTTTCTCCTGCAGCTGCATGGGATGGTGCGAGTGGTGATGGAGCCTCTGCTGGGGGACATGCCTCTGATCGGAGCCCTTTCAGTCTTCTTCCTCAAGAAACCGGTGAGTGCCTCCTGACCTCAAAACGGTTTCCTTCACATGGGCGTTTCCGCGCAAATCCTCTGACAATGTTCATTTTTACTGTTTTTTTTCTTTTTTTTTCTTCTTTTTCCACAAGATAAATGTTCTGAAAAAGTCGTATGGAGTCATGGAAGAAAAGTAAAAAAATATTAGAATTATTTTTTTAAGTCTAAAAATATCAAAAATATTCTAGGCAGACAAATGTTTTGTAAAAAAAATATTTTGTCAAACATTTTTAATTTAAAAAGATGTGTACCGATTTGAAGGAGGGGCATCTATCGCGTTTTGGAAAGCGCTACAAACGCTACAAACTATGAAATATATATATTTTTTTTCTTATAATGTTGCTGATGGAACCAACATCAACTATTACTATTATTTGTTTATATCGAGCAGACATCTTTGTGGAGATGAATGAATACAATTGGGAGGAAATAAAAAAAGTTTCAGGCTGACACTCTTGAGAGTGAGTCACCACCGGGACCTTCCCCACCGCGCTGCCTTCCTGTAGCAAGGCAGCGCGGCATTGTGGGCCGCCGTGGTGTGCGCTTAGAGCGCTAACGAGGCCACAGGAAGACACGCACAATTAAACTCACTTCATCTACGATGGACCAGTGTTGTCTGTCCACTCAGTAGACACCAGGGTGCGTCCGTTCCTGTAATGCAGCCTCGTTTTATTACTAGTGACCGTTTGGAGGATGAGATGTTAAATATGTGTCCTCCTCTCAGCAGTCCGGCTCCTCGGGTAACCCAGTTCTACAGTAATCCACGTGCAGGAGCCTCGTGAACTGGGTTATAAAACCAGGTTACGCTCCTGAATGCGACCGTAGTGTCTGGTTACACAACGGCGTGCAGCGCCTGCTGTGAGGGTCGTCGTTGCATCACCACGTCCTTGCATCTGAGCCGGGTCAGAACCGGCACTTTATCTGGAATGATTGAAATGGTGAAAGCCGAGTGGGAGCGACTTCAGCAGCCTGTTTATGGATCACGTCACGGTCTAATCTAATCCACCAGATCGTCGCATTTCTTCTGTTTCCAGCGGGGCCGCGACTTTGTGCACAAACACACACACATTGAGGTCAGATTAAATGAATAAAGAAAAGATTAAAAATGGAGAACTGAAATAGAATCCAGAGGATTTGTTGATGTAGCATGATGATTACAACCTTTACTAAATAATAACTTATGAACTACAAACGTTTATTCACTAATCTGCCGTAAAGCTTCAACACTTTGACATCCATCACAGTGTTTGGGCATGAATCCATTGTAGGTTTCATATTATGTCATTTCTACATCCTGTTTACACGAAGGAGTACCCAATCCGCCCTGATCTGTTGATTGTCGGGTGAATTGAATTAAGAGTCAGCTCCTCGGCCGGGCTGATTCATGATGATGTCAGAGAGCATTCTAGTTTTACAGAAATTGTCACTTATTTTGTTAAGTTTGTTATCTACTGTTGTAATGCCAATTAGTCCAAAAAGTTACTTTTTAATCTGAACTAACCTGTCAAGTTTGCTATTTATTATCTCCAGTTATTCACCAGTTAACTACAGATGCATTCCTAAACCTCTCTGGTCTCTTATTAAGAATCCTATCTCCTTCTTTCAGTTGCTGGACATCAACTGGACGGGTCTCACCCACCATGCTGTACATCCCGCTGGAGTCAAGTGAGAGACACACTGAGGACTTTCTGACATTAGCTTTGCGCTAACGGCTGCTGATTAGCATTTAAATCCACCCATTTCCGAGGCTCAAGTGTGTGAAGGACCGCAGTGGTGAAGAAAATAATCTAAAAACTTGACCTGATGATGGCGTTAAAAGTAAAGATGTTACGATCGATCCTCAGGGGAGCATGATTGTGTGAGTCCTGTTGCTGTTAAGGCTCAAAAACTACAGATGTGAATCTCTGTTACTCTGCTAGCGAAAAAATAAGCCCCCCCCCCCAAGAAATATCATGCCAAAGCGCCCTCTGCCACTCCGCTGCTGTTTGTCTTTAAGCTGAGAAACTGGCTGCGGTTCCCAAGAGGCCCCGCCCTCAGAAATGAAGCTTTCCTTGTTTGATGGGTTGTGTGTGCGCGTGTGTGTGCGCGTGTGTGTGCGCGTGTGTGTGTGTGTGTGTGTGTGTGTGTGTCACTCACTCCACCCTCTCTCGCTCTCTTCCTGTGCGGAGGCCCCTCACTTTTTCCCTCGGTGGTTATTTGCATTTGTCCCTGAGGCAGCGTGAACACATGAGGTCACCTGGTCGTTTGGCGAGTCGGTTGATTCTGCCGTGTTTTCAATGCAGGTCGCTGCCGCCCTCCAGAGGAAGTGAGGGGGAACAGCGGATTTAAACAATGACCATACAAAAAGGCGCCATATTTAATAGCAGTTTATATTATTTAAATATTTTTCTTTATATATTTTTTTTCTAAAAGCCCTCAAGTTACTATTTTCTCAGGATCAGTTGATCCAATTCACACTAAAACACCCATATTTCCCCCCTCGGCCTGTGGTGTTAACATGATAATCATGCTCTGGATTTGAAAGGTTCAGGCCCGTGAGATGTTTTCATTTCTCTCAGTAGAAGTGTATATTTACTTTATTTTTCAGTGCTCATAAATAATAATTCACACTTTTTTCATTGGTACCAAATAAATAAGTTAGCGTTGCAACCAACAATATTTTCCCTTATTGATTGAACCAATAATTATCTTTATGCTTCTGGTTTTGAGAGGATATCCTCAAATCCTGTTAAGCAGTCAACATATGTTTGTTTATTTTCATGTATGGTGAAGAGAAGTCTGGCTATCATTGGTAATTTGACTGAAGTTTATATAAAATGTATATGTATATTAAGTCATCAATGTAGAATGATCCCACAAAGAAGATTGTTCATATTTTTTTCATTTTTAATCATTATCCCAAATATCATCATCCACTAATCACTTCCTCCCTCCTCTTCGTTCCTCCTTCCTTCTCAGTGGTTTGTTTGACAACGTCATCCAGGACATCATCGCCAGCCAGATGGTTCTCCCAAACCGCATCTCCATCCCTCTGGTCCAGGAGAGCCAGCTGGCCCAGCTCCGCTTCCCCATTCCCAAGGTCTCTCTCTCTCTCTCTCACACTCTCACACACACACTGCTGTAGTTACGTTTGGTCCTCAATTAACTACTTGAATTATCAATAAGGGAATTGTGTCTGTCTCTCTCCTGCTCAGGGCATCCTGAGGATCCACTTCATGGAGGCCCAGGACCTTCTGGGCAAAGACAAGTTCCTGGGGGGGCTGATCAAAGGCAAGTCGGACCCCTACGGCTTCGTGAGGATCGGGACGCAGGTGTTCCAGAGCAAGGTCATCCACGAGAACTTGAACCCCAAGTGGAACGAGGTGTATGAGGTGAGTGAGCGTCGCCGGGTAGCAGAGGGGCAGCGGCGTGAAGCGTTACTGTGTTTTATTGTGTTTGCTTTTTCAGGCCTTTATATACGATTACACGACACACAATCTGGAGATCGAGCTGTTCGATGAAGACACCGATAAAGACGACTTCCTGGGAAGGTACATGTTAAAGTGCAAACTTAAAGCTCATCGCCACAGCAGAAGAATGTCAGGAGTTTAAGGCCACTTTTTATTAATAACCGAAGCCAAAAAGCTCCAAAGGTTTTGTGTGTTTCCTCCAAAGAGGCCATCTGTGATTATGACAACTAACTACTGCTAAAATAATCAATAAGTTGATAGTCATTCAGGTCATATATCCACTCAAAAATACAAATAATCTTTGTCTCTCGTGCTGCTAAAATATGAGAAATATATTTTGTTTTTGGACTAAATGAAACTTTTAAGTTGTTACTTTTTACTCCTTTCTGATTAATGAACAAATAAAACATTTATATTAAAAATATTGTTTTGGTTGTGTCGCCTCAGTAATACGACTTGTGTGTTTGTTTTTCTCTTCCAGCCTGACCATCGACTTGGCCGAGGTCCAGAAGGAACGGAAGGTCGACGAGGTATCTGCGTCTGCTGCTCTCATAGCCAAACATTGTGTGTGTGTGTGTGTGTGTGTGTGTGTGTGTGAGAACCTTCCATGCTAACGTGGGAACCTGTCCTCGTCCTCAGTGGTTCGTGATCGAGAACGTGGACACCGGGAAGCTGCACCTCAAACTGGAGTGGTTATCTCTGCTGCCCACCCCGGAGAAGCTGGACCAGGTACAGAGCCGCTGCTCACTCCACGCACAATAAAAAAAAAAAAACACCCTCATTGAACTCTGTAAAAGTGTGTGTGTGTGTGTGTGTGTGTCTCCTCTCAGGCTCTCGCAAGCATCAAAGCCGAGCGCGGTCAGGCCAACGACGGCCTGTCGGCGGCGGTGCTCGTCGTCTTCCTGGATTCAGCCAAAAACCTGCCAGTAAGTTGATCCGGTCCAACCTCCCAGAATGCACTGCTGCTGTAATGATTCCCAGTAGGGAACTAATGCAACAAATACAGATATTTTTGGAGCCCAGCTGAAGAAAAGTGCTCATTTATAGAAACTTAAATGCATTTATCAATCAATTTAATTCATTCATAATGTATGAAAATATACAATATTGAAAAGATTCTTTTAAACTTGAAAATGCACAACAAAGATTTTGCAAAAGTAAGATTTATGAGATAAATGGGGGGTAAAAAATACATTTTATTATAAATGTCTGTCTTCTACTTCTCTTACATGAATTGGAGCTGTATTTTTTTGGCTTTGTTGTTTTGTGGTCAGTACTTTATTACAAAGTTCTTTGCGATCCCACCCGCCTGCTGCTCCAGGTTGTTTAAAACAAACATTCCCGGGATCTTGAGTGTTATCGTCTTCTTCAACCGCTTTTCTGTTCTTTAACCTTCTCATCTTTTAAGTGCATCAAAGAGAAGACTTACAATTATAGGAAATAAGAAATGAACATAAAATGTAGGTGTTTCTCTGGCTTCAAGTTTAGAAATTAAGTTTTTAAGCTACCATACATATTTGCTACTTATTGAATATAGAAAGCAATTGAAATTGATAAATAGTCCCGACATCTGGTCAACAGCTGCATTTTTTTCAACTACTTGTTTGCATTGAGTGGAGAGTGAAGACCTGGTTTCCTTCTGATCGCTCTCAGCACCTTTCGCTCGGTTTCTCTTCTACTATAAAGAAGTCTTATCTGTTAGTATGTGAACTCTGCGGTGCCGGCCTCACCTTCCTCTTCTCCGCCTCCTCTTCTTCTCCCCCCCCCCGAAGAGCGTCTTCGAGGGGAACTTGGGCTCCGGCTACTTAAAGGAGCGGCGGGGGGCGGGGCTCGTGTTCTGTGAGAACACCGCCTCCCTCTATAGGTCCTTATTCGTGAGTGTTCTGCTCCAGGTCCTTTTGTTACGTTTGCTCGTTGTTGTTTTTAAACACAAAGCAAAGGTTTGAACCAATGAGCATGAAGCCAGACTAGTGCATGATCATTTATTAACGGCAACTTTTTGTTTGTTAGTTTGGTTGATGACAAAGCGGAGGAAAGTAGCAGGTGCGAATAATCAGAAGTCTCTTCCCTCCTCTGCTGCTCTCATTGTTTCCTCTGATCTTGTTCCATCTGACGGTTTATACTCTTAGTTTAAGATACGTTAACTTCTTCTTGTCTTAACAATTTTACTTCCATTTTTCGTTTCATCTTGGTTCGATAATTCTTCCTCATTCACAATAGTACATTTAGACAGTTTTGTGTTGTTTGTTTCTCGGTTGACAACATTCTCACAACTGTTATTCAACATTAAGAGTCTGTTAAATGAACGGAGAGAGGAGGAATCCGTGTGAGGCTGCGAGCAGGGAGGGTGAATTCTCTGTGGATTGCTTCCCCTCCAGCCTTCCTGCATCTACCCGTTGTGTGTAACAGATTTCCCCCGTCAGTCTGCCGTGTGGTCCGCGAAACTAATCTCATAATCTCCAATTTACCTAAAAGATTTAGAGATTTTTTTTAGATGGATCAGATTTTAGATGGAACTGTTATCAGCATTTCAAATATGATCAGGTTTTATGTTTCATTTTTTCACAAACAATTTAAAATTTGGAGATCATGCTTGTCTTTTCATTCATATTTATATACGTTGACGTAGCTCACGTAGCGTACGTAGCTCGTGTAGCGTACGTAGCTCACGTTTTCATCGAGTAGCGTACGTAGCTCACGTAGCTCACGTTTTCATCGAGTTGTTTTGTTGTCATATCAATGTCTTTTCACACCATATGAATATATTAATGTCCCCCAATCATCACCAGAACACCTCCATTGTGTTTTCAATCAGAATGATTCCTTCCTTCTCATCTTCACTTCTTCTTCTCAATTCTAATGAATCAATAATCAATGACTGACCTGTGGAATTTTAACTACAGTCCAACCAACGCGTGTCGGCTGCTCTGTTTAATTGGAATCGAAATCATTTCGATAAAGATTTCAACAATCATTGCTGAATTGTGTGATTATCAGAAACTATTATCCAGCGTTGGTTGCACCCTTGTTGCCTCCTCATGACCAGGTCTAATTGGGCAACGACGTTAACCATGTGACCATCCATGTTGTCTCTCTCCCTCGTCTCATTGTGTCCTTTGGTCTTTCTCCTCCCGGCATGGCCCTCCACCCCCCCCCCCCCAACCCCTCGTCTCCCTAATAACCTACTGGTGTGTGTGTGTTGTTTTCACTCTCCTGCCTTGTCTTCGGGGGAAAATCAAAGCGCAATCCGTTAGAGTTCAACCAGGCAGGTCTGAGGAAGGCCTCGCTCAGTAAGGCCATCAAGGTAATGACCGCCCCCCTCCCCGCACATCGAGGAGGAAACACGACCTATACGGACAGATTATAGAATTTATACTTTTACAACAAATGCCACATTTAATATTGGTTGGTGCTTTTATTGTGAAAAGCTCACACATGCGACTGTAGAAACGTATAGATAAGACAATGAATTTTCCTCACAGCTCTATTTGTAAATATTAGGGAAAGTGCTGCAGGAAACGCCGTCATGGTTACCGGAAGTGAACTAACTTTTATTGTGAAATCATTAACAAACTCTACTAATCATGTTTTTTTACTAAAACTATGTCTAACAATGTGTGTTGTAAATAACAACATTGTTGTCATAATTTACACTCCTGTTTTCATTCAGAGAAACTTTTGTGTTTTGGTGGCGTTTTTGGGACTTCCTGTTTTGGGGCCACCCGATGCGCTTTCCCTCTTAGCTCCTCCCCCTTTAGAAGTTACACGTTTGGCCACCAGCTGCTGAAATGTGACGAGTAGCTCCGTGTCGTTTGGTATCACGGAAAAGATGTGACATCACGTGCCCGAAAATTAAGCTGAATGAGCTCAAAATTCACATTTTAAATGTTCACAACATACAGCCATGTTGTAAAAACATTTAACAGTATATTACATTAAATGCTTTTTGTGAATAGTTGAATGTACTTTCCTTCAATATAATGATTTAACAACTGAAGAGTTTTACTCCCATTATATTCATTGTTTGAAGGAAATTGTCTCCGATTATTCTGAGGAAACAGTTTGTCGGTCTTGTTACCCGTTTTCCTTTTTTCTTCTGCAGTCCGGTAAGAAGGTGACCAGCAGTCCCAGTCCCTTCGTCCAGTTCACAGTGGGACACAAGCCCCTCGAGAGCAAGGTCAGAGCGGAACATGACCCCCCCCCCCCCAACATTCAGTAACATCCTTTATTCACCTGACTCCTGTCCGTCCCTTCCTCCACCAGATCAGATACAAGACCAACGAGCCGGTGTGGGAGGAGGCCTTCACCTTCCTCATCCACAACCCCAAAACACAGGAGCTGCAGGTGGAGGTATGGAGGCACGCTCCTGTGTGTGTGTGTGTGTGTGTGTGTGTGTGTGTGTGTGTGTTGTGAGTGACCTGGTGTGTGCGTCTCTCTCCAGGTGAAGGACAAGAAGCACGATTGTTCTTTGGGGACGTTGACGTTTCCTCTGAGCCGCCTGCTGGAGGCGGAGGACATGACGCTGAACCAGCGCTTCCCCCTGAGGAACTCCGGACCCAACTGCACCCTCCAGATGAAGATGGCTCTGCGGGTCGGTGGAGAGACTCTTCTCCTGTGGCGTTTTAAACCCATAAAAAAAAAAAAAAAATATATATATATATATATATATATATATATATATATATATATATATTTTTTATTTCTCAGTTGCAACACAGAATTTAGAATTGAACTGTTTTTCTTTTCAGGTGCTGTGCTTGGACAAGAGCCCTTCCTCCGGCTCAAACCCCGCCCCCTCCTCCGCGCAGGTGGGCAAGAACAGCTCGGCCAGCCGAAACCCGCGGCCCTCCGTGTCGCCCGAGTCCTTCGTGCCTCCGGCCTCCTCCTCCTCCTCCCCCCCCACCCCCAGCTCGTCCTCCATGTCGGCTCAGGACCTGCTGAACCGCCGCAGGGAGTCCGAAGAGCCCTTCAGGTCCCCGGGAGGTATGGACATGGGACCAGGAGGAGGAGGCCGGGGCCTGGCCGACACCGGGCGTAGCACCTCCAACCTGGCCATCTCCGGCTCCCAGCAGCACCTGGCCGGGGGCAAGGAGCCGACGCCGAGCATCGCCTCGGACATCTCCTACCCGTACGCCGCTCAGGAGCTGCAGCAGAGGCTCCAGCAGCTGCAGAAGTACGGCTCGACCAATCGCGTGCACCCTCTCGTCCGCGCAGAGACCCGACTTTACTTTAACACTTTGTATCCTGTTGAAATGTAGTGGTTTGGTTTTGTCTGTGAGTGCTGATTTTCTTTAGCGAGGCTTATTATTCCAATAAATCCACGATTTGCGTGTGACGCGTCGCTGCAGGATCCAAGGAATGAGTCAGCATTTTGTCCCACTTCACCCTACATTCTCCCCCCCCCCTCTCCACAGTGGCTCAGGCCCCAGTCACTACCCTCTGGGTGAAATCCAGCTGACGGTCCGACTCGCCTCCCAGAGGAACAAACTCGTTGTGGTCGTCCACTCTTGCAGGTACCTGAGGTTGTCTCCCCCCCGCCCCTCACCTCCATACATCAGACGTGTCGTATTCACTCTTCTACGCATCTCTGCAGGAACCTGATCGCGTTCACGGACCACGGCTCGGACCCGTACGTCCGCCTCTACCTGCTGCCTGACAAGCGGCGGTCGGGCCGGAGGAAAACTCACACCATCAAGAAGACCCTGAACCCGGTGTACGACCAGACGTGAGTTACCCAGCAGCTGGAGTGGGGGGGGGTCGTTGAGGTGAGGTGGTTTCCGCCGCTGAGTATTCTCTCTCTCTCTCTCTCTCCCCCGCGCAGGTTTGAGTTCAACGTTTCCCTGGTGGAGCTCCACAGGAGGACTCTGGACGTGGCGGTGAAGAACGGCGGGGGTCTGCTCTCCAAACACAAGGGCCTCCTGGGGAAGGTGCGGAACCCTCTAGGACCACCTCGTCCCGACATAAGGGGATATCTCGGTGTGACATTTCATATTTCCAACACGTTCCACTCTTTTCTTTCTCCCCAGGTCCTGGTGGATCTGACCCACGAGGAGTCCAATAAGTCCTTGACTCAGTGGTAAGTCTGCTTGATCCACAGTTCGTGTCACACGACTGGTTCATGTCTCAAAAGCTCGCTCCTTTATTACCATTAAGCGGAAGGTGCAAGGAGAAAGGCCACACAGGTCGGATTGGACAAGCACACGCGAGACTTTCACCCAGGAGGCCGCTGTTCTCTGTCCCGTCAGAAACCAGAAGGGAACTTTGATTTAACGCTCGTAACGTGATCTTCCTCCTCCTGCAGGTACGAGCTGAGCGAAGACGGCCTGACGAAGTCTCACCAACTATAGATGCTCTTCACACCACCACCACCACCATCATCATCACTACCATCATATCTCTTCCACCTGTGTGTGTGTGTGTGTGTGTGTGTACACTAAAGGAAACTGAAGCAGCTTTGACATTCATCTAATCACATCAGTCGCAAGGCAAACCTCCCCTTTAAGAAGTGAAAGGCTGATAGACTAAAGGGAGTCTAGAGTAATATATATTTACATATATATATATATATATATATATCACACGCTTTACCGCTGTGGAAATCTATGTTCCATATTTTTAGGAGAATCTAAAACCGCTGTAGAGGAAGACAATCTATTTTCTTTGTTACGTAGAAAGCGACGATGTGAAGGTTTGTAAATATTAACGTGATCGAGGACACAAGGGGGAGAAGAGAGGAGCAGTCGCTTATTTGGCCAAACGATTGTTATTTTATGATGTTTGATTTGTTCTTTTTTGTCTTTTTTTTAAATGGACTGAGGGTCTGAAGCGCAGCACCAAAGAGACAAGAAGTATTTCATTTTTAATTTTATTTCTTTGGTAACGCGGCTTCACTCTGTTTTTGTTCCACTGTAATAACATGTGTAATAACAAAGTTAGATAAACAAATATTAATGTTTGTTTTGGATCTTAATACGCCAACAACGAGGCCGTCGTTAATGTAACCCGTTTGCTTTTTAAGATGAATATTTGCACATCTGTGTTTTATTTTTTATTTTATTATTCTGTTGGGGATCATTGTAACTTAGTTGCAATTTAAACATTACCTAAATTCCTTGTTGAAATGTATTTTTAAAAATAGTTAATTGTATAAAACTGTATTTAATATCATCAGACCTTTTATAATTTGATTTATCTTAAGCCACTATGTGTAGAAACATAATAATCTGTTGCGCCCCCCAGTGGTGTTTTTACAAAAAAGGACACGTAACAACAAAAATAATAAGGATAATGTTAATTATTAACATTTTCGAGTCATACTCGCCTCATGTTCTCTGCAGGTTTCCCTTAATCTCAACACTTCCTGCTTATGTTATTTCACATTAAACGACTTTCCACTCTTTTCCCTTTTTAATGTGAAAGGAAACAGGAAGGTGCAGTAAGCCAGGACAGTATTGGTGAAATAAATAAAATTACTGTATTCAAACAGGATTAATTCATCCCACTTTTCACTTTGGTTTTTACAAACAACAAATTGACACATTTGAAGAAAAAATGAAAAATTTAAAAGAAATTGATTAATATTGATTAATATTTCAACAAAAATCACTTTTTGGTCTAAAAGGCCCTTAGTTTGTTTTTATATCACGATGGTTTTGTTTACGAATCAACTATAGTGTCTTAACACCTCATCAAGTGTCTTGTTTATTCTTCCAACTTGTGTTGAAAATGACGGATTCCTTTTTCTTTCGTATTTTATGTACAAATGGAGTTCTTTTCTCACTCACATGACATCAGTAACAGCATATACTTATTATTATACACATACACTTTATATATAAATGCTTCAGCCAAAGAGCAGAGGAGGCCGGTGTGACCTTTGACCTCCTAAAAAGACTGTTTTGCCTCTTGTTTTACACAGAGAAAGTATTTCGCACACACGTCTGTAAGCTGTTTTTAACGGTGTCTCGTTTGGTGTTTTATTTTGTAGGAATCAATTGGTTGGATTCAGTACATATGAGAGCTTGTGTCCTTGCGAAGGGCCTTTTTTTCATTCTTTTTTATATTTTACTCTTCCGTCTTCTTAATTTATCTCGTGCCTTAAGATTCACGCGACCCGGAGATGTTCACCGGTGAGAAGAGAACCCGGACATAAGGTCACCGGTGTCCCCGACGTCCCAGGATGTCTCCCAAATGTCTTTTAAACAAAATAAAGAGCTTTACAGCAGCATGACGCCGTACAAGGCCAGGCGTGGTGTTTGTTTTTATAAAAGAGAAATCTTAATTTGATGTTTACTGAGGGAATAAATCATGGTGGTCTATGGGACCAGAGGAGTTGCCCCCTGCTGGTCACTACAGGGAATGCAGTTTTAACGCCCGCACTGAACTGGCAGGTTGGAGTCTGAGTGAGGAAATGATCTCTATGGAAAAACAAAATCCTTTTCAAGACATTTAGGATATTTGGTGTGTTAACATTTAAAACTAAGCACACCGTTTGATCTATTTCTTCAACTAAAAACGGCATTTCACTACACTGAAGCACCTCTACACGTTATGGGACTTTAAAGTCAACCTCATGGTTGAGGTGGATGTTGAGGTGAGGCTTGATGAATATAAATACCCGTGAACATGAGCAACGTGAACTTATTCATATGTAGTAGTACATTAACTAATGTACAGTCAGTCTACGGATGCACATTGAATGACAGGCTCTTCCTCATGGCTCATCATCCACCTTCCTCCCATAGCACCTGAACGCAGCACGGGATCCGGAGTGAAGAGGTCCGTGAACACATCAAGTAGAATGGAACAGATTTCCGGATATTGAGTGACTTGATCTCCAGAGTAAAAGTTGAAAAACATGGTCATGACAAGACAAGGGGAGGAAAATAAATGTCTGTTTTTGTGCCAAAGTAAATCAATTCTACCATGGCTAAAATGTCTGTACATGTTTAAGTCATGTGTGTTTTTTAATCCACACGTGAAAAACACATACAAAATATACAAAAAAAGTATATTCGACTGATTAATCATTTCTTTGGTTTGTGTTCTGCTTTCTAAGATGTATATTTAAAGCACGTTATCATTGTTGCCGTATTTGACTTATTATGTTAGTTATTTTTTCTCCCATAATCATCTTTTGATTTTTATATTTGATTTTTTTAATCCATTAAACGTGTGGCTCCCACAACCCTAACCCGTCAACATTTTATTTTGGAAATATCCCCCGGAAATATCCATCTGCGCGTGGCCTCTGACGCTCAATCCCTCCAGCAGCGAGAAAACGCCCTGCATCGCCTCCAGTCTCCTCTCTTCCTCCATCCATCCTCCACCCGCAGATCCGCGCGTCTCCCTCCGCTCCTCCAGCCGCGCAGGAGGCGCTCCGATCCGGCAGGAAGACGAACCAGACCCCGCCGGATAATACAAAAAAATGGCCTTTTAACACCTGAGAGAATAACATGGGTCCTTCCTCCTCCCTCCTCCTCCTCCTCCTCCTCGCCTACCCGAGCTGCCTCCCCGCTGCTGCCGACAGGAGAGCCGGTGAGTGAACCCCCGGATGAGTGCCGTCTTTCCCGCTGCGTCTCCGGTCCTTCAGCCATTTTCCTCCGACCCACCGGAGGAGAAAAAACAACCGAAACAAGCACGTTGCTCTTGGTCAGATGCCGCTACCCGAGTGCACGTACCAGGGGGTAAAATACCTCAGTGCACAGCGGGGAGTCACGGTGCGCTTATGACATCTGTTAATTAGTCATTTAATAAAGCAACTGGAAGAGGAAATCGATTTGGTTTTGTTGAAATGCAATATAGGACGAAATACAAAATAATCACGTGTGCACTGTCAAGCGAGGGATGGAGAATAAATAACGTGAGTTGTACAGTTTAAGAAAACTTAAAATACATATTAGAAGTGATGTTTAACCATTGGTCATTATTTGAAGTGAATCAGGATATGAAAAACATTTGATGATGATGATGCATGAGGCACAATTTAATCACAAGTTTCCAGAATAGAATTTAGAAACTACAGTGAAAAACATTAAACAAATAATTAAAAAAATATATAAAATGTAATAAGTGTATCCGTAAGAATAAAGTAAATAAAAGTGGTAAGAAAAGGACATTTTAATTAATTAATTGCCTAAGAAAAGCAATGCCAATAATTAAAAACAGAGAAAATAAGATGTATACATAAATACACAAATTAAATGTCAAAATAAAATGTCAAATGAACAAAATTACAGAAAAATATTTAATGAAAAAAGAAAGAATGAAATGAATAACTAGTATAAACATTTTTATATTTGGGTAATCATTCATATAAGCCAAAGTTTAAACAAAAATGAATATACAAAATATATTATACATGTGTTTGTGTGTATAAACACACACCTAAGTATCAATGTGCTATAATACAAAGTATAAAATTGATTCTAAACAGGCACTGTTGGTTTCGTATGTGCTTGTGAACAATCAACATCCATCAGTGACATCATCGCTGAAAAATTAGTTTATACACACATGCTCCAATTTACAGCTCTGCGCTCCTGGCAGAGGCCGCTATAGATGGGAAATATGAAGGTGTGTGTGTGTAGACTGGAGCCGTTCATTTCTATAAATAGCTGAAATGTAATATTCCCCCAACTGTCTTGAGATGTAGGATGAATGGTGCAGAGATGGTTGTGAGAAGATAGTGAGAGGACGAGGAAGCTGGTGTGGCGAGCTGAGTATGTGCAGACCTTCTTCCTCCTCCTCTTCCTCCTGATTACATAACCCGCTCACAGAGAGGACAGCAGACGAGCAGCCAAACACAGGGAGCATAGAGCAGCATTTATACTTTATATATTCCTCATATCGCGGAATAGTTTAGTGACATTGTTTAAATTAAATGACCTGACTTCTTGAAACGAATGCTTAAAAACCTAATATGCTTTAGTATATTTCCAAAAGACAACACCAAACGATTCATAAAAATAGATATTATGTGTGTTCTCCATGAGCGCATGTAGCCGCTCTAAAGGAACTCCACCGCGGTCACATGACTTCATGTTAGACTATGAAGCAACTCCACCACGGTCACATGACTTCATGTTAGACTATAAAGGAACTCCACCGCGGTCACATGACTTCATGTTAGACTATAAAGGAACTCCACCGCGGTCACATGACTTCATGTTAGACTATAAAGCAACTCCACCGCGGTCACATGACTTCATGTTAGACTATAAAGCAACTCCACCACGGTCACATGACTTCATGTTAGACTATAAAGGAACTCCACCGCGGTCACATGACTTCATGTTAGACTATGAAGCAACTCCACCACGGTCACATGACTTCATGTTAGACTATAAAGGAACTCCACCGCGGTCACATGACTTCATGTTAGACTATACAGGACCTCCACCGCGGTCACATGACTTCATGTTAGACTATACAGGACCTCCACCGCGGTCACATGACTTCATGTTAGACTATGAAGCAACTCCACCACGGTCACATGACTTCATGTTAGACTATACAGGACCTCCACCGCGGTCACATGACTTCATGTTAGACTATACAGGACCTCCACCGCGGTCACATGACTTCATGTTAGACTATGAAGCAACTCCACCACGGTCACATGACTTCATGTTAGACTATAAAGGAACTCCACCGCGGTCACATGACTTCATGTTAGACTATAAAGGAACTCCACCGCGGTCACATGACTTCATGTTATATTTTATATTTTTCATAAACCTCTGATTTCATTTCTTTTTCCAGATCTTTCAGTATTCAATGACCGTCACATATTAAGCACAAAGTGACAAAGCGTGTCTCAGCGACGAGTCACTTCCTGTCTGCTGGTTTGTCTTTGAGGTGTTAAGTGTCGCGTGTTTCTCCTCCTGGGATCTGAGAGTCCACGGACGTCGTTCAGCTCGGTTCCCCTAATCATTAACCCCAACCCAGAGAAGGTCACCGCTGGTTCGCCTCTCCGTAGCCATGGCAACGCTCATCGCCATTTCATCCGTCCCCGATTGGGGCGTCCGAGGTCACAGCAGCTGTGCCGTGACGGAGGTTAACGCGGGCGGGTCCAGTTTTAGCTAAAGACCACATCATTTGAACTACTTCTACTTTTGTGGCAAAACTCTGGATGAAGATGAATTGAGGGTTTTCTGATTATAAGCCATGATGTCGTTACCATCCGAGGGGTATTAACGCTTGCCAGGCCTTGTTGTTAGGAAAAAAACAAGTGTTTTAATTTGCGACGTCATGAAGGAGTAGTGCAGCAGCGACTCTGATTGGTGGAGACTTCTGTTACCATGGAGATGTGTTTTTCGCTCACATTAGGAATGCTGAATCAGCAAATTACCCAAAGTCACCTACATTAGTGGAGTAGAAGATACGAAGCGTAAGTCACACGTGGTGTGTTCAAAGACCCTCGGAAAGAAGACAATCGCTCCGCTATGAAGCTTCTCGCTGTGATAAACTGTACTTCCCCCCCCCCCCCATAAAGGCCGAGGAAAGGCCTCTCTGATCGCCTCGGGAACCAAGAAGAGACAGAAGTCGTTAAACGAGCTAAAAATATCAAATACGGAGCTTTTTAAAAAAGGCTTCAGCCTTCATGGGGAAGGAGAAGTGTGACTCTGTTCCAAGCTCCTGAACTAATGTGTTGTTGTTTGTTGTGTCTGTTGTGTTTGTGCACCCTCAGGCTGCCTGTTTGAGAACCAGCTGTGTTCCCCGTACGAGGCCTGCGTCAACGGTGAGCGATCCCGTCCTCAAACACGCATTCTCAATGAACACATGACCACATGGAGGCTGCTGCCTTCGGTTTAAATGTATTTGCACCAATATGTCATCAAGTTCTGAAATATAATAATAATAAGCATATACTCAAGGTGACCTCCCAAAATGTCTCTATTAATCCCCAAACATTTATCCCTCGCTCATATACATGCGTGTACGTCGTTTCAACACTCAAAGCGATTCTTCTTGTAGAGACGTTATAAGTGAGAGCAGGATGTGCAAGTAAAGTCACATGTTCATGAAGACACGTCACACACGTCTGGACAGACGGTCCCACTCGACGCTCCGTTTGACCTCTTTTGTTTTCTTCATCTGAATCTTTATTCAGACTTATTGTTTCATGTACATGTGGATGGAACATATGTACATTTTTATATGTGCACGAGTAACTTTTTGGTTACATATAAATATTTCCTTGTCCATTTTTGTTCTTTCTCGCACAAAAACGTGCAAACAATAAACGTTCTTTTCAAAATAAACTTCCTTCTTTAGAGTAAACCACTCAGTTAGCTTTATGACAAAACTGTGTTTATATTCCGTTATTAATTGAGTGCCTACGGAAGTGTCTTTATTTGTTGTTGATGAATATCATTTTTTTTTTGAATGCGCTCCTCAAGGTCCTGTTGAGACATGTCCTCCATCTCCTGCCCGCCAGGCGTTGATTGGCTCGCTGGGCTTTGCTGTCTTCACTGGTCTACGCTTTAGTCTGCTCAGCAGTGTTATTATTATTATTATTATTATGACCCTTTGATTCCTATTCAGCTGCTCAATGCATCTTTATCTGATATGTCACTCAAAGGAATATACACATGCCCCGTCAATCCCTGACACACACACACACACACAGGCCAGGGATCTCTTTCATCCCCCGTACTCTTTTTCCTTTGATTAGCGGCGAGGGACAAAAAGCACTCGATGGAAGTTGCCGTGGCAACGGGTAAAGGAGGAGGGGGCTCAACGGGCCCCCACCCGGCGAGCATCGCAGCCTTCGGCGCGGCCCCCATGGCAACAGCCGCTGAACCCAAAATGTAGAAAGCTCTTCTGTCTAATGTTTGATTCAATAATGGATTATTTAATCTTTGTTCAACATGTGACTGTTACTCATAAAGCAACAACTTTTAGATGAAGCCATTCGTAAAAGATCTGATCCCGCACAACAATGTCGCTGGAATCAAACCCAAATACGGAATAAATAACCCTTCAAAGCCTCGATTGGAAAAACTAAAGACCGCCAGATTCCAACCTGCAGAGACCAGTTTGATCATCAGAGGACTGGAAGCTAATGATGCTACTCGCTTCTTGTTCTCGCTACTTGGCCGTGGTGGCGCCTTCGAGAAGCACGCGTGTAACAACGAGGGACAACTCAAGATGTTCCTTCTGGGAGAAACGACGTCATGTGAGCCTCTCACTTTGCCCCCTTTGAGGAGACATTTTGACTTCTACCTCTTCGTCTCTGAGGACGTCCACTCTTTGAAACACCCACAGGACTCTCACCCAGGAGGCCGGCGTTCGGCGCCCCGTGTGACACCAGGCGAGTGACGTTGGCGAAGGGTTCAGTTTCTGAACAACGCGACGATCGACCCGACAACCCCGACGCGGATGCGATGGAGTCTCGTTCCGCCTCCCGCTCCGGGGGGGGGGGGTTTAATTATGAGTCGGCTGTAGTTCCTGGAAGGTCCGAGGATGCGAGTGCATTAGCTCGTAATGATGATTCATTCCCGCTCTGCGATCAGACCTTCTTTCTTCTGCTCTTCCTTCTCTGAGGTGTGTGGGTGCCGTGCAGGTTGTCTGTGATATTGGCTGCACCGATAACAAATGTGCGAAAGTAGTTTCTAATGCAGACTAGAAATGAAGGAACCATGACGGATAGTTGCTGTTAAAGTCGTGCGCTGGTGGTTCAATGTTTTTTTAATGCCCCAAAGCTATTTAATGATGTTATTAGCAGCCGGCGCCATTTTTACAAAACCATTTATCTTTATTCCACAGAAAACTGTAATTTAGCAGCAAAATAAAGCTTCAGGCAACGCACAACTTTTGTATTTATCTAATTTAGAAGATGTGACCATTTTGGGAGTAAAGCTCCCTCGCTCTCCCTCACCCACAATGCATCTCACCGAACCCTCCCGCCATAACAACGTCGTGCAACATCGAATGTTTATATTGATCTATTTAGTGAGTAAATGTTAATCGTCAAATTGATCTGCTTTGATGTGCCTAAAAATATCCAATCTTGCGATACAATAAATCAGTTTTTACACGCATGATTTCATCTTTTTTTTTTTTTCGTTTGTGAGGAGGGAGCCGTGCACTGTGGGCGTGACGCGTGTGTGTGTGCGTGTGTGGCAGACGGCGTGTTCGGGAGGTGTCACCCTGCTCCGGTGAAGGAGGTCTACACCTACGACGTCTCCCCGTCCGTCGTGCAACGCTTCAGGACGCTGCTGGAGAAGCTGTCCAACAGAGGTACGCGCACCCGCACCCACGCACGCACACATGCTTGTAGTTGTCCAGCGAAGCCGACGATGACGTCCACTTCTGCTCTTCATGGAGAGCTTTCTGGTGGCTGTGAAGTTCTGTGACGGACCCGCAGGTCGTGTAGCAGGTGGGACACGTGTAGGTCTTTCCTGCTTTTCCTGTCTCCCGGCTGTCCAGTCCGCAGACACACACACACACACACACACACACACACACTCTAAGATGAAACGCATGCAGGAATTGTGTCTTGAAAACCAAGGTTTCCTCAGTGAGCAGGAGCGTGGCCGTCACAGCGCTGCAGGCTGCTCCCTCCCTTCCTCGTTCACTCCTCTCCTTCCCGTTTGGAGGGGGGTGTGACGACACTCTGGAGTGAGCGAGCTGAAACCGGTTTCGAGTATTAGGAAGTGAAATTCAGACGGGCGTCTGTTTTGAGAGGAGAAATGTCTCAGCTGGACTTGGAGACCTTCTCCTGTTCCGTCTGTCTGGACCTCCTGAAGGACCCGGTGACTATTCCCTGTGGACACAGCTACTGCATGAGCTGTATTAACACCCACTGGGATAAAGAGGATGAGAAGAACCTCCACAGCTGCCCTCAGTGTAGGCGGACCTTCATTCCGAGGCCTGTCCTGGTGAAGAACACCATGTTAGCAGATCTGGTGGAGCAGCTGAAGAAGAGTGGACACCAAGCTGCTCCTGATCCTGATCACTGCTATGCTGGACCTGAAGATGTGGCGTGTGATTTCTGCACTGGGAGGAAGCTGAAAGCCGTCAAGTCCTGTCTGGTGTGTCTGATCTCTTACTGTGAGAAACACCTTCAGCCTCATTATGAATTTCCTGCCTTTGAGAAACACAAGCTGGTGGACCCCTCTAAGAAGCTCCAGGAGAACATCTGCTCTCGTCATAACGAGATGATGAAGATCTTCTGTCGTACTGATCAGCAGAGCATCTGTTATCTTTGCTTTATGGATGAACATAAAGACCACGACACGGTCTCAGCTGCAGCAGAAAGGACTGAGAGGCAGAGAGAGCTGGAGGTGAGTCGACTCAACATCCAGCAGAGAATCCAGGACAGAGAGAAAGGTGTGAAGCTGCTTCAACAGGAGGAGGAGAAAATCAATCTCTCTGCTGATAAAGCAGTAGAGGACAATGAGAAGATCTTCTCCCAGCTGATCCGTCTCATCGAGGAAAGAAGCTCTGGTGTGAAGCAGCAGGTCAGATCCCAGCAGAGAGCTGAAGTGAGTCGAGTCAAAGATCTTCAGGAGAAGCTGCAGCAGGAGATCTCAGAGCTGAAGAGGAGCGACGCTGAGCTGCAGGAGCTCTCACACACAGAAGACCTCAACCAGTTCCTACAAAGGCACTCCTCTCTCTCAAAACCCCGAGAATCCACACAGCTGCCCAGCGTCAAGATCCGTCCTCCGAGCTACTTTGAGGACGTGACGGTGTCTGTGTCACAAGTCCGAGACAAACTACAGGAGCTCCTGAAGGACAAATGGCCCGAGGTTCTCAGAACAGTGACGGAGGTGGACGGTCTCCTGCCCCAACAGCTGAGGACCAGAGAGGAGTTCTTGCAGTACGCATATCAAATGACACTGGATCCAAATACAAGTAATTCAGGGATGGTTTTATCGGAGAAGAGACGTAAAGTAACAGCAAGGCTTCCTTCCTTACAAGTTGACAAATCCCCGGGTAGATTTACTTCCTACCAGATCCTGAGCAGAGAGAGCATGACCGGACGGTGTTACTGGGAGGTGCAGTGGGACGCTCGCGTCACAATAGCCGTCGCATACCAGGATATGAGAAGATCAGGGATGAAAAAGGAATGCACATTTGGACACAATGACAAGTCCTGGGCCTTGTACTGTCTGCCTGACTGTGAATTCAGACACAATGACACCCGCACTCCGATCGAAGGCAAGTCGTCCCACAAGGTGGGAGTGTTCCTGGATCACACGGCGGGCGTCCTGTGTTTTTACAGCGTGGGTGAAACCGTGACCCTCCTCCACCGAGTCCAGACCACCTTCACGCAGCCCCTCCACGCCGGAATCGCCCTCCATTATTACAGAGGAGACAACGCCACGCTGTGTGAGCTCCAGTAGGATTGGTTAAGTTTAGCATTTTTGTTTTCTTTCAGAGAAATCGGATAATTAAGTCTTTAACAATCAAAGTCGTTGTTGCTCAGCATTTATTTGTTTTTTTGTTTGTATGTGGATTTGTTCATTGAAAACTGAGTCCTACAGTTTCACAGTGCAGCCACCTTTACGTGTATCTGCCGGGCTGAAGCGTCTTTTAAGGAGCAACGGCAGTGTAACTGATTATTTAATGGTTCTAGTTTGTGGGTCAAGGGAACATGGAAAATCAATAAAGGATTTATCTGGAAAACAAATGCAAATAAAATGATGATTAAGACACGGCTTGTGTTTCATTTTCATGTCAACTAAAAGCCAGAAGAGAACAAACACCTTGACGCACACAGTGCAGTTTTTCATTAATTGAAGCATTAAATTAGAATTTTAAAGGCGACTTGAGCCCAAGTTTACACATTGTAAGCGTCACTTTTGTACAAATGCACCACTCACACAATCCAGTTTCCTCCCAGTTGTGTGAATTCAAAGTGGGAGAAGTGAAGGTTTTGTTCACCTGAAAGTCTGTAAAAAGAGTATAGGTTTTTTGTTCATTTCATTCTCTGCTCAGGTAGACCCTGTTAACCTGTTCCACCCTTTTCACCAGCTATCCCTGTTTATATCTAATAACATCTAACATCTAATATTCCAAAGCAAAACACAAGTTGATGATTTGGAGTTTTAGTCCACTATTAACTTCTTAATGCACATTACTCACGTACAGTAATAAAAGCACAATTATTCCCACACGGGGCTGAACTAAGAAGATAAGATAAAGCTGTAATTCAATCTGAGAGGAAATTGCTGTGCAGCAGTTTAAATAAAGTGAGAACAGACCAAGGTTTATGGTACAAACGGCTTTACATGAGGTCAAAGTCCAAAATCTCTATGCATTGTGAAGCTTGAGGGGTTTGCAAAGAGAGGGCCTGCAAAAGCCAAAACCTTATAACATGAGTGATAAAGATTTTAGTCAATGTTCATTGTATGAATTTGATTAAAATACACATTTTTTATGACCTGCATAAAAATGATTAAATCCCTTTTGCTGCTGTTATTGTACCGAACCAGCAGAGGGAGGCAGACGCGTGTGTAACAGCCACTGGGCATCGGTTCATATTTCCACAAAAGATGCCTTGAGGGGACGAGGAAGCAGCTTGTTGCCCTCCGGAGAGTCTTCTTTTCAAGAGGGAAACGCGTTACATTAGTAAAGCATTGTTTTTCTTTTTTGGTCCCCCCCCCCCCCCTACTCAAAAGAAAATAAACATGCGCACACACACTAACTAAACCACAAAAACTGCTCCTCTGGTTTAACCTGCCAGCACTTGGCGGAAGAGCCAGAGGAACAATCAGATTTCCAGGAGCGAGGCGTTGGAGTTTGGAGGATTTTTGAGGCTTTAGGAGGAGTAGAGGGTAGTCTGGAGACGCTGAGGAGTTGTTTGGAGGTCGTTTGGAGACGTTGGAGGCGTTGGTCGGCCGCTCGGAAATGAATTCTGCACATGAGAAGTTTGCCTGTCTGCAGAAGGGAGGACAAAAGGTGTTACAGCGGATCAGCTGCACTGGATTTATATCGTGTCGCTCATTATTCATCCACAGATTTTGCCACACAGGCTCTAACGGCCTCCTATTATCCGACAGCTGTTGCTGCGGTAGCGTCCGCCCACGCGCAGAAACGAGCGCTCCTCCGCCCGCTCTCGCTGAGGACTGAAGGCCGTTCAGATCGAGGCCGTCAGAGACGCCGAGGTCAGGCCTACTGACGGCCCACAGCAACGACGCTTATGAAAACCTGCTTGAGCTTTGAGGGTCTTTGAGGGTCTTCAATGCAGCGAGCTACCCGGATATTATATGCTTCGAGCACATGCAGAGAGAAAGAAATTTGGATCAAAAAATCTCAATTCATTAGCTTTTTTTGTTTCAACTCCTGATAACGGGCTGATTTAATCTGATTTACTCTCAGCTAGCTGATGAACAGCTATCTGAGATTAAATGACATGAAAGAAGAGGATGTAGTCACGCTATTTCACACCTCAGTCAGAGGGTCGAAAGCTTAAAGCTGTAAAAAAAAGTGCAAATTCCCCATCGCTATGATGGTGATGCAAAACGCTCTGACCTCTCTGTCCATCTACCGTTCGGACTTCTTGTCGCTTTTGCATAAAAGCGTGTGTGGACGTCGGGCATTAGGAGCTGACACGAGTGCCCGAGCAGCTCGCCAAACGTGTCCTGTTCGTGCACTCGCCGGTTTATGGTCAGTAAAAGCACGGCAGCGCGTGGTGAACATTGACTGCTTCTCAATATGTGCCCTCGCGCCCCTCGCTTGCAGAAGATGAATCATCAGGTGGAAAGTGTTTCAGTATTTGATTCTCTCACAGTTGGACCCTCCGTGGTTGGTGTGTTCCGTAGGTCTGACCTGGGGAGATGACGCCACTCAGCAGGTTCTGTCCAAGGAGCTGTCCAAACTCAGGAGGATTCCCTACAGGCCACAGCAGAATGGAGCTGTGTACAACACCAACAGAAGGTCAGATGCTTTCTCACCCGTTAGTGTGACCGAATGATTTCACTACGGTCCAGAGAGATGCATGAGAGAGGGCTGTCCCCTGTTGGGTGGCAGTGATTATTCCACCGGCATGCACTCCTGTCCTTATTCTTTTTTTTTCCCCCCTCTCCGTCAGGCCGGTTGCCGTGGCGATGGACCCAGTGGACCAGAGGGTGAAGCCCGTGGAGGCGGAGCTCAGCAGGAATCTGCAGACGTACCTCCAGCGTCTCGGCCTCCTCCCCAGGACGGCGGCGGCCTCCAGTCTGAGCCCTCAGGCGAAGGTGAGGCACTCCTTGATGTCTCTTACACTGGCAGTCATGTGACAATATACGATTTATAACCCAAGCTCCACGTCTAATAGCATAAAAGGAATATGTAAAATGTAATGCATTCATTTTTAATACTATACTATGGAGATTTTATGCAATGATTCAGGTAGCATACAATAGTACATAATGACATTATATGGTCCCTATCGCCATATGCTGCCTCTGTTATGTCCTTTCTCTACAAGCCTGACTTCAATCCGCCGTCTGTTTTTTCCTGTTACCAGTTCCTTATATGAACTCAGTAAAAGCATCTACTAGTAGATGAGTAAAGTCCAGCCCCTGTTGCTCCTTGTTTCACATTTTAAACGGGGAGGAGCAGGTTTTTACCCCATCTGCTTGTTACCCCTCGGGACAAAAGCCAGCTGCCTGTGTAAAATAAAAATACTTATTACACTAGCAAACAAACAAGGATACAGCCTCATAAAACACACACACACATTTTTATTTTGCGACAACAGTCAAATAATATCCACTAAGTTGAGCTTTTATATTTTGCTACATAAAAGAATAATACAAAGTTAAAAGAGACTGGTTTCTTCACTCAGTAGCCCCTTTAATCAGTAAGGCCGAGATCCTCCTTGTGGCAGTGGCAAGTGGGTGGCATCAAACTTGAGAGCCCCACCCCCTACACGGAACCCGCCGGTCCAAACCTAAAATTAGCCTTTGTAATAAGAAGACGGGGGCTCACGTGTCTCAAATAAAATTAAATAAAATTAAATAAAATTAAATATTTACAGCAGCTGACCTGTCGTACAAATAACAGTTGTTTCTGGAAAAAATTGGCTCCTCCCACCCAGCGTGCCGTCGTGACGCTGACTGATTTACTGGCGATTGCCGCTGCCTGTCACAAAGTTGCCACCCACTTGCCACTGCCACAAGGAGGATCTCGCTGTCACTCCCTTTAATAGGCCCTCTACATTCTGAAATAGAGGCCTGCAGCCTGCAGGTAATTTACACAATGGAGGAGCACGCACTTAAACGTCCCTACTTCAAATTTAAATAGAACATAAATCATCTGCCAAAGTGTTTGAGACACGAGCTTAGCTTGAGTTGACACATGACCAGCATGGGGCTTCCAACATGTCCCCCGTTAGCGATGGAGCCCCCTGTTGGTCCAATGTTAAAATATGCCAGGTCCCCTGTTGGACTGGACGGTAAGAACTCACACACCCTCACAGCGTGGCGTCCGGTGGGTTCCTCCGCTGTCGCTCCCGCCCTCGTTTTCTCCACCGTAACCGACGGCTTCTCTCCCGGCGCGGGCGAAGCGACACCAGTCCGAGAGTTCAGGAGTTCACTCCTCTAAATAACGACTCTCCACGGGGCCGGCTCCCCTCTCCGCCGGGGGTGAGGGAGGAGGGAGGAGAGGGGAGGCGTGAATGGCGGAGGCCTCTCTCCCCCTCGGAGGGCGTGGGCGGAATAACACAGCAGGTTAATAAAGATGGCGACATGTGTTGGTATTGTTGTAACAAATTACCGTAACTCGGGCTTGTGTCGTTTCTGTGGCCCCGGGTGGGCGTTTAATGGCGCCGCCAGCGACGCTTTGCTTTTGTTTTGGGTTAATATGATTATGTAAATGGATTAATAACTTGTTTTTCCTCATAACAAGAAAAAAGGCTGTCTTTTTTTCATTTCAGTAGTGTTTTTTGTTCAGATGTTGGATTAAAATGACCCCCCCTCTAAGTATTCATATATTCTCTTGTAAAGTGTATTTAAAATGAATTATTTATTTTTTGTGAAGCACCTCAGCTTCATCTCCTTCCACATGTCTGACACAGCGTTTAAAGCTCCACTACGGCGACATGCGTCCTGATGACTAATGTCTACGGTTCGGGTCCCCGATGGCGGTTCAATGAATCTGTGTGGTTATAATTGCTTTCCTCCAGTCGGGCGCCCCCGCGGACCCCTTCCGCCCCAGGACCCCGACCTCGCCTCAGGAGTCGCCCCCCTCCGGCTTTTCCTCCCTTCCGTCTTTCCTGCCCCGGCAGGAGCAGAGGCCCCGGGACCAGAAGGCCGCGGGCGAACTTCTCCTGGGCGCCCTGAGGCGATACCTCGCCGGGCGGGCGTCCCTCCGCGTCGGAGCGGCGGCCCTCGCGGAGCACGGGGCCCCCGCCACCCGGCCGAGGCCCTTCCGCGGCGGAGCCCCGACTCCCGGTCTCGACGCGGCGTCCTCGCGGTCCCGCCTCCAGACGTCGGGGAGAACTCAAGCGGCTTCCGCCGGGGGGCCTCTGACGTCTGTGGACGGTACGCGGCGGTCATGTCTCCGCTTCGTGTCTTCAGCTGATGTCCATCCGTCATTTTGTCTCCTTTCACGCGAGACGAAGGTCTGAACCTCCGTGTCTCCCGCAGAGCGGTTCATCCAGAACGTCCTGCAGAGCGTGGGCAGGCACCACGTGGACGTGGACGGCCTGACGACGCACGACCTGGGACAGCTGTCCGGCCTCATCGCCGACGCCCTGCAGGTGGTGGACCGGGGGCCGAGCGGGGGCGCCACCCGCGTGGGGCCTGGGCCACGAGACCTGGGGGGAGAGAAGGAGGCGGAGGAGGAGGAGGAAGAGGAGGACAGCGCTCGCGATGACGGAGAGGGGAAGCCGCTCGAGAACGATCCGACGCCGCCGGCGCTTCAAGGTGACCAGTCGGTCTCATGTCTTCTTTACGCGTAGACGTTATTCCCGTTGAAGGCAGCTTCGATGTGTTCAGTGGGAAATCAAATTACCACGTGTGTGTTCGTAGTAGTCATGCATGGACACTTTGACTCTCCTTGTCCCCGCAGAGCGCCCCGCGGAGACGGAGCAGCGTGACGTGAAGGACGAGGTATGCGTTCGCTTTCTGGTGAGAATAAAAACCCTTAAACGTCAGAGGCGGAACTCATAAACCATCGTGTCCTATTCTGAAGAAGCCCACCGGTTTGAAAAGAACTTTGGTTCGACCTCGACTTTACAAAAGCTGAAGTGAGCGTCCCGACAACAGGAAATTAATTTAGTTTTGAGATACTTCACAATATATAACGTTTTGAGGGCTTAAACAGCTATTGGTCAGAATATATCATATAGTACTTTTAAATATGATCATACAAATATGACTAATACCAACTATGTCGCAACCAAAATCTCTCCAAATTTGAAAATTGTGATTCTGAACCCGCTAGAAGGCCGGGAGGTCAAGATGCTTTACACAAGATATACGAGGCATTAAGGCAGCTTTAAAAAGACCCTCGGAATGTACAAGATTATAATAAAATGGAAGATAACAATCATCATGGATGTGATGAAAGAGAATAAACTTATTATTAAAATAAAATAGAGCATTTCAGGGATTTGTTCCCCTTCGACCACAGAAACCATCATGATGTTTGGTGCATCAACGAGCCTCCACCTCCAAAAAACAGAATCAAAGAGACAACCATGAAAGTGAAGAGCATTTACCTTAAAGACACAACGGGGGACAAAACGTCCACAAAGACGCTTCAGACGAGTACAAAGGAACAAAGCAGAGAATCAAACGTAGAGAATAATCATTTGTCCTTTTTTAGCCGGAGGGAGGAATCCTCTTCTCCAAACTCCTCGCCTACCTGGACGAAACCTCCCTCGGCGCCCCCCCCTCGGCGAGGGACGTCGCAGCGGAGACGGCCCAAGGCCGGCAGGCCGGGCTGGAGAACGTGCGGAGTCGGACCAGCGCGGCGGGGGTGGCGGTGCAGAAGAAGGACGCCGCCCAGACGCTGGAGGAGGTGTCGGAGGTGCGGGGCTGGATCAAGGAGGTGGCGCCGCCCCCCGCCGCCCTCGTCCACGAGGAGCCGCTCGGGAGGACCGCGCACCTCCCCGAACTCCAGCTGGACGTGAAAGCCGGCGGGGGGAAGGCGGAGGAGGACGTGTTCGGCTACGTCATCACCGACACGGAGTGAGTGGAAAGAAAGCAAACGTCTGATTGAGTGAGACGTGTGTCCTCCACAGAGAGGGGACGTGTCCTCAGAGGAGGGACGTCCCAGGAATAAAGTAAACAGACGAGACGGATGCAAGGTGCATCACCGCTGGTGGAAATCACCTGCTCTCCTCCACACACACACACACACACATGCACACACACACACACACACACATGCACACACACACATGCACACTCATGATGCAGCTTCATATAAAATCCCAACTGCCGATCACTTGTTAATGGATCTCATTCCCTAATTAGCAGCTTTACACTCTTTAAGTGGCATTTTTCTCTTTTGATAATCTATAATTATGTGAAACACTTCAACATTTCTTTCTCTTTTATTTATTATTGATATAATGATGCTGAATGCAGTTTTTTAAACCGGTTTAAAGCTCATTTGATGAACTTCCTGTGAAAGGAAAGTTCACCGTTTAATTAACCTGAAGTCTTCCTCGTGGAAACACCGTGGAGGAATGTAGAAAAACGTCAACGTAGCTTCTACGTCAACAGTGAAAACGCCTCTAAACAGAGGTCAAACAGAGGCCAGACAGAGGTCAAACAGAGGTTGAACAAAGGTTGAATAGAGGTTAAACAGAGGCCAGACAGAGGTAAAACAGAGGTTGAACAAAGGTTGAATAAAGGTCAAACAGAGGCCAAACAGAGGTCAATCAGAGGTTGAACAAAGGTCGAATAGAGGTCGAACAGAGGTCAGATAAAGGTTAAACAAAGGTCAGCACTATTGAGAGGGGAGCTGGAAGGATGAAGTGAGGAGCGGAGGATGGAAGCGAGAAGAGAGGAAGGAAGAGGGGAATAAGCAGTGAAGAGAAGAATAGATGAAACTTGAGAGCAGCACCGGCTGAACATGAAATCGGTCGACTGATCGTCCCACAACTCAAGGTCTCGCGGGACTGAAACTCTCAAACTCCTCCCAATAAAAATAAGCTCCTCCCACTGGCTGTAACTGCTTCCTTCTAACGCAATGAAAGCATTCAAAACGTCACACTCTCTTCATCACAATCTGCAAAGGTCTGAGTGACGCACATACTGAAGTTCAGTGGAGGACCACCGAATGGCTCAGAACAAAATGTTCTCTGTAGAAGCCCCGCCCCCCAGGTAGAACCTTTTGGAACCCTTATTTCTAAGAGCATGAATGTGAAGACGTGCTGCTCTATGGGATGAGTTTAATGTTCCTCTTCCTGCTCCCCCCCCGCCCACAGCGGCCTGCAGACAGACAAAGGCCTCCACCTGATGGAGATCATGGCTCGAAGGGCTAAAATCCAGATGACCGACTTTGCTGAGCTCTCGTAAGTATTCCCCATCCGTCACTCACACTTCATCCTCCAGGTTTAAAGCGTTGTGTGACACACACACACACACACACACCTCTGCTCACTTCCGGTGTAATCTGTCGCCTTCCACAGTGTCGATTGGTTCGGCTCCTCTGCAGGTTGAGAATGCCGATAACTGATGTCGGGGCACACAGGATGTGACACGTTTCCCCGCAGGTCATTTATTGAACTCCGTGACATCACTTCCTCCTCCCGTTCCTCTCCTCCTTCGTCTTAAGTCGATAAGGACTCGGTGAAAAAATATCTTGATATTCTCAGGAAATAGTTGTTCGCTGCTATTTTAGCGGTGTGGATTTCAAAGGCAGCGCCTCTTTAAATGAAGACCTTTTTAATTCACTTTGAGCCTCGTGACCCGGTGACATGAAGCTGTAAAGTCTGCGTGTGAAGCCGTGATCACTGAGACCTTCTTACAACCATTTCGGGATTGTGTGTGTGTGTGTGTTTTTGTGTGTGTGTGTGTGTTGAAGCTTCTCAAGCTGCAGTTTGTTGGCGATAAAGCAAACTGAAGTGAAGCTCATGAGAAAGAACTCATGTGTCCACAAACACACACACACACACACACAATCCGTCCCGTTGTTCTTCGCCCCGCCGCCCGGCATCTGTATGGAGATGCTGGGTGGCCGGTACTGTGCCCCCCCCCCCTCCTCCCTCCTGACCCCCCCTTCTCCCATTGAAAGGCAGGAGGTGCACACACGGGGGAGGGTGATGGATGAGGGAGGGAGGGAGACTTTTGTTGTGAGCGCAGTAAAGGCCCAGCAGGGGGAGCCGCCTTGACAATTTGTCAGCCTGCCCCCCCCCCCCCCCTCCTCCCCCCGCTTCACACCAACTCCTCTCCGCCCGGCCGAGTGAAGCCGGGGGACAAAGGCGTCAGATGGACACTGAGCCTCTGACTCTCCTGATTTACCCAGCATGCCCCTGGTTTTTACCTTCTGCATTGATTCAAGGCGGAGAGAAAACACAATTAGATTTCTCCTAAAATCACCCAAGTTACCTTTCGGATAATGCCTCATTTGCATATTTAAGACTTACATTTAAAAAGTCTTAATTGTCTTAAAGTTTCATGTTATTATCATATATCTCCTGCAAAGTGTTTCCATAATATCAGTAATTTAACCTGCCGTCACCATTTGAATAAAATCAAATGACATTATGTATAATAACAAATTGTAATAATGTGCAGATGTTACGATAAAAGCATCTTTTCTAAATCACTTGAAGTCCGATTCGATGCGAATGCTCCGAGCTACTGATGATTTAACACGAGAAGAGATGATCACATCCCTGCCTCATCCGCCGCCAGTTCGGTCACCGGAGAATTATCTCAGGAAGAAGCAGAAGAGGTCGTGATGACTGCCCCCCCCCCCCCCCCCCCCCCCACCCCCGATGCACCGGGGGCGCCTCGCTCAGAAGACGCTCATTAGCATATCACACCAACAGAAAAATGTCTGTCGGCGACCTGCGTGACCTCAGCCGCTTTTAAGAGACTGCAAAACTCCCCCTCTTCTGATGGGGGGGGGGGGGGGGGGGGTCCACTCAGGCAAACATATGAATCATAGAAATACACAGACACACACCTGGAGAGTGACTCACGTCTTTGTGTTTCCTTCAGAACAATCCGATATCCTGGCATTAGATAACATTTTGACGAGGGGGGGGGGGGGGGGGGGGGGGGGGCGTCGATGTTCTCATTTATTTTTTTTTGAGGGCCGACAGGAAGCGGCGCCGTGGGCGTATTTTTTCTCGGGCCAATGACCACCAGCGTTGTGTAACTGTAGCAGAGTGTGTAGACTGGATGTGTTTATTATAATAAACATGAGGGTTGAGGTGATGTAATGTCTGTCTGAGCTGAGTGGGGGGGTCGGAGGGGGAGGGGGTGGTGTCATTTCAGAGAGCCGCCGCTAGGAGGAGAGAGAGGCCCTGAGCTCAGACATCTGTGCCTCTTCTTTTCTGCGCTTAGACGGGAATCCGATTGTAGTTCGGAGCAGCGTTTTATTGTGTATTTATTATTAGCGATAATGTGTGCCCGTCTACAAAAGCAACTTTTAGCCACAATGTTTCATCCTATAACAAAAAAATATCCAATACAAAGAAGTACAAATGATCTCAAATGGTTTTAATTGAATAAGTCGAACCATAAATAGGAAAATAAGAATATGAACAACTTCGTTCTATAACGCATAATAAACATTCTTATAAAGTGTTACAATATGCTTTGTGGTATTACTGTGTTTTTACATAGTATTTAAGGTTTATTCTTATTCTTCTTCTTAAAAAAAGCGAGACCTATACTTTTTTATGAACTGTCTAAATGTCCGTAACCCTCCTGCAGGGTTCATGTGCGTCATTTGACTCTCAAACCCACCAAACGTTGTACTTCGTTCTTCTCGTTTCTTCAAACGAAACAAAGAGAAAATCCATTATTATGTATTTATGAAAGCTGTTCTTGTACCCGGCTTTATTAAAAGGTGACACATAATATTACGTTAATGCATCATTTGCATACTTAATCACTCCTCTAACGGCACGGCTGCATTAAGCGAGCAGGAGTTTGATGCTGCTTGTGTGTTTCTTTGCTACACCGGCTTCAGGGTCCAGAGAAACACAATTAAACCCCACAATAATATTTATACATTTTCAAAATGCCTTATAAAATGTTTTTACGGATTTTGTTAGAATTCTAATGGGGTTTTTTTTCCCACCTGCAAATGCGAATTATTTTCTATAAATTTGACAGCACGTTTTACTTTGTGGTTTCTTTTAGAATCTTTTTCTGTTCATGAAGCGTCGGACCCCCCCCGGCTTCCCAGAAAACGCTCCATGTGCAAAATCCATCAACGTGAATCGAAAAAGAAAAAAAAACACTTTTCTGTACTTCTGAAAACATTTTGGACATGTCTTTTTTTCGGGATGTGAGCAGCTCCATTAATGAAGTCACCATATTTTATAACGGTAGCCGTCTCCTCCCAAAGCAGCTCACAAAGCCTCCTGGAGGGGGCCCCGTGATATATCTTTCCGCTGGGTCTTTAGTCTGAATTACAGCGGGGAGGGTGGGGGGACAAAAGGTTAATCACATTGGGAGACTCGACTGTGCCACCCGCCTCGATGCCATTCAGGCTCCGCTCACCAAGCAAGTACAAATAAAGCACCTGGAAAAACAATATGGCCGCTCAAAGCGCTTGAAGCGCTCAAAAACAACAGCCCCCCCACCATGGACCAAGACAGAGGATGCCTCTGTAAAGCTTCTAACAGTGTGTGTGTGTGTTTACAGCGTGGTGGGCCCTGCTGTGACCTTCAAGGTGAACCCCAACGCTCACAACGTCAGCACCGCAGATGTGGCCAGCGTGGCAGGTAGGCCGTCCTCCAGTAACGTCGTCGTGCCGATGGAGGAGGACAGAAAGAGAGACAGGCCATTAACGCCGGCCGCCCGCTGCACCTGAGGCACCTTTTCCCTTTTTTCCAGCGTACGACTTCAGTAGAAATGGGTTCCTTTTTGTCCTCCGCGGTGCCACTTTGCGGCTTCGCGGCTTTGTGTTGAGTTTTTGGGGCGTTTGCCCATTTTGAAAGGAAGCCCAGCGGGATTTTCTTTTTCCGTGTCGCAAATCTCCGCGCTCCATGTTTGTTTGTCTCCATGGTGGGAGTCCATCCGAGAGCGGAGAGCGGAAGAGACACCAGAATTGTGTTGTTTGCGCGTGTGATGCAAATAGACAATTCAGACGCACAATGTGGCCTTCAGTCGCCAAGTGGCAGTGAATGAATGAATGACTTGCTGGGATCCACGTCCCCCAAAAACCAGTGAATCCGACCCACAGACCTCTTAAGATACAAAAGTCAATGTGGAGGCTCCACGCCAGGAACAGACAGGCCGATCTCAGCTCACCGTGTTGGTATTGGCTGCTAAAGGCTAATGGCTGATGCTAACTAGCGACACAGATTCACCATTGTCTGTACGGGCAGAGTGTGTGTTGTGGGGATGGACCTCTTGCATCAGGTGTGTTCACACAGTGTTTGAGGGGCGGTCAGACCCCCCCCTTTGTTCGGGGGGGGGGGCAAACCAGACATTTGAGGATGCAAAATGGTAATACGAGGGATAAATTGCTCTCATCATTCCTTCAGTGTGATCAGAGGAAAAAGCTAAATCCAGCAGGTCGGTGAATGCGCGTTGCTTGGAATGTGATCAAAACCGCGATTGGATGTTTTTTTTTTTTAATCTCCGGTTTCAGGCCGAAGGAAACGATACAGAATAATCTGAGTGCAAGCCAGATAAGAGCTTAAAGGAAAGGTGCATCAGTGCCTCCTTTCTTACCTCCTCCAGAGTAGGACACAGCGGGCCGTGCTCCACTGGAGAAAAGGAGATATTTACGTCCCACACCGATTGGCCGTCGCTAACATCCGCCGACGCCAGAAACGATACTCTACGGAGAAGTTGAAAACGTCCCTCGTAGGAGGTGTGATTGTGTGTTGGCCCGGAATACCGCACTTCTGTCTTATAAATAAATCCGTTTAGGACCTCATTTGTAGGAATATTATTCTACGGCTCCGGGAACTCGTGAAAGACTGAAGAAAGGTGCTTTTCTTCTTTTTATCCGAAGAAAATGTCCTCGGTTCAGTCACATCAGGGTGTGTGTGTGTGTGTGTGTGTGTGTGTGTGTGTGTGTGTGAGTGTGAGAGAATCCCTGCTTGATAATTGCAAACCCCCTTCCTCACACACACTTTGTGCTGATTATGCAACAGCTTTGCTTCTGTTTTTTTCTTGTAAGTGCTATTGTCCCCCCGCCCCCCCCACACACTCATAGATGTTATTAATGCAAACATCTGACAGAACGGGCTGGAGATGAAATATGGCGTCCCCTCGGGTAAAGTGCAACAGCGTGGGCGGATCCCGTCTTTAAAGTGTCGTTTGTCATTTTCAACTAGAATATCAATCCATCCCAAAGCCAACAGCCCCCCCCCCCCTCCACCCCCTCCCCCCACTGGCCAGCGTACAAAATTGTGCCATCGGCAGCTTTGTTTGAGATGATTCGGTTGGTTCTGATTTAAATGTGAAGACGTCAGGGTGCGCCGGAGGACGGTGGAGGATGGTGAAGGAAGGTGGAGGAAGGTGGAGGATGGTGGAGGAAGGGTCCTCGAGGGCAGAGGCTTTTATTCTGGAGGAGGCCGACGGTGCCGCTGCGTTCTGGTGGTTACAGTTTGGTCTATTTTCATTATTAACCTCGTCATTTGTCATCCGTCTGACCCCAGATCCATTCTGCCCCCCCCCCCTTCCTCTCCTCCCCCACGCATTTCAAGAAGCCACGTTCCCACTTCTGTCACGCGCGTCCGGCCCATTGTGAGCCACTCTGGGAGGGGGGGGGGGGGGGCATGGGGTTGGAGAGCATTGTCATACGTGGGGGGCGGATGTCAAGGTGGTGGGCAGCGAGGTGGTGACCCCCATTGTCCGGCTGAGGGGCGGGCGGGGGACCCGGGGGCTACTTCCAGCGGTGCGCCGCGGCCGTGAGAACCGGACCCTGTGAATGGGGGGCGGGGGGGGTCAGGACAGCGGGCAGCTCAATTAGCACTTAAAGCAGCAGCAGAGCAGCTGAGACGTCATTTCACTCTGTCGTCTTTTTCTGCCTTCATGCTAATCGTGGTCAAACAAGCCGCCCGCAGGCCGAGGGGTCGCTGCCGGTTTGGTGAGTAAAAGAAACAATGACGGGGCCCCCAGCGAGGGGCTCATACGGCCCAATTAATGGAATAACCTTAAGAGCGTTGCGGGGAAGCGCTGATGATCATTTTTGATCGTTGGTTCAATCGATGAGAGACATTTCGTTCTAAAGAAGTCAATCCTGTGTATTTATGATCAGACTATTCATGGTGTTAACGGGCAAAAATGCCACCGTGATTAGGACACGATGTCTCCCCGACGACGACAAACCTGTTGATTGTCGCAGTGATTGAATCGGAAGCTGCTCTGGCCAATAGGGATCAATATCTCTGTCTCTCTCTCTCTCTCTCTCTCTCTCTCGCTCAGCAGGTACATTCATTTCAGTTCACTTGCTAATCAGTTTTCATCACACGCTGAAGGTTAATCGATGCTCAAATTTGTCTTTCACCTGTTACCAAGGGGAGGAATCAAAATGGGGACGTGTTGGTGTTGGGGAGGGGGGGGGGGGGCCTCCGGCCCGCTGGCATCGCCGACTGCCCATGGCCCCCACAGACCCAATACACCCCCCCACCCCCTCCCCCATATTTCCCGCTTCCCCCGCAGCTGGCAGGAGTCGGCCTCGGCTCCTGGCAGGCCTCTCCCACCGCCAGCCTTCTATCCACTACCAGGTGGACAGAAGGCTGGCGCCGCGCTTGCAACGCATTCGCTCTCCCACACCGTCCCACGGGGCTCTGTGTTTGTTTTTTTGCAGTTTCCAGTTGTTGGACTAGAAACAGCTACCCCCCCCCCCCCTCACACACACACACACACACACACATCACAACCAAACTGTGCTTTTCGGATCGGCGCGATGATCCAATCTGTCTCGTTCAGAGTGACGGGACGGTGGCTCTCGGCTTCATATTTTATTTATGCTCTTATTTAAATCCCAGTGCATTACCTTTAATTTATACCACACTAACTTTGTAATCCCGGCTCACAGACCTAAGCCCCCCCCCCCCCCCCCCCCCCCCCCACCACCCCAAAACTCCATAGCGCTGAATAATTTAATATACATTTTTTAACCGGCAAAGGATTCGGGAGTCGAATCATCCAAGAATTTTCTTAATATCCTCAGATTTAATGAGCATGTCTGTCTGATGCCTGAACCTAATTATAACATCATCATCTAGTCTTCAGCTTCCTTGCCGGCACCGAGTGTCGGTACATCACGGTACCTTTAATATAAAAAAAGTACAGTTATTGAAATGTGATCTTTTATAAACCATAACTTTGAACCTGCTTCATATTGCTTCTGCTCAATGTGCAAAGTCAAACAATGTTGCTGTCATAAATATTTCACGTCAGTAAAAGAGAAAACGATGGAGGTGAATCTAAAGGGAACGATTCTAAAGAATGAGACGCCACCATGAAACATCCCCAGATCATTGAGACGTTTCATCGTTTATTTATCATTTATCAACGTGCAATTTGTGCTTCTTTTCAAACATTTGGAACATTCTAAGAAGGCGGCTCCGGGAGTGGACTCGTGAAATGTTTTTTAACGGGAGGTTTTTGCGCCGGTTCTGCCCCCCAGTGTAGTGGCTTCTCTGGTCTTTATACACAACGTTATTTCCCATCTGCGTCGTGTAACAATGGCGTCAAGTTCAACCCCGGCGAGCTAAGCTAACGCGCTAATCCTTTCGCCCTGAGGCCGTTCTTCTTCTGTGGTTTCCACCTGCAGTCCTCTCAGGCCGCTGGTGTTCGTGACCCGACTATTCATTTGTAGCCGCGTCTTCAAGACGCCTGATGAGATGTAGAGGCAGACAGCTGGATTGATTGCCCCCCCCCCCTCTTGAGCGCACAGGGCCTTGATTACAACTGCACTCAAGTGCCCCCCCCCCCTCCACCCATCAAGCCCTCTGTGATTCCTCTTTCTCACTCTCGTTCCCTTTTCGTCTGCCCCTGATTTCTTTTTCTTTTTTTCTCCTCGAGGAGCGAATAGAAAAAGAGCAGAATGACTCACGGAGGTTTCGGGTCGGCGCGGTCGCTCCGGAGGGCAGAGCGGCGCCGCCGAGGACGAGATCAATTCCACGCCCGTCTTTTCAAATGGTTCAGAATGTGCGCGTTCAGGATGTTTCTGGTGGGTGGAAACCTTTCGCCATGTTGGCAATAATCTAATCCTAATTCCCAAAATCGAATCATGGGACCTTTTTTGAAAGGGTCTCAAAGCAGGAGGATGGTTTGGGGGTGGGGGGGGGTTATTCTACAAGTGTCACATCTGAGGCCCCCTGAATAAAGTGGAATTCTGTTTGTAGTGGAAAGCGTTGGAAGTTCACTGCAGAAACTCAACGCCGCGGTTTCATCATCTGAAGTTGTTTTTTTCGGCCCGGCCCTGATCGCACTGTTTACCCCGTTACTCTCCTCTACTTCAGCCCCTCAGGGACTAAACTTTTTTCTTGTCTCATGCCAACCCTTCATTGGCTATTCAGACCGACGTTGTCTTTGTCTGTATTAATCCACCACTTAAAATAGTCCGTGATCAGTATCGTTTAGAGAGTTATTGATCTCGTAATCTACGGCTACATCTGCTTTCTCTGCCAAGAAGAGCATACGGCTGAAATATGGGCCCGACGAAAAAAAGGCTAAATAACTATTGGTGCCGTGAAAGCGCTGAAAAATTCTGACAAATTGTGACAAAACAACAGTTGCCTCACAAAATGAACCA